CGCGTGTCGTACGATTCTTGCTTTCAACCTTGCTTGGGACTTGTCTCATGTGTTGTTTGCTGTCGGACTGTGGTAGACCAGGATCGACGGTTTTTGAACTTATAAAGGTCAACGTGATAAAACTCAAGTTTCGTGATCGCTCACTTGTTTGACGTTTGACGTTTTTTGGCATCTTGCTGACCTGTTTGATGTTTGACTTTTTGCATCCTGCTGAATTGTTTGATGTTTGACTGATCGCATGTCAATTTCTTCAACTTCGTCTTCATGCGAATGGCCAACGTCGTCCAGGCGCGACTTTATCATCTCAGGATATGGCTTGACAATTTCAATTCTCACCCATCAGTGTGTGTGTGTGTGTGTCTGTCTGTCTCTGCCTGCCTGCCTGCCTGGCTGGCTGGCTGGCTGTCTGTCTGCATGCGTGCGTGGATGAGTGGGTGGGTGATATGGTTGCATCTTATCCAAGAAGAATAGAAACCGAACGTTAGTAGCCCCTCCCAGCCACCCAACCCCCTTCCACCCCGAAAACGTCCCCCATTCTTGAAACACAAGATAATCGGATATATATTGTGACAAACCTATTGCCTGTAACAGGGGGCACAAGCTACACCACTAAAATTTGCAGGACGAATTAATTTAGAAAGAATAAGGGATAAAAATGCAGCGGGTGCAGCACACTTTTTTCAGTTTTTTTTCAACCAGTTGCTAAATGACGCGGCCTGCAAAAAGAAAGATTTACTTTTGCAAGCAATGGCAGGGCGGGAGTAACATGCAAAATGAAACCAAATAATTTTTTAAAGCTCCTGGACCCCAAAAAAAATGCATGCAAAAAGACCCATCCGGAGCACAATTCGGAGCAGAAAAAATTGCACGCGAAAAGAAGCATCTGGAGCACGATTTGGAGCACAAGAAGTTGCACGCGAAAAAACCATCTGGAGCACAATTTGAAGCACGAAAAGTTGCGCGCGAAAAAGTTGCGCGTGAAAAGGCCCATCCGGAACACGATTTGAAGCACAAAAAGCGGCACGCGAAAACATCCCTCTGGAGCATGATTTGGAGGAGAAAAAGTTGCACAAAAAAAAACAATCTGAAGCATGGTGTGGAGCACAAAAAGTTGCACGCGAAAAGAACCGATCCGGAGCACGATTTGACAATCCGATTTGAAGCACAAAAAGTTGAAAAAACATGGCGCGATTTTTTCTGCAAAATGAAGTTGTGTTCTGTACAATTTTGAAAGATTTGAATGGAATCTAAAACACTGGGCAATATGCGCAATCAGTTCTTCAAATTGTCAATTGCCAATTATGTAGAATGGCTGCGATGAGCAAATTGGCCAGGCACTGTGAAGAAGACATTGCAAACAAATCACGAAGGACCCGAATAGCCTATTCCAAAATAAACCATCATCTTGGGGGTGATGTTTTTTGGAGGGGGTCCCAGAAACAAAACCGTTTTACCGACTGTTACAGGTACTAGGCTAGAATCAAGATTAGATTTTCATCATGACGAAACTGAGCGCGGTCGTCCGAGGGGCGCCGTGACCTGTAACATCCTGTAACTCATTTGTTTTCGTGTGTATAACCGAGTCAATTTTTGCGTGTGCGACCGAAGTCCTGACCTCCTAGTTGCTGACTCGGTCAATGTTCATAGTGTTTGCATGTAACTATGTGTAGCTACTGTATTCTTCCTGGTCGTTTGTTGTGGATCGCATTTTTTCCTGTGCAAAATTAGTTGCGTGAAGGTTTTGCGGGGCAAGGTGGATATGCAAATGCTTTGCCCTGAGGTTGTTGGACAAGGACTCAATGTTTCTCTGGCAGAAGAAGCACTTTTGGCAAGCGCGGCAGCGGGAAGGACAGGACAAGATGTCGGGTGTGGGCTGTTTTGGTCCTCCTTATCTTACGGTGAAAAACGCAGGGAAACAATATGAACATATATATGAGCATTACTCCACATAGTCGTAACGAAAACACGGCCTCGGAGCACAATCATGTCGCCGCGTCGTAGGCTTTGGGGGGAAGAACCGATTTGTTTCTGCAAACATCTGCAAACACTGTTAATTTGTTTGCTTGGTTTCTTTGGCTTCCTTGGTGTCCTTCCTTTCGCTGGTTTCCTCTCTTTCATTCACTTTCCTTTGTTTCTTTAATCGCTCTGCTTGTCTGCTTGCCTGCCTGCCTGCCTGCTAACCTTCTTCGTGTAAACAATTTGTCCAGGAAAAACGCAAGGTATATTTGCTATACACAAGTCATACTTTCTTATTACGAACGCATGTGTGAGATTTTTGGCTTATGTTCGTTAAGTGTTTTCCTTTTGATGGGGACGTTAAAAGATTGCGGAAAACCACGGCTGCGTGCGCATTTGTACCCCTCAACATCCCTCAACAGTTTTTACCAGCTTTACCCAAAACAACAACAGTATAATACAGTATATATACAGTATATAATTATTATCGATACATGTGTCAATGATCAGTGTCCGATTTTTTCAAATACTAGATGTATGCGACGTTAAGTCATGTCCGCACGGCCGTTCAACTGTTCACAAAGTCGCCAATGTAAAACGCCGCATAGACATGTTGCAACATGTTCGCGCCAACATTCTTATGTTCTTTTACAAGAAAAGTGGAAGTTAAAGAAAGGGTCACCAGTTTGCACTTGTTTCGCCAGGTTTCTTTTTGGTGGCAGGTTGGTGGCGTGGCAAACTGAGCACGCTGGTGTGAGAAATGAATCAATTTGGATCAATTTGGGTCATTGGTTTGGGTCTGGTTTGGTAGACATTGCAACCGCAGAGACATTGGAATTAGATGGAATTAGTCTGTACTTTCTAATGGCCTGACTCGTGCTGGTGGTACTTGGTAATGTAACGTTATGGACCTATGGAATATGATTGATATGCAGTCGAGGCGATTGGCTGCGAGGCACAAGGGAAAACCGGCAGACATGACAGCACATACAGCACATACCATGGACAGAGTGCTCGATACGTCAATGAACCCTATTTGTTTCGCGAATCCTCAATTTGTTTAAAACGTTTCAAGGGCAGCAACAGGAAACATGTCCTGCTGAATTCACATCGTCGCCTCACATCGCCTCCGCGGGTCATGCTTTACTTTTTCCCTGGGGTCAAACGCTAAATCTATTCACTGTGCGACAAGGAATAGCAGCCCTAGATCTACAGTCGATGTTCCATGTCCATTTTTAAATGTCACAGGCTATGCAAAATGTGCAGCGGGTTGGATGGAAGACTTCAAGGGCTACAGTATTGGTTTGATCGCACCAAGAGGGGCTGCGGGAAGAAGAAAAGAGGTTGTTCTCGCTTTCCTGTCCAGGTGATCCTTTTGCAACGCACATGCCTTCCGCGCTGAAAGCGAATACTGAGCCTCAACCAATCCGCAACTGGGATGTGGTCGTGATTTCCAAAAACCATTTGCAAAGAGGGGGCAACCTTTTGGTGCGAAAGTATGCGAAGGTCGGTCTTGTACCCGGGTGTTCAGTGGCAATATAACCTGGCATACCCATTTACGACTGGTGCTTGCAAGGACAGCTTGTATATGCTTGTATGTGCTCGAACATGTTCCAAAGAAACATATCGTTGCACACTGACAGCATCTGACAGCAGTCCGCGCGTTCCAATTTGGAGTTTCTTGCATTGCTTGCTTTGTGCTGAGTTGTGCGAGGTGGCAGGTGTGGCAGGTTGGCGGTGGAAAGCTCAAGGTCATCCAAGCTGATCCAGCTGCCTTGTGCCCTTCTCTGACCTTCTCTGGCTTTTGTTTGTGGCCAAACATTCGCGATTCGGCCAATTGAGCACTTGTGAAACTCCCTAGGCATGCTTTATCGACCGTGGCCTGTGGCGCACAAATATTGGGGTAGCTTGGCGAGGTGAAGAAAAGGATTGGTATTGTATCCAGCTGTATCCAGCTGCTGAGTATGGGAGTTCGTTGTGGCTGGGTGAAACCACTCAGAAATCGTTTTGGCTGCTTTGCTGCTAGCGAAAGACGTTGTTTTGTTCCTGGTCGAGTTTCCTGTCAGGCAACAGATCGCCAATTAGACTCTAGAATCCACACACGCATGACAACTTCGATACACCGATACACCCGCATGAATATATTTCTTCAATGTTCTTCAATGTTCTTCACACATACAGTAGGCCTTTGCCAATGCGGATTCAGGATCTTTCATGTATCTTTTGAGTCGCGGTGACATGTTATGAGCGAAGCCCGCGCAACTGGCGATTTTAGAATGCACACATTTTGCATGCCTTTCCAGGCATGCTTGAAATATCTTAAACATGTTGTACGCCATCGTACGCTCGTGCAGCAGATTGTGCCTTATTCCGCCTTGTTGCCATGCAACATGGCAGGGAGTGTAGTGCCAAACCGAAAGTTACAGTTGCAAGGGCAATGCTATGCTGGGACCAGGAGGGAAACACTGCTTCTTCAAACATCGCAGCCGCTTTGATACATCTTGCGTAGGTTTTGACCTCGTGTTCTGCACAACGCGCGGCTCTTGTTCAAACAAAAGAGATATGAGAGATTGGGGAAAAATTACCCATGGAAGTGGGCAGCGACGCGTACTCTCCGAGGTTTGCTACAACCACATGTCGCCATGTCACCCTGTTCAACTGATGGATGGATCAAGCCCTGAACGTTAGACACCCTTTTTCCTTTCTTTCTAGCACGTCTGAAATGCTGCAGGTGAGACTGAATAAAACTCCAATTTGATTTGAACCTGCGAAGAACATGCCTGGCCTAATCAGTTCCGCTTGCAAGCTTGTCGACAGGTACGGGCACATGCGCGCGAACACACAAGGACATGCGAGGCAATGTGTGCAATGTGTTATCAATATCCTGGCATCCTCGATGGATTGATACCAGTGGGGCAACAGTCTCATGAACAGTGTGTCGGCAAATGTTCTATGGCGGAATTGGCCAAAGAAGGTATGATATGGTCTGATACGTTCATTGAAGCTACATACAGGGAAGTACTATCAAAGTTGCATGCAAAGGCCTGCTTCTTCTCGCAGGGAACGCAATGTGGCATGCAGGATGGCCTGCAATGCCGCTTGGCACAGTCTTGTAACATCTCGGAAAAGTAGAAGATTTCACAAGTGTGCTTTAAGACTTTAAGGTGTCATTGTGTCCGAAAGTCATCCCAAATTGTCAAACATGACCGGCAAACCATTTGCATTCTAGCTCCGATGCGTCGGATGTGTCGACTGTTGGAATGGGCGTTCCGCTCTCCGCTGCATGCACAACCTGCACTGGCACGGCACCACGCCGCTAGTGCTTTTGGATGTCAAATCTGGGGCCAGGACAAACAGCACCAGCGCTGGAAAGCGCATCGCTCTGAAATGAAACCATACAAATTGACAAGGCAATTGATCGCTGAACAAAATACTTTCATTTTAGGAATAAATACAACCACGGCAGCGAAGAAGTGGCTTGTTGTGTCTTATTTGTTTGCAAATCATTCGTTTGCATCTGTGGGCACTCAATTGCTTGGCATTTTCCCAACATGGCTGACATTATGGAATCACAAGCTGCTTGTTGGCTGTGCTAGACGTGTTCTTTTCATGAAGAGTCTGTGTAGGGCAGCTGTGCGCGAGCAATGTCAAGTTGCGCCAAAAGTGAAGGGCGTCCAATTTGCCACGTCTGTACAGTCGCTCGATGAGCAAATCCTTTTCTTTTTGAAGGCGTTTGCAGCACGCTACTTACATTTGAGAGTGAAACTACCTGTCTCTGTACAAGTACATACAAGTACTGTACCACACCAGGGTCAGCGGGAGATTGAAGCAACGCATTTTAAATCACGATGCATGATGCCTGTGCGGATATTCTGCTGCATCGGACATGCAGTTGACATGGAAAATTAAACAATAATAGTAAAATGCATATGTTGCAAATGCCCAGCATGTCACATTGCACAAGAGTGCTGGTGAAAAGCAGCTGTCTACATGCAAAGGGTTCAGCCTTCTTCCATTCAAAGAATGCTGCAATTCTCTTATCCAACGCAGTTTGACCTTTCAAATATGACGAAACATACAATATATCAATCAATGTAGACACATTCGAACACATACACCGTTCATTACGTTCATGTATCTTCACCCTATGTCAAGGGCAACTTACTTCAAAGGATCATCCACCCTCAAAGCACGTATCATTCGCTGTTCTCACGAGCCACTTCAGGTGCACGAGACAAGGTGGGACTGGGCTTCAAACATCTACCTTCTCACGGCGTGAAAAACATTAAAACCATGTTGTTTCTGGCTACACTCCGATTCGTTGAGAGAAGACCTTGATGTTTCCTCTAGTTTGGATCCTGGCTCTGCTTAAGTATCTTAAGATATCTCAAGTAGTCAAAATCTGGGAGCTCTGCAACCCAAACACATTGCTGAGCTGAAAATTGACTCGATCCTGTGGAGGATTAGGCCACATGGCCTTTTTGCCTCTTACATTGAGGCTACTGGATTGCGCAGTTTGCCTTTGTGTAGTACTTCTGATGATAATCCTGGCACAAGGTCTGCTCTCACGACACTCATTGCAGTGATTTGCATTGCAGGTTTGTTGCCATGCTCACGTGGTTCATCCAAGTTGATGGACGAGTTGACTTGTTTGACGTGGGCTGACACCCAATTCTTTCGGGGATACTCATCACATCCGCTCCTCGGCATCATGCCAGGATTTGGCCTCATCAACGTCCACTACATGGTCCACGCCATAGTTCTGGAGAGACATAGCTGGATAGAGTTGACATGAAAGAACATCTCGAACACGCAGTTCACTCCTGCCACTTGTGCTATGCCAAAGTATGCTGCAGCATGCTGCAGCTGGAGTCCTGCAGCCTGGATTCAGCCACCTTCTTTTGTTCATCGTTGTGATACCAAACTGCTGACTTGTACCTCACACTCAGATCGACTACAATAGAGATAATAGTCTGCTTGACTGCCAGCATCCTCGCTAATGGTTACATCAAGCTAAAGGCAGTTGATGAGGATCTGAGGGGGTAAAATGGTAAAACGATGTAAAACGGGTAGTGACCAAGACAGCCAACTAGAGCTAAGATGAGCTAAGCCTGCAGCTGAGCTTTTGAACGCATCGGCTGATGGCCTCAACTCTGGCTACGCTTCAAGATCTGCAAGTATCGGCATGCACGAAAGCGAATCAAGGCACGGAGTAGTAAAATGTGGTAAAAATGTGATGTATCATGTACAATATTATGTGCAGCCACTCACTGTAGCAGTTCACTCTGCACTAGGGAGGGTTTACTCAGTACTCAGTCAAGTACTGTGACAGTAAATGTGTTGGACGTAGACTGAAATTGCACAAACTCGTCTGAGCTTCAAGGCCTTTCATGAATTGGTCCAGCAGCATCTCATAGCTGATCTGGCGATGTTTCCACATTTTTTCATAAATCGAATGCAGCTCCAGCTGCACAGCTCACCTCCTCGGGATCGTATTCGATCTGAATGGCCTCAAAACGACAGAGCTTCGCTCAAAACAACTAGGCCCAGGCAATACTCAGGTTGAGTAAAAAAATACTTACTGTGTGTATGCCAGAATGGTCCAGAATGCATTCTAAACATTCTAATTAATTATAAATTATATACAATTATTATAATGCATATTATATATGCATGCTTTGCTATATGCCTATATGATCCTATGTGACTATATGAAATTACATCTAAGAATAAATATGCAATGCATATAATATATCAAGCTGTCAAGCGAGATTCGCATACGGTATCAAATGAATAATATCATATCGATGATCCAACAGCATTGTGTGCTTTCTGGGATGACTTACCATGCGGCACAACAATCAGTGTTTCAAACAGCCACAATGAAAGACGTGATGACAGTCTTTAGTCATCACTCCCTCCAGTTTCCACATCTCGCTGTGCTGACCTACAGTTGAGCCAACTTGCCTCCGTGTGGCCATCACCACCACAAACAGTTTCATAGGAAGGCTTTGGGTTTCTGCCTCCTGTGTATCCAACAGTCCTTGGCTGTGAGGATAAGTCATGGTAAGTCACCCTAGCCATGCGATGTCCGTGGTGTCCGTGGCAAGGGATCCAAATGGATCCAATGACCTGAAGATCAAATGTTCTGATTTCTTAGATCGGAACGTTTTCAGCACACCAGGAACTTTGTCAAATTGGGCCTGGAAACGAAGCGAGAAGACATCATTGGCAAATTGGACATCAACTTCAACTTGGGTCAGGCGCACTTTGCATATGCTGTTGCTAGTGTCTACCAGAGTCTACCAAGCCTGTGGGCCCCAGAATCAGCCCATAGCAAAAGTAGCTACCTTTGCAGTTGCGAAATACCAATCAGAACCAAACCTACCGCTAATCCAATCAGAACAAGCACGTTGAAATTGAATGAAATTGATGCCACTGATATTACGAAGATTAAGGAAGGACAGGCCAACCTCAGATTTCTTCGTCGGTGCTGCGGGATTGGCCTGCATTGAAATGGCAAGATTGGAAGAGTATGGTCAACAGCACTAGACTTGAAGGAAACTGGAAACCTGGTGGTGGCTTTTTGATCTTTTTGAGGTTGCCTTCTTTTGCCCAGGCTATACCAAAGGCACTGGTATATAATTGAGACCAGCTTGAAACTTGAGGGCATGACATTCTGCGCGGTTTGCACCTTCCATGCGGGTGTGTGTGTGTGTGTCAGTCTGTGTTCCTAACAAAGCTGTTTCCTAACAAAGCTGTCCCAGAGATAATATGAGATAATATATATAATGTGATGATGTCTGCACATGAGGGTGAGAACGACATTATGCAAATAATTCCGATAATTACATTTGACATCATACGACACAAACTGCAAATGGGATAATCACAAGAAGGGCAAGCATTCTCTTAACTTCATTCGCTGATGGCGCGTGCTTCGCTTTGCTAGACTGTTCACCCTGTGCATCACACCTCCTGCTCGCCGGCTCTGCGTGCTGAAAAGCCTACATAGCTGCGAACGACTTTCAGTAGTTTGAGTTCATAAGCTCCTACCAAGTCTACGCGACTCTGACCATTCGATAATCTTGGGATTTGCCATTTGCAAAAAAAAGTTGACATGAGATGACATAGGTCATCATAGGTCATCATGAGTCATCATAGGTCCATATTTGAAGTGAACAGTTCAAACTTTTGGCAAAACGCGTGAAAGCTTACTGCACACTTAGGCCCCTGCTCCTGGATGCCCCAGCTGTTGGCTGAACAAATGCTTCAAGTCCAGCCCCAGATTGCCTTCCATTTTGAATTTGGCACAACTGCTAGGAGCTGGTTACCCCATGTTACCCCCAAGACTGCCAAAAAGCGACAAAGATCGACGAAATTTCACAAGTCCGTCCTGAGAGTCACAGCTCCAGTGAAGGCCACAGCTGCAGCAATTGGCCGTCCCCAGGATTTGGGGCGTCGTGTTCTGTGCCTGACATAGAACGAGGGAGAACCAAATCTGTTGCACACTCAAAACCTATCACATCTTTCACATCTTTCACATCTTTCACTTTGTCTGGGTTCATCTGGGTTCCATGCATCTTCACAAAGAACGCCGAAACACAGCCCGTTCAGTTGTGGCTTGGCTTTTGAAAAAGCTACGGAAAGTAGCAGCGTGGGCAAAATAGTAAGAGGCCTGATATAAGCTATGCAATCAAACTATGCTAGACTTTTTTAGTTGGCAAAGTCGGCAGAAACAAATGTATATAACTCAACTCTTAGAGTATGGAATAAAGATACAGTTCCTTGGATACCCGATTCAATCATTTGCCCTGAGCAGTCAATTCAAACTCCGTCTCAAGATGTCTCAAGTTTTCCTCGAAAGTCGAAGGATTCGGCCCAGGGCCCAATTTGCATCTCACCTAGCATCCCTTTGGATGCATCGGCCTTGCATTGCTTGAATCTATGAAGAGTGAACCAAATCGTTACATGCCCACCTTTTCTAGTATGCATCAGCGTGATGCACGTATGTTTGTCCCATGTCGAAACTGTGCAAGTCTGTCGAGTCTAATGGGAAGGCCAATGTGTCAATCAATTCTGGCTGATTGTGGATGACTTTGATACTTTGATGACTTTGATGACTTAATGTTTGATTACATGTTGAAATGGCCGAAGTCCATTGGTTTGAAACTGTCCAACCGCTGTTGGACACTTCTCCATGTAAGTGCATACAGTGCGGCTTGTTGCCAGCAACAGCGCAATAGCAAAAAAACAGGAACCAACATGCGAGGCGTCCTTTCGGTTTTGCCATTGCCTCGGTGAAACCTGACTTCCAGTGTTCAAAGTGTTCTTCCAAGCATAATTCGAAATGGGAGTGGCCTTGCCTGGGAGGTCCCTTGGCAGCCTCAGTTTTATTGGCCCCAATTTATCTTAGAATATCTTACATTAAAATTATTGAAAGGACCTTTCCATGTTTTTTTTTCTGCGGCTCTGGAAGCCTTTGCAAAATCATCAATCCTGGCAAAGAGTGAACACAGCCTGCAGTACAGTATGGGCTAATTCATCACCACCTGGTACTTCGCTGTAGACCATCTCTGTGCCTCAACACATCTCAACACATCTCAACACATCTCAACACATCTCAACACATCTCAACACATCTCAACACATCTCCACACATCTCAACACATCTCAACACATCTTCACAGCTGGCAATCGAATCCTGGAAGTCATGATTACATTGGACATGATGTTAGATGTACATAAACCCTTCACCAACTGTATGTCAGACCGATTTTATGGAGGATGAATGAGGATGATGTTGTGCAAGCCTCTGCATTCGATTCGCGTAATATCAACTGCTGGGTAGGTCGATCCACTTGAAAAGTCTTTCTCACGGCAGCAGCTCCCTTTCCAAAACATACATAACGCACGAAGGCTCATGCAGCAAGCCCGCCTCAGCGTACTGTTACTGGGTTCCCACCGGCATCACTGGCATGCCGATGTTGACGCGGAGAGTTCCTACCTCGTCAATGACACCTTGGTACCTGCAGGTAGCATCAACATGTGCAAGGGGCACTTTTGCAAGGATGCTGCTATGGCTCGTCTCTGTGTTTTTCTTTCATTTTGTTTCGATATTTTTCAGGTAGCCAAAGAACATTCTCCATCATATGAATTGGCCTTGATCCATGTCCATATCGGTACACTCAGGAGGGACAGCCTTGTAGTTGTCTATTAGTATATTAGTATATTAGTACATATTAGTACCTATATCTACCAATGCATTTCGCATCATTGATTCAGAGAATCTGTAAACTCATTAGACCACACCTGACCGCAAAAGAAAACACACGAGTTGGACTCTTAGATAGCAGAAGTTGGTGGTCCCATGCACCAGCTGCACCGGGGCTCACATGGACTTGCCACTATCCTGAAGAGAGAGCTGCAAATCACCCTGGACCAGTCAGGTGCATCGCGGTGGGCTTGGAGCGCCGGAAGGCAACTGTGGAATCTGTGGAATCTGTGGATCTCGTGGCGCCGTGGCGCCTCCTCCTTCTCCAGCAAGTCGTGGCCAAACACCTGGGGAATGGAAGAAAAAGGCATGTCGGCATGTCACAAAACACAACTCAAAAGATCTAAAAAGTATGTGCACATGCGTGGCAAGGCAAAGCGAAAATGATAGAGATGTGAAACAAATGACTGAAGTCAAATACCTGTCAAAAAAAATCAACAACCAATAACCAATACAGCAAGTTGAAGCTAGCAGCTATCTATAACAAGGTCATTTCGCCAAATAGCTGTAGAGTTGCCATATATATATATATATACGTATATATAGTCCCTTGTGGCCCTTTTGCTCAAACAGTGGCTGCGGCAAGAATGGGCCAAGCGTATCAGTAATCAACACTGCGCACCTGCACTTCCTCTTGTGCACGACTTTCTCGGAAAAGGCTGAAGTCCATTTGACTCTCAACCTGGCAGACCCAAAGGGACAGGTTCTGATCAAAACGGTTTCGCCTTTGCAGCTCTCCTGTTGCTCTCTTAGATTGCACATCACCGCACGGTGCATTTGTATGGATTTGCCTTCCTCATCGACTCTTGCTGCTTGGGACCAAACTGAAAAACGTTGTTTCAAAAAAAAAAGAAACACAAACCGGACGAAGTATGGAAAAAAAACCATACAAAATAATGAAAATAATAAAACATTGTAACAATATATAACAAAATGATTGACAATTTCCAACAATCAAATACAATTAATAGATATTAATAGTAAAAACTTGTAAAAACTTGAAACATTGTGAAACTTGTTGATCTTCTCGCGGATTCCATTTCTCTGTGCCTTGATCCCCTCCAGGCACCGATGTACCACGTTGTCTTGCTTCAATGCCAGCACCTCCACGGCCTGTGGCACCTTCCAAAACTCCAACGGAACTTGAAGAAATTGGAGAAATTGGGGAAGGGATCTCAATGATCTCACCTGGTCTCACCTGGTCTCACCTGGTCTCACCTTTCCACATTTTTCCAATGACACTGCGATAACAGATTGCAGATGATTGCAGTGATTTCCCAATATGTTCCATGTGTTGCGGTGGAAACAAGTCTAGTGAGTAATCTTGTGCCAAAATGAATCTTGGCTTTGAGTATACAACCCGTTGTCCTACTACTGGCTACACATCATAGAGGCATTGACTTGCCAGCTACACATTCAGCCTCAGGGAAGACCAGGGTCATCATGAACCTCGCAACCGATGCTGGACGACAACTATCCATTGAGGACAAAGGCGATACAGGCGATACATATTGGCGTTGATCCAAGGTAATGGACAAGAAACAGTGCCTAATCTTAGACTTTTGACCCCGCGACAGCACCTTTTCTGGCTTTTGCTTTCACTCTGGCTCACATGTTTTCATGATGCAATGATGCAACCAGCAGCATAGCCAAATCCAAGCCCCGTGCTTGGCACCAAAGATGACATGCTCCAAGAAAACGAAGAACACCATCTGGGTCAGAGATGCGCAGAGAGTGGCGAGTGACAACGAAACAAAGGCTGCACCAATATTCTTTGACACACACGACACGCAAGACCAATGTGCTTTGGCACTTTGGCAAAGGGGTGAAGTTGCTCAACTGGATGAAACTCTGTCCGTAGCATTGCATCTAAAGACAATAAACTTCAATAAAGTGCTTTCTGCATTCCGCCTTCTCCGTAGCAGACCAGCCAGAGTACTGAGTTGATGTGTAGATCAGCAGCAGCACGTTTGTTAAAGCTCCCAGGACACCTGGTGCCCACTGGTGCATGGTTGAGGTAACCAAAGTGGTCTGATCACATCCCGTCACATCCCAGGGACAAGTTGATAATGTTGATACAAGTTCCATATAGTTCCATGATTTCTATTGATTTCTGACAATTTCCACGTGTTGATTTCTCTTTTTCCATGTTGTTGATCACAAGATCTCACAAGTACATCCGCACCATAGACATCAAAGGCAACTCCCCAGGGCCTTAGTCGCCACACTTCAAATTGCAACTCACAACGACAGAACGTCCCAGGCTGACGTGGCAAGCATGCTGAACATATCTGCAGTTGCGAAGCAACCATATGCCAAGAGAAAGGCTCATTGTTCCGTGCACGTTCTGGAAATGGACGCTGTCTGCTGTCCAACAAGCCTCAAAATGTGACAGTGGTCAATGCTGACTGATTGATTCCACATGCTTGGTTAATCTTGCAAAAGCTGTGCAGCCGACTCTTCATGTCTATCCAAATTTCGACGATGACAGCCAGCAACGTCTGGCACAATTGAAACGGCACACTTCAAGCACTGATGCAATATGATGCAAAGCTGCGTGTCATCTGTCATGTCTCCAAAACGGAAAGGAATGTTGCAAAAACAAGCAGGTTGTGCTGCGGTGCATACCCACGGAGAAGTTACCGCAAAGAGTGTAGCAAAGCCATGCCTCGATCAAAGCTCACAACTAGGACAGCAGGAAAGCATTCCAAATCATTCCAATATTCAATATTCTGATCATTTCTGATCTGTCTGTAGGAGGGAAAAGAAAAGACACAACAGATTGGGTCATTTGATGCTCTCAGACTGCAGTGTAGGTAGCATGTTTTTAGCGGCAACTTCTTGATCCGGTTCTCTTAGCTCACATAGCTGAGGTCCAAACGTCAAAAGCATCTCGTCAAACTGCTGGAAGTTGCGGTGCTTTTCCTGTGAAGGCCCAGTTGTATTGCTGGTGGGAACTTGTCTGAAAATCCACTAAACGGATCTAAAAACGTACCTGTGCATGGCTGTGTGCATGATACATACTATATATGCTAGGTAATAGACTATAGACACTCACTATATCTAAACGTTTAATACAATCATAAAAGGTAGTTTATGGTACGCATTGTTTGTAAGATGGTCAACACATTCAACACATCTCAGGCATTCTTGACTATTCTTAAGCCATGAATTTTGGCAATGAAAAGAACATAACACCGACATCCCTCGTTGACAACCCTGCAACACGTACCAGCATGGCATGCATTCACATGCGACATGAATGACATCACCAATGCAAGGATTCTGCAACCCTTCTGCAAAGGTTCTTCACACCTTCTTGGCTTGCTGCTCCGCTGGGGACATCTCTGCAAGCTCAAGAGTTTGGCCTCATGCGCCAGCCATATCGTAACGTGTCCTGGAATGTGAAAGAAGAAATAGAGTACATTGAGGTGTACAAGAGATAAAGCGTAGTGCATGGCAAAAGCAAATTGAAGACTATGCCCGGCAACTGGTTTGCAGCCGGCTAAGACACTTGCCATGTGACAAGCTCAGGAGACTCACGTTGTCATAGTACCTGTTTGACAAGCTGACCAAGTGCTTCTGGCACAGCCATGGTCAAAATCCATCCCATAGTCGGAATCCATCAGAATCCTTGCAATGAGTGAATATACATATATAATCATATATATATATTATTACTATATTATTATTATTATTAATATATTATATATATATTATATATATATATAATTATATATATATAATTATATATATATTAATTAAATTTAATTACAATGGATTCATGACCATCCCCACATACTTCCCCTTTTCCCACGTCGAAGGCACTGCGCTTCTTTTGATGCATTTTGGGACTGGCAGATTCTTGGGCTGCACCGTGGTAGACTTGCACTACCAAACAAGGTCGCAGTGAGACAAAGTTTGCCCAATACCTTTCATCACCAGTCGTCCCACCTCAGCAGAACCAGAACCGGACCAGAAAACATCAAACAGGTTTATAAGTACTGAAGGTATTTCGATTTTAAAAGTACAATACAAGTACTGAAGCCCATTGCAGAAAAGCTAGTCAGCTAGTACGTCGAACAAAGGCCAGTGGTAAAGAAGTGCTGACGAGCTTCTCAATGGTTTCCACCACTGTGAACTCTGGCCTTTCCTTGGCATCAGCTGGAGGATCAGCAGCCACTCTTTTCTGACCTTCCGACGTATCAGATGTATCAGAGTTCATGAACTTCTCAAAACTCGGTACACAACGGCAACGTGGCATTGCTCGTCACCTCCAGATCTATCAGCAACTGCTCCAATCTTCTCCTCTTCCTTCTCTCGTTCAACTTTTCGATCATTTTGGGCTTCCATTTCTGCATCAGGACCTGAGCTCCATGACTGCTCCTATTGTCTCTACGGCTCAACTTTTGAACCGACTTAATGTATGATACGAGTACCATGATATATGCAAGAATTTAATTATTTAAAACGGTTGTAATGTAATTTATGACTGTGGGATACTTTGGGTACGTTCTCGTAATCGACAAACTAAACTTCATCACTTGCTATCGCTTCCTCTGTGCCTAGAGGCTACAGTGTCAATGACTTTTTGGACCTATTCTGGTGAACTTAGGACTGCACGTGGCTTGGATCCAGTGAACCAAAATATGAACAAATATGAAACATGTCGAAACATGTCGAAAAACTATGAACATCAATAAACATCTAATCTTGACTGAGCAACTCGGTGGCGCACCGGCCCTGTCCTCCTTTTGATTCATGGCTTGGACCAGGACGTGAATCACACAGCCAGTGGCCACAATGTGGAGAACACATGCTGTCCAAAGGAGAATCTGCTGTAAACATGTTGAGAATCATTGAGTCATAGAGAGTTGAATTATCAAATGTTTATGCTGTTTTGACTTGTTATAAATTGACTAAGCTTGAATGCCTGTCTGTCATCATCAAAAACTCTGCGCTGTATTGCAGAATGATTATGCAATCTGCATTCTAAGCAAAGCTGCAGGAAATGCTGGGGTGATGCATGTAAAGCACACGGCAGACTCTAGCATTGATCAAACAAATTGCGCACATGGTCCGGAACCACAAGCGAACTTTCGGGTAGTAGTGCTCAAACCTGAAACATTTCAAGGATCAACGGTTGAAATCATTTGGTGAATGAATACACTCAAGCAGCCAAAGCCAAAACAGCAATATGTTTGTCCTGAGATTCTCACACGTTGGACACCAATAGCCGGAAGAGTACGAAGATTCTGCAAACAATTGCTGCATTGAGCTTTAGATTTCTGAAGCTGGGAGTCTCATGAACATAGAGCAAGCTGATGACAGTACAGGCTTCTACATGATTGTTATTCGGATTCGCACCCCAATTGCGACTGCATGTCCAGAAGGCATTGGTCTCCTCAGCGTCAAAGTGGATGTGCAGTCGTCTGTAGTCTGAAATCCTGAATGAGCCTTGTGGATCCCTTTGACATCTGTTGGGCATCTGTTGGCATGTTCCTATTTCGATCATGTTGACCCACAATGCTGTCATTGAGAAGGGCACTGAGGCACTCCATCGGCTCCGAGAAAAGGGTCTGATGCCTTAGAGGAAAAATGGGAGTGGAAAAGAGAAACGATAAGCAGACTTCCAGTATCTTCCAGTGCATCCCGCAAAGACCTTACGATATGCCCAAGACTTAGGAGCGGATCCAAGCAACAACTTTTGAATGACTCGACGCACATGACTTGAAAAGCTCTAGGTCTTGGACTCCTTGAAAAAGGCGACGTAGTACAGAGCAAAAAAAGAGTTCATGTACTTCAGCACGGCTCCCTGAAAACAAACATGTGCGAACAGTCCGAACCAGGATCTATATGTACAAGCACTGGCAAAACACGTGACCCATGTCTTTATAGTTTCTCCACATTTTTCTCAAAAAAGGTGCCAACAAAACTGTCTTGCGCCTTCCATAGGAATGCAGCTTCATATTCGGTCTGCGTTCTATGATTTTCCTGATCTGTCAGCAGCCGCGCCAACCTGCAGCAAAGGCTTTCCACTGTTGTACGGTCAAGATCGGTCAGGTATAGTGAAGTATAAAGGAACAGAAATGATATATATATATATAAATGTATATACGTATATAAATATTATATATATATACATATACATCTTTGAAATTTCTCCTTGCATTTTGTCCACCCTGGAGATGTAGTTTTACAGCAAGCCCAATTCCGTGCAGGCTTGGCCATCGACACATCAAGTCCAGCATTGGAAAGTTCCACGTACGCTGCAATTGCAATCTGAAATCCCACGATGTGGTGATGCACCTGCAGTGCAGAAGACAATCAGAGTCAAAGATAGTCAAAGTAAATTGCTTGGATCACGCGCATAGTGCTAAGATGTGCTAAGCTTGTAGCCTCTGACTTGATGTTATGTCGGATGCAAAGTAGGATCAAGATGCAAAGAACCTCGCGAAGCCAATGACAATCATGTTGGTCCGGAATCCTGCTCACCCTCACTGGAGTTCAATTGCTTGGCCCCTCACACAGAAGCAGCCAGCAATGCTCATCACAGCCAAGCTGATCAAGTATCTGCGCAGAGGTGGACATGGTGGATTGTTCTGGTATGCTTTCTCACCAGCTGAGAATGAACCCTAAACTCTCTGCCCATCCCAAGTCACCAATCTTAATCCGCACTTTGCCCGAAGCGCAAAGGCACATTCAAGCAGAAGAATATGAACATGTTTGAAGCGTGCGGCCAGCACGTCGCTTGGCCCACTTTCACGATTCGCTGCAGCAGTCTTGCTGCGAGACATTTACACTTTGGACAGCTGGAGGATGCTGGAGGGGTCGCCACTGCCTCTTGAAGGTAGTGCCATCACGGAGGTGGGCACTCAGAACTCAGAATGGACACTATGGCTTTCCACATGCATTCGCGGACGTTGGGTATTCAAAACCCAACATTCGAATATCCTTGTTAGATTGTTTGTCAAGATTTGTCGAGAGCTTCGATTTCTGTGTTCCTGGACTGCGCACCTCCGAACCCTCGATGACATTTGTGCGCAACTAGGCTGCGCAACATGTTGGTCCACAGGCCCAGGAAGATCCAAAAAGCAAGCTGGACAAAGGCTTCGCATTTTGCAAAGCACTTCTTCAGGCTTTGAAATGGACAGAACTGGACAGAAAAATCATCAATTACAGAATATCAATTTGCATTTCATCGAAGACTGGAAAACATCTCAGCAGCTCAGCTATTTTGTGAGGATGGCCACAAGCTGTGGGCCTGTCATCCGATGCACATTAGCATGGCGTCAGAGGCACATTCTTCATGAAAGGATATGAAAGGCATCTATCAGAGACATGTTCGCAAACATTGCAAAGAAAAAATGCCACTTGCCTTTGCATAGAACACAGCGCGGCCTCTCATTGGTGACCTCAAAGCAGCATCTCACAACGAAACAGCTTGGGATCTTCTGCAAAATCCACCAAACATATCCAAACATATCCAAACATCACATCTCCATAGAGCCTATTTCAAAACTGAAAGCATGCAGCTCCCTTACCCTACTTCCTCTAAATCATCTAACAGTATCATCAAAAGAACGGCTACATAGAACTTGGAAGGCCTGGGTGGTGGAGTCACACTCCTGCCAGGGCGTTTGAATCTGTGCGTAGAAAGAGAAAGAATAACATCCTCTTGGACTACAAGAAATGACAAGTAGTAAATGATGAACCGTCATCAAGTCATCAAGTAACCTGAAAGAATAGTGTCCTTGGCAGTGCCGCCGGTGCAATGTATGAGTATCTCCCCGCAAATGGGGACACCTCAAAAGTCCATGGATGAATGGATGACACAGATTACAGAATGAGGCCCCAAGGTGAACTGTCGAGCTGCTGCATACAATACATGAGGCCCATGTGGCTAGGATTAAGACACTTCGCAGCCTTGATGGGCTTTCGCAACGGGGGTGGCTTGGCCTCATCTGTATGGAGAATTGCCATGCTTGCTGACAGCAGATTATGCATTTTTCTGCGAATTCCCGGCGACAACTGCTGAATCCGGCAATGCACTTCCCCTGCTCTTACTGACCCCAATTTGACAAATTCACTGCCATACGAACTCATAATTTGACGCAAATGTTGACAATTTTTGTCCGAGCTTTTTTCCACCTGTCAAACGGCACTTTCTGCTTTCACAGTATCTACTCCTTGTCTTAGTTTTCGCATTGATTCCCCATCGTACATGTCCATTCATTTCTTGGCCATCAAGTGCCTCTCGACATCTCTCCAGCGTTGGGGGTGTCCTTCGAACATCCAGCAAATTCCAGCAACGTGCTGCGACTGGTTCTCGATGTGAATCACCCAACACCCCTCACACCAGTGGCAAGATTGTAGACATCCTTGGCCGGTGGATCTCAATGGATTCCACTTCAACCAGCTGAGTGACCGGAAGTCAAGAAATGAATTGAAAGCAAATGGATTGCATGGATTCGGGTGGGTGTGGTGGGCTTAGGATTAGTCGCCCTACCAACCACTTAGAAAGGCACAAGATTCCAAACATATGAAACATGTCACTACAAAATCGCACAACATCTGTCTTTTCAACATAACCAACCCACAAAATTTAAAGAGAGACCCTGCCCTCGTTTTTTTTTCTGGGAACAACTCCAGCACCAAGAGTCTGGTATCCATTTGGGCGCAAGTGTGGAAACAGTACTTTCGCTCAGCATCACTATGCCACTGAGAAGTCTCATCTCCAAATCGCTCAAACTGAAATGAAAGAGCCTTGCATTCTCTTCCTTCCAGTCGACAGTCGAGGGCTAAAAATCACAAGAAATTGATCAGATTTTCTGCAGACATCCAAGCCAAGACGGCCTTTTCATCCACTTACTGTATGTCTAAGTTAGAAAATCGTTACAATCTATGAAAATCTGCCGTGTCTTCAGAGGGTCAATCCGCTGCATAGTTGCGGACTTGGGAATCACGCCAGCACCAAGCTGAAGCGCCCAGCGGTGAAGAACCTAGTTGGTTGGATCGGGGTCGCTTGACCAGTGATGGAGGTTATGGAACTTCTAAGATCTTCTAATCAAATCAGGCATATCAGGATCCATATCAGTATAGCGTCACTGTATAATACTGTATACTTGAGGCCCAGGGGGTGCACGAAAGCCAAGGTTCATATTACTTGGAAACGTGATAAACGTGATGGGGCTTTGATATTATGGTTATATAGGACAGATTGTGGAGAGCTCAGCACGCCCCTGGCAGGATTTGACAAGACCGCTCCAAAATGCCCCAGGAGCTTAGGGGTGAGGGAGAGGGGGGGGGGGTTCAGGGGAAAAATCACTGTGTTGGACTCAGAGCTGCCCCTCCTTTGCTGAAGCAAGAGTAAACTCCAGCTAGCTACCGCTAGCTTTCGCGATTATCATATCCTTATCTCAAAAATCCTTCCTGTTTAACATACTCTCAGTAAACAGTGCGATGAATTCAACGCCCTGCCTGTGATGGTGATACTTGTCTGCGTTCAGCAATGGCCAGGACATGAGGATCTTGCAAAGGAGGCAGGATGCTAGGCCAGGGGTTGATCACTGAGTAGCCCATCATGACCTTGGCACATGATGCTTGGCATGGGGCCCATGGGGAATGATTCGGAAATAGGAACATGAAACCACAACACCAATCGAGTCGTTTCGTATCATTCCTTCATTCATCTGTCATCATCATTCCCTCTTGTCCATCTTCTATTGCAGCCCAAGAAGCAATTCCCTTTTCCTTCAAATAGCCCAGCAATGATCTTGACGTGTCTATTCTTTGCTCGCCAGGGCTGTAGATGGAAAACTTGTTTTGCACATAGACAGGTGGCACTGATGCGTGTGCCAGGAGAGATTCAAGATCTTCACGACCAAAATTTGACACTCCTAATGCCCGGATTCGCCCCTGGTGATACAAGTCTTCCATTGCTCGCCATGCAGCAAGTGTGATTTCTTTGGAGGGACCGGGCGAATGCAGCATGTACAAATCAATGTAATCGGTTTGCAGATCTCTCAACTGACTTGCAAAGCGGGCAAGAAGTTGGGGCGCTTGATATTCACCTGGATTGCTGAGCTTGGTAACCAGGAACACTTCTCGCCTGGGGATCTTTGAGTCCAGCATGGCTCTTCCCACCTCTGCTTCGTTTCCATACGCTTGGGCTGTATCAATATGCCGATATCCCACTCGTAATGCATGGGCGGTGGCTTCATAACATGTGGAGCCCAAGAGTTGCCATGTTCCAAAGCCCAGAACTGGCATCTCTACACCGTTGGCCAACCTCGCCAGGCGCAATAGCACGCACAAAAACGGGGCAAGAGCATGCCACAATATGCCGCAAGCGTTGGCAACATGCTGTTCGTCCGAAAATAATCCGGCTGTGAGAGCTCATTTATGCACTGCGTTCAATGGTATTCCTATTTTAAGTCGGGGCAAACAAGTCCGAAGTTATCCGAAGTCCACAAATTCCTAGAAATGGCTTGCTCAGGATGGCAGCACTGAGAAACATGGCAAAGCCCTGCCTAACTTCGACCTCTCCTGGATGAGTTTCAGGATCTGCACTGATCCGTAGGGCCCTTTGGCCAGGAAGAAAGTCGAGCCCAACAGTAGTATCATCTGGCAGCTCCATGAAGGATGGAGGCGAATTGATCATCCAGTCTTTCAATGCATCAAACAACATCCGGGCATTGCTCACTCCAACTACCATAGCTTCAGCTGTTGGCTGCTGAAAGAAAGCATCTATCTCAGAAGAGATTTGAGCTACAAGAGACACGGTACTTTTGTGCATTTGTCGTTGCTCTTCTGGGAGCAAATCCACGGCACGTCGCAGGTTATTCACGGCATATCGCCATGTAGCCATTACACCATAAGGATTGGGGCAGTTCTGTGAAGGTCCGGCATCACAGCGCCGAACTTCCGGCTGCTCAGCTGCAAAGATTGCAGCTTTGGCAAAAGGAACTCCAAACACCTCTGCTGTGCACGGAAGAAAGGCCGTTTGCACCAGGCACGCTGCAAGAAGCAACATCATTGGAGCCATGGCTCTCAAGCACCCTCTTTAAATCACAGGAGGCATACTTGCAAAAATTGGGCATGTTCAGTCAACCGAGCCAAAACTGTATGCAAGCATCGCAAGTGACCGCAAGTGCAAAAGATGCCACAAGTGCATTTCAAAACTGTCTCACCTGGCTCTTACTTACCCAGCTGATCTTGGCTGTACTTGCTCAGAGCATTATTCTGCCATATTCAGCCTGCCTCAACCACTCTTCACCCCGTTCAATTCTGCTGAACAACTGGGCGCAAAACGCTGGTGCCACCGACATGAATTGGTCACCGACCTGAGACTGCGAGTGTTTCCAAGCCCACACCCCGGACCCCGCCATAAACGGTGTCCTTTCTGGCTTCTGTATAAAGTGCACGCGAAGATGGAAGAATTGTGTGCCCTGTGAACTTCTTCTTATGTCGGGACTCGTCGAGAAAATATGCATATGGGAAAATAATGTCTACAACAAAGCAACTAAGTCTCAAGCATTTCTGGCATGTCTCATCATTGCAAGTCCAGATGTGAAAGCTGGCGCGGAATGCAGATGATTCACATCCGATCCAACCCAGGTTCTGCAACTGGTCGGGCTATTCTGCAAGAGCACTGGCTGAGGAAAAATTGGAGAATGCGTTGAATATGCTGCTGATGAACTTGGAAAGTGCGGCTTTCCGCGTGAAGGTGCAGATCTCGGGCTCGACACTTGCTGTATGCAGTCAACACCAGGCTGATGGCAACCCTTCAATTCCTGCTTGTTAGGCAATGGAAAGTCCAGAGGGGGCAATGGTCCAGCAGCTGTTCTTGGAGAAATCTCCCTCCGCTGACTATGCTGACTTGGACAACTCGTGGGCAGAGCCGTCGGACTTGGAGCGATCACTGAAACGGGATTTGGAACACCCGATTCTCTGGGGGACAAAGCTCCAGAGCCACCCCAGCGTGAAGGCTTATAGCCTACGTAGCCTGTATAGCTCTTAGTTCCCAGAGCTTCCATGCTTTGATGCTGGAGTAAACCAAGAGAACCGGTTTCAGGTGGTCTCTTATCGCTCAGATGATCTCCAAATCGCTTAGTTCCTGACCAGTTGTCTGTCTTCCAATGGGCAAACGAACCTGACGCAGTCATGTCTCTCCATGCATAATATGCAGATTGACTGTTGAATAAATGAAAGCGCCATGGTGAGAAAGCAGGAAAGCAAAGCACTCGGATTCTGCCTGAATAAATGCCAAATTTGAGACATGAATACCCAGGCCCTTCACTCTTCCTGAGTCCCCCAGCTGGAAGCTTGCGGACCCCCTTCAACCAGGCAACTGTCCTCAAATGAGCCAGACATAGCATGGCGCCACCCTACCACATGAAGTTGTGGTCCTGTCATATTTCTCGACTATTCTCAACTTGTTTACATGTTTGGCTCCCGATCCAACTTCAGCTGTCCTGAGCGGACAGTGGGCCACTGGCAAGACCTGCAATGAGCGGCTACAATAACTTACTACTGTAGGTTTGCTGGATGGGCATTCAACTGTTGTCCCTCTACAATAAAGACATGTAGGACATGCTACATGCATCAATATGTTCAAATGAAAGATCAAAAACATACGAGTAGGTTCACAATGGTCAAACAGTATCATACATATTACATATTCAAATAATTCAAATAATCTTCATGTCTATTGTGTAAAGGATGGTACAATGTGGTGCAATCAAACCACCGACAAAGAATAAAATGAGTCGCACATGGCCTCCAACCGCTGCTTCAGACGGTGGAGCAAACGCCTTCCGTCTGTGTTCGAAGCATTTCGAAGCAGTTCAGCACGACTCTCATGCTGCAGCTGAACATGTTGATGCATGTTGATGCCATATCTTGCCATATCTTGCCATGTTGACATGAAGAGAAAACAAATGAAAACAATGACAAGGATTGACAAGGCGTCTATCCACAAGTTCTCACACACTCACAAGGTGCGCCCTGATGGTGTCATTCACTTGCGGGTACTATCCATGTCGCCTGTGCGCAGCTGGCTTGAGGATTGACCAAACTCGTCCTTGAAGCAACAGAAATCAGATGAAATCAGCATCAAAAGCAAACCCACTGCAGTGATCTTGATGCTTTTCAGCGGCTTCACTTTGCTCATACAACACTCACATCCATTGGCGCAGTCCACTCCCCCATGTTTTTGTTGGGAGTACCACAACAGAAAAATCCTTTGCTGGGGCAGGAAGAATGCAGGAAGTGGGGGGGTCTACACTAATCCCATCAGATCATCATAGCAGAGTTTGACCTTGATCGCATCTTTGGCGTAATCAATCCTGTGTCATTTTTTCTGAGTCCAAAGTGGAACAAGCGTTGGAACCATGGCCATCATGGGCAATGACTGCAATAGCATAATTTTGGAAATCTTTCTTTAAGTTCCCCACGCGCTGGGCATCTCACCTTGCCAAACCAGCTGATCATACAAACCATACACTGAGTAACTTGAACTTGAATCCCGCAAGAAAACGTAAGAACAAGTCAAATAAGTCGTGAGAATTCTGTATGAATCATGATGTGAATTGACCTGTGCTTGAAATATCTTGAAATATATACGTAGGCATGTCCGATTCGATGCAGAAATGTCCAACGAAAACACACAACTGAACTGCTGTAGCATGCTGTAGCATTTCGCTTCCGGTGAGAACTTCTACGGCAGCATTTGAGGATAAAAAGGGCAAGGCAACAGGCCACGGCCAATCACACAGCACAGAGCTAGTTTGTAAATCAGCTGCAAAACCATGCAATTCCACAAAGACCAGAAGCAGTTAAATGATGTTAAATGGCGACAACAGATCAAAACAACAGTTTCCTTCCCTGGCCCACAATCTGAGTACACAAAGCTCATTGTCTGTAAAGCAACTAGCGCACAACATAAAAGTGTCATGTCAATAGTAGTGTCTGACGCGGCGACATCATGACTTTCTTCCGAAGTATCAGAATTTCATTCCTTTTCTGTGTCGAATTGGTCAACTTTCATCAAACTCTTACCCCATCTGACCCCTTCCAATCGCTTCGTGGCCTTTGCTGAAATGGGCGCTGTCCGGAGACTCCATCAAGGGCTTGGATATCAGCAGTGAATCCTGCTGTGGCCATCCTTTTAACATGGGAATGGGAAGCCGGGATGATTCAAGCTATCATAACTATCTTTCAAAGGTCTTATGTTTTTTCTGACAGAACTGGTCAAATTCATAGTTGTTTTGCTTTAGCCTTGAATGAAAGACCAGGGCTTGAGGTGAGAGCTGTAAAATGAGCCTTTGTCAACCAGCATGGTATCTAGTCCTACCATGGAAGACCATGGAAGATCATGGAGGTGCTGGTTGATGGTCCTTATAGTCCTGCAATGTCAAGAGGTCCAAAGCGCTTGGAGGCGTCGATACCTCTTTGAGCTCTGAAACGCAGCCTGAAGGTGTCGAACGGCATGTGTCATCACTGACTCCAGCAGATGTGGATTTGCTCGTCTTGCAGTACTGCACGTACGCTTGAACGAAATCATTCCAATCCACGACTTCTGTTGGTTCCCCTGCGAAGAAACTGGGAAAGTGTTCCGAGAAGAAAGCAAAAATGTCCGGAACTTGCCCGAGAGCAGCTCCAAGTTCTCCCCGTGTCCGCCGGCCAGGCTCGTCCAAGAAGAAGTTTCGAGCAAAGCAATAAGCACGTTCTTGCAGGACCCAGTCCCATTTTCCATATTTGACAGGGCTAGGTGAACGACAAAAACCAGGGCTGGTAGGACTGGGTACATCAAAACAACTCGACCGTCGTGATCGTGAAATGCTGCCTGTCTCCGGAGACGAATTTGGCCAAGTTGAGGCTGCACTCGCTGCGCTTGCCTCCCAACGGCTCTCGTGCTTGCCATCGAGTCCATCATCCTTGTGGTGCAGCTTGTCGAGATCGTCGAGCTTTTTGTCGAGTTTGTCGTGCTTGGCCAACGCTGTGCGAAGTTCTGCTACTTCCCATCGCAGCTTTTGTAGCTCCAGCCTTTCCAGTGACGTGAGCTGCGAACTTACAGGGCTAACTGGGCTCAGAGGGCTTGCATCCGGCGCCATCACGCTGCAGCTATCGATCAAGTCATCGCCTCTTCGAATAAAGCCAGAGTGGCTCCCTTCATCATCGTTCCCACAGAATGAGTGAGGGTAGGAGTGAAGGTCTGACATTAGACTCTGAGAAGTTTGCTCGATCCAAAACGTGCAGCCGGAATGGACGTGCAGCCAAGAAAAGAATGAGTCTGCACATTGTATACAGAATATTACAGAATCATTACACTATATATTTGCATATATATTATATATATATATTATATATATTATATATATATATTATATATATTATATATATATATATTATATATATATATATTATATATTATATATATTATATATATTATATTATATATATATATATTATATATATATATATATTATATATATATTCTATGTGCATGTTTATTAACCCATGAATATACGACACAGCACATTCCATGGATCACCATCAACCTTATTCTCTCCGAACAGTGTTCAAGGAAAGGTCATCGCAGTGACAATGCAGCAGGGGTGTACTTGAAGCGACGCTTGGCCAAAGGATAGTATGGCTCCACCTAGCGCAATCGCAAAAAGGCTTCTGCCTTTTGAGTCAGCGCAGTCAATGCAAACACCAGAGATGTCCAGAGATGTCCAGAGTCCATCAGTCCTGGCCTGCGAAGTGACTGGGTTAATTAGTTGCTCTCCCCAGTGTTCTGGTCGGTGTGGCTCTAATTGCTCTACCTCACCAGTCTCATTGTGGGAAGCCTGTGACACCCTGCAGGTTGTGGCTTCAAAAATTTCCTATGGCCCAGACCAAATCCAAGCTGCCCCAAGAGATGGCATACTTAGCCTGTCAAGGTGAAAAGATCGCAGCCACTCTGGAAATGCCAAGCCAAGCATCTCAGAAGCTGTTCAGCAGCTGTCACAACACATACAGCGTCTTAAAATGTCTTTAAAACAATTTAAAAATGTCTTTAAAAATGTCACTGTCTTCGAAGCCTCTTGGCGGCGCCAGAAATGTGGCAGAGCCAGGCACCAAACACTCATCAGTACCTTCGCAGCTCTGTCATGTCCAATTGCACGATGGCATACGTAGTGCATACATGTGCATACGTAGTATTACGTAATTACCATCTCTTCATATCTTTTTATTATATAATTGCGCTCAACGGAGCATCTTTGGTCTGCAGTATTGCAGCATCCGAAACACTGTTTGCAGGGATAGCATGTGCTATCATCCTTGCAGGTGCTCCGATATTTCAGAAACTGTGTCATTCATTATGCCTTTTCCCTCGCACAACCTGCAGATTGTGGCGCACGCAGAAGGGGATGGCCGTGGGATTGTCTGGCGTTCGAGCCTAGGTTTGAACATGATTGAACATGATTAAACTTAAACATGATGAACCCTGATTAAACATTAAATTGAACATTGAAGACTGTGTTCGCTCCATGAACTGCAAGGAAAAAATGTAAGAAAGCCACACACCAGTCGATGAACTGCAGAAGCAGGCCTCGATGCTAGCGTTGCAGAGCAAATTTAGCCTTTCAGCCTCCCTTTCCAGAGTTTCCCCAGTTCGCTGTTGTCAAACCATGTCAAACCCATGTGAAGCCTGGCCTAGAGCTGCAAGTGGCAGAAGCCATTTCAAGTAGAAAGCCATCCACAAGAAGTAGAAGGCGATCTGTGCGGGCACAGCATTGCTAAGCGATGTCATGTTCTTTTGACAGCTGTCCTAGTTCAGTTCTTGTGATAAAGTGGTGCGTCATGAGCCAAGATCGTCTCGGCAGGCTGTGAACATCTGTGAACTTTGCCTTGTCCCCGAAATAGTCCCGCAACAGATTGGCTTGTTCTTCGTCAGGCCAAAACCACTTCCACTGGCAGGGTGGTGCTCTGGCAACGAGGAACTATGAATACATGCATCATCATGCATCTGATATCATCTGATGATGCCACAACTACAGCAAATATTGGCAGCATTCCGATTCCATAGCATTCCGGTACTCTGTGTTTCCATGTTTCATTCACTGTTTTCAGCGCACAAAGGAACATGACTAAACGGTGGGTTTCAAGTCAGCAAACACATAGCATACAGGCGTAGCGATTCTGTGAGCAGTCAAGCAATTGTAAACATGTAATTCATTCCACATTACTGCTATTGTGATGTTCTGCAATGCTGGCACTGATCTATGCATGTATGATCATGCATGTGTGTGTGAGAGCTTCGTATAGCTTCAAGCTTGCTGCCTGAAACTCCTTGATTTTGGCGATGCCAGCTTCGTCATGGATGGGGAAATATGCCTGGTGCAAGATTCCATCAAACATTGGCCTCTCGCTGGGAGTGATCGACAGTGTCCCAATGCACGTGCTGATTTCAAGACCTTCAGCTCACCCTGATGCAGAAGTCGAGATGGATTGATGCCTTGCAGCGTTGCAACGTGGAGCAGGATTGACTCCGAGCAACCAGATATATCGTTTTGATTTTGATCTTCAAGACGAGAAATGGGGAGGGTTGTATTCGCTTTTAGAAGTGCAGAAGTCAGATCTGTTTCTGGGTGAATGACACATATTACATATCATATAATTATAATTATAATTATAATTATAATTGATTTAATCAAATCATCATACAACCCGGCAGCTCAAAGCCTGCGCAATCCTTGTCTTTGGACTGGATAATGTGGTGAATCAAGTCAATCCTTGGAAAGAAGTGCAGAACCATCTCAGCATCTGTAGTCCATCAGCACGATTGTCACAATTGTGGCAAAGCGAAGGGTTGAAACCAAGGGTAGAACTTGTCTGAGATCTTGAAGATGTTGCTACCGTCCAAACTGTCCTGATTGTCCGATTAGCCCAGTGGGCTGTGTAGCTGTTGCACACGTTTGTGGCTCTGTGGATGACACCTGTACAACTCATGGATACACTACCTTCACCTTCATATAAATCTAGGAACAGTCAACACTTTGGACCCTGATGAAAGTGAAGCACCGTGTCAACACAATGTGGTGAAACTGTGCACACTGTTGGTGGTTCACTTAAAATATATTCTTCTGATTTCGCCTGTCAATTAATATATCAATAAAATTCAATATATTCAATAAAAATGTGCCTTGACTTGATGGCAACTAGACGCAAAAAAACAGAACTGGAAGTCCTCCGTGTGAGTCTCGTAGATGTGGGAGATGATGCGCCGATCATTGAATCGAAATTCTGGCCTGCCACAGCTCAATAATTTTCATTGTTGCGTGACCTCTGCTGAGTTGACCGCGGGCTCAAACAGAGTCTCAGAACAAAGTGAAGGTATAGAATCTAATGCAGGCTGTTTTGTGCAATTTGTTCATGTTGTTTGTATTAACACGTAAAAATATAAACAGTTGGGAATCAAGACGCAATTTAACACTCAACACTTTTGTCGCAAGATGCTTCAGAGGCCCATCAGCCTTCCAGGATAGTCGTGTCGGAACTCGGCGTATGCACTGAGATACTCCTGTTGGCGCTTCAAAAGTCTAGCGCTGACATGTATATTGACTTTGTTGTGACAGCATGTTTGCACTGCTCGCACAAATTTTTAACGCCTTCTTCAGCTGCAGCTTGTACCGCTTCCTGTCCACCCAAAATCACAAACATCAACTCCATTCGGCAATTTGAGGCCAAAGGGAAGGGGGCGAAAACTAGTTGGGCAAGGAGGGATGTGTATTGAGAGAGTATGTCCTTTAGTGTGTCATTTTTCGACTTCAAATAAACTACCATACGATGTTGCTGCCACTCTAACAGCAGCGTATCATGATTTTCTAGCTCGCATGCACCATAATCATTCCACAACCCTCCCCCTGACATCCTAACATACCAGGGCCAACATTACGCTGCAAATAACCCAGTCTTAGAATTTGGTAACTTAGGTGCAAAAATCCATCGAGCAAGACATACATTGGAATCTTAAGATGCGCGTCTTCCATTCCCAACGAAGACCGGGTCGCGTTTTCACGCAGACATCTTGAGGAAATGGAACGCAAGACTCCAAGTGGTTGTTCTCTCATGTCACTGCATTACATGACATTAGAACATTGGACTAGAGTCGAGTAGATTACATTACATTAGGTTACGTTACATTAGATTAGGTTATATTGCATTACATTACATTGCGTTACATCGCGCTACATTCACAGCACTCACGGTGAATAGCATCTCGTATGTGTGTGCGTGTGTAACCATCGTTGAGTTTGATGCATCCACCCTTGAGCTCCGAAGAACTGTTTGCCGTGGACTGCACCTCTCTCGGCCACGCTCGCCGCCACTACCATAGCGATCCAGGAGCACCTGCTCCTGAACCGACGCCAGCCAAGCCAGCAGGCGTAGATGGTGGACCTTCGGCATGTCCCAGATTGGCCAAGCAAATCGCCAACTCATTGTCCGGTTTGGGCGGCCGGCTATCAGCGCCTGGAAGTCCGCCCCCCCTCCAAGCCAAGTGTTCAAAAGTGGCCATTTGGAAATTACACCATGAACACTTCTGCGACTCCTCCGGCAACGTGGCTGGACTGCAAACTGAACCAAGAATAATGACTCTGCCATTTGCTGAAGTAGATTCCATTGCTGTCCGTGCTGCCTCCAAATCAATTTGTGCAAGTTCTCCTCGCATCTGCAGCGGGGGTGATTCGCCATTTGCCTCATGTTGAGGTCCCTAGCTTCACTTTTCCTGCAAGATGTGCCGCCAAACTTGTCTGATCTGGTGAGCCTGTGAAAATGTTTCGGCACCAGCCGGCAAAGAAAGTTGTAGATTGCCTTGCCTCCAGCTTTCCGGAAAGCTGCACCCGAGCGCGAATGCTGCCCCCAAAACCTGCATTGCTTTCTCCTGCGCCCATTGTGGCCTGTCAGCAACCAGTTTGGCATGCATCGCCAAGGCCTGTGCTTCGTCGCTGCTTTCCAGGAGCCCCACAGTGGAACTCCAAGTTTGCCATGCTGACGCCCGGTCCAGACATCTCTGGTAAACAGCATCTACAAAATTCTGTCGTCCATGTGAGCATTGCTTCCCACAAATTCGATGTGACCCTGCGTGGGCCACGCCTGCAACCACTGGAGGTGGCCATTCGATCCCTTGCAAGAATTGAGCGTAGGTTTGTTCCACCTGGGCTGTGGCTTGTGCCCGTAACGCTGCGGCACCGCTTGCGGTGTAGAGATGGAAACTGCTTTGGTCCGATAAAGCCAGTGTGCTGTTCATCTGTGGTTGGCTGCACCAGCTATATGGAGCTGCTAGCTGCTGGGTAGGAAAGCAAGTTCCTCCAAGCTGTGAGGCGCTGGCAAGGATGTGCGAAGATTCCTCCGGGAATCAAAGTTGTTGCCAATAGCTAGTTCCAAGAGACGTTTTGCCATGGGTTGTTGTTCTCGTGGAGGATAACAATTAATGAAGGCCATGTGGCGTATGTGCACTGCAGTGATGTAGGTATTAAGATGTTCTCCTGGATCTCCTGGAGGTGCTGAAGGTTGTGACTCCTCCTGTTCTGCGGGTGCCTGCTGGTCTGCCAGGATTGTAGTAGACGTTGTAATGCCTTTTGCTTGCTGGCTGCCACATCACCAGATGTCCAAAGCGTGTCCTGCAGCATAAGCACTTGTCGTCGAGCCACGTTGTTAAGGGCTCCCCACGCTCCGGGTGTTGAGCGTGACCACTTCAATGTCTGTTGCTCTGGCTCTTTTGCTTTGCTGCGGCCCAGGGTTGGGCTCTATTCCTTGCTCAACTAATCTCTGGTTTTTGCAAGATCTTTGCTGAGAGCGGAGAGGTTGTCATTGGATCTGGCATGATCTGACCCATTGGCTTCTTCAATATTGATGCTCCAATGTTTAGACCAGATTTGCTTGTTGATGTCGTCCAGCTGATGGAAAATGCACATCCTGCGTAGCTCGCACGTTTGGAAAAAGAAGAGATATGGCCCGAATGTCCTGTATTGGGTGCAGGTGACGAAAGGGCCTTGATGCCAGGATTGCTGAATGGTCGCTGGTTTCCAAGTTGGCCAATGAGGTTCAAAAGCCACAAGGTTGTGACCACTGCGCTGCAAGTCTCTTCTTTCAGCATGTATGCGTTTGTAGGTGGCGGACCTGCTGGCGTGGCGCTTTTGCAGCCTTCAGTGGGCATCCGGATTCTCCCGGTGGTTTTTGGCTTGCCGACATAGACGTGTCAATGTCTGAACGCTCAGTGTCCAGGCGTTGCCTTTTTGACAATGTTTGTACGGTTCTGTTGTTGATGGCTGGAAGGCCTTTAGGGCACCATGGAGGGCTCCAGTCCATGACATCAGCCGGCAGAGAGCTGAACGCGATGATCGGTTGCGGCTTGAATTTGACATACCGATCTGCGTCTGATTTGATGTGGTGAGGGTGCCTTTTTGTCGATAGTTGAGTTGCATTCGGTCAGTGCCGCTGGCCATGAACTTGCACAGGAGACACTGCCATGTCAGAGTGTCTGCTGTTGGGGGAGGCTGCCGCTTCGACATTCTGTTGTGGGTCTGCTTGCTTGCCGACCGATCATCGTCCAAGATGGGAAGTCTTTGTTGAGATCTTGGGTCCTTGCACTGTCTGCTTGAGAAAGTGGCTGCTTCTTTGTCAGCGTTGCTTTGTGCGTGGCTTGAGAGCCGCGTATGCTGGTTTAAGGTTGTTGCTGCCTGGTGTAGTGGCCGAGGCTGTCGCTTTGCCTGTGTTTGCCGCAGCATGTGTGCTGGTGCTACGGTAAGTGTGAATGCTGGCTGTAGGACTAGGTGACTCAGTGCAAGTGCATCCCGCTCCAGTGAGGTCAATGGTGACCTTGTCCAGTTCAATTTTTGGCTGGAACAACCATGGTTTCAGTGTTCTCTGGGTTTTGGGTGGGTGCATAGCTTTGAAGTAACGGCCATCAAACAGGATCAAGGTGAGCGGTTTCTCTTTTTGCCTGTGACCCGCCACCCCATCATCATTGAATTTGAGAGCAAAAGTAGACCTGTCCCAGCTACCGTGAGGGCTATGCCATAGCGCTCAGCAAGGCAATGCAATGAGAAGCCGTCCGCCCAGGTTCCTTGAAGCTCCATTCATCCAGTGTCTTTGCCATCTGCTTACCTGAGCGCTGATTTGCCGTGCTTGCTCTTCCACATCGGGTGCAAACCAGGCTTGCAACCTTTGTTTTGTGTCCTTGCGTGCTGAATAACGCCAAGTCTCAATTCGGCACCTTCAGCTCTGGCTGCTTCTGCCGTCAGTGTGCGACCCTCCTTGGCCGTGGCATGTGCTGCTGCACAAGCTCTGTTCATGCAGTCTCCTGTGCCTTGTAGATCTTGGATGGTCCATTGTTGGACGACCGCCTCATCTGGGTTTCCCGGAGTGCTATGGCTGGTGGTAGTGCTAGCTGGCACTGCAGCGGCTGTTGCCTCAGTGGACATAGCATCCGCTTCATGTTGAATCGATTGTGTATCAATCTGCGTGGCTTTAGTGGTGGGGCTGCGGCTGCGCGTGCGTCTTGCAGCATCCGGTGTCCTGGTATTACCTTCATTGGCGCCAGAGTTTGGTTGCTGCGATGCTGGTTGCTGGGTGCTTCGGACGTGTAGTTGTGGCCTTGCCAAGCGTGTAGGTAGTTCGCGAGCTTCGGTTTTGTGGGTGCAAGTATCAGTGAAATTGCGTCGATAGCATTGATACTGCCTTGATACTGTAGTGATAAGCATCTTTGTGTGCCATGGGGGCTGTGGCTTTGATGTTCCACTCTTTCTTGCAGCGATGCCTATGCATGCTTGCAATGTTTTCCTGTTAAGGCCTTCAAGAAAGTGATGAAGTTCTTCGTTGTGCCACTGCTCCTCTTGCGATGTATATCTATGTATTGTTGTGACTTTTGAATGCCGGCTTCCGCAGTAGTGGGCAGAAGGCCAAGTGAGTGAGGCGTGCTGGTCTTTTGGTAGTACAGACCTTGCTGCCTTTCTTTGGATGCCGCGATGCATCTGTTGTGGTTCGCTTCTGCCGTCTCGTTTTCGCTGCGTGGGAACCAGTGGGTAGTCTGCGGTTGGGAACCTTGCCTTGTATGCTCACACAGATTCCCCTGTGTCCACTTGTTTGGACAAGTGTGTTGGCTATACCCGTAGGTATGTTGAGAAAGCGAGTCAGGAGCTCTTTGTTGTTGGCTGTCTGGTGGTGCCAATTGCCACCTGCCAAAGTTGCCGCTTGACATCTTGGCTCCAGTGTAACATTTCTGCCACAATAATTCTTGGGTCAATGCTTGGAAGCGTCGGCTTTCACATTCAGCTCAACGTCCTCAACCTTGAACGTGCCTGTGTTTCCTAAAACCCAGACCCTGGTTTGAGTGGCTCCAGGCATGTTGCGAGCTTGATCTGTGAGGAGCAGGCAAGCACCTCCGGCTTCGTAGGCTTTCCATGCTGACTGGATTTGCTGAGCTTCAGCGATGCGTGATTTCGCTGATGTTGCTTTCAGTGTGTCCTTCAGCTGCTTTGATTTTGGACAGTAGCACTTGTGAATCAAGAGTTGCGCTGATGGTTGGGCCCATTCGCTTGCTATGAGGCTGGTGGTGTTCAGGAGTTGTGGGTTTTATGTTTTTTTGCTCGCCTTGGCTTTTTACCATCTGATGTGGCGGTGAGATGGATAAGTCCAAACTTCCTGGCGGCGTGGCTCCCCGTGGTCATTTGAGGTGCTGGTTGGTACCCACATAGGGTTGTAGAATGGCACTGATGGCTCCGGTCAGGCGCTTGTTTTTTGTTTTGAGAACTGCCAAGGGTTGTTCTCTGAGGCTAGGTCTAGGTCTGCTTGTAGTAGTGACAACCCTTGTTGTTGTCTGCTTTTGTCTTTTTCTGCTGTTGCCTTGCCAGTTTGGCTGAGGCTGCCAGTGGTGTAGTGCTTGTGCCTGGCTGTTGTCATCTGAGGCGTTGTTCGTGGTTTGCCTCTCGTGGTTCCAACGCTTTCGTTTTGTAGTGCTTGAACCTTGTGCTCCTCCAGCGAGTAGTAGCCTTACGGTAGAAAAGTTGCTACCGTTGTAGTTGCTGTGTCCAGTGTGCATTTCGCGAACCGAAAGGTGGTTGGCATCCGGTTCCTCATGTGCTTTGCTTTGCCACTGTGCTGCGGCGAGACGACCTTGTTGTTTGTTGCTTGGAGTTTTCACCTGTGTGGTGGTAGTCCCTCTTTGTTGGGCTTGCGCTGCTGTCGTTGGCGAGCTGCAGTAGCAAAGCCGGTTGTTGATATCCATGCAGTAGCAAAGCCGGTTGTTGATATCCAGCTTATCTTCGTGAAGAGACCATTGCAGATGTGGAAATTCCTCAAAACCGAATCTGCCTGAACCCGGTGCTCCTCCAGCAAGTAGCTGTCTTTGCAGTTGCTGGATCCAGCGTGCTTTACCTGAACCGAATGGTGGTTGACATCCGGCTGCTCATGCGCGTTGCTTCGCCACTGTGGTGTGTGACGATTTTGCTGTTCGTTTTTGGGAGTTGCCACCTGTGCGGTAGTTCCACTTTGTAAGGCTTGCGCTGCTGTCGCTACCGGTTGCAGTAGCAAAGCCGGTTGTTCATCTTCTTGAAGAAAACGTTGTAGATTGGGAAAATCCTCAAACTTGGAGCTTGGTAGGAGGCAAGGCCTGAAATCACTGTGGCTGGTAGGTGGATAGTTCTTATCAGTTTCTCCTTGTATCTCTGTCGGTGTCTAATTCTGTTGGGGTGGCCCAGCGACCAGTAGTGCAATCTTTGACTGCGCCGCTGCTGGGCCGACCTCCCGTTGCTCGAGTGAGCTGCTGCCAGTCTGGTTTTACCTGCTTGTCGTGCAGCTAGAGCTACACGCATGTGTGAAACTCTTGCATCTGAATTTCTGACTGTTTTTGTCGAACATGTCATTTTGTCTTTCTTTATTGGTTTTCTCCATCTTGCTAAACGAATTGTGGTTGCAAGTGCTGCTGCTCATTCCCAGCATCAAAGAGACCAGGAAAATTGCCACCCCAAGTAGCATCAGCAACATTGTCGGTAGGATGTTTGTAATCCCTTTCATGGACTCATGCAGAACTGTGTTTACATCTAAACGGTCAGCACCACGTGGTGTCAGCTAACTGCAAAGTATGGTCAGTTGCAACCAGTAAGCAGCATGCCTTTCACCGCCCACGACCACCGAGAACTCAAAGTCCAGGACGCGTTGTTGATGTACCCGCTATCTATATATATACATATATATATATGATTATACATATTAATATATATATATATACGATTATATATATATGATTATTTTTATATATATATGATATGATATGATATGATATGATATAATATGATGTGATATGATATGGTATGGTATGGTATGGTATGTATATATATGTGTGTGTGTGTGCGTGTGTGCGTGGGCATGCGAACGCGTGGTCACAGATGAAACCCAGCGGGGTGGACGCAGCGGGGTTTGAGCCCGGGGGGGTAGGTGGGGTCATAGTTCGACATGATTGATCATGTCCAACAGGGGGCCCAAAACCAGTTCGGCATGAAAGACCATGGAAGCTACATCCAGTCTGCCCCCAATTCATTGCTAAAGCAAATCCAACTCCAGTTAGCAAGCTACCTTTCGTGATTTGGGCTGAGCCTCGACCTTTCCAAAACTGTCCAGACTTCCCTCAAAATCCCTCAACAACTACAACATAACTATAACATGCTATTTAACACATTTATAACATGCTCTGACTCTCGTCTCAGCCATGCCATCTTGGATCATCTTGGATCATGTCACGGTGGTGCCTGGCTGCTGTATCCCTGAGCTTTTGAGCTGAAGCCCCGATCTTGACCTCACCATTTTCTGCCGGGCCAGCACATTAAGAGATGGTCAGACCGTGGGACAGCACTGGACAGAAGGATGTGGACTGATTGATGTGTGCTGAGCTTCAAACCAAGATCTGGTCCCTATCTCTGCTGTAGTAGCAGTAGAGGCTCAGCCCACAGTTCTGCAGAGTAAATTCCAGGCATGCGAAAGTGTTGGGCTTCATCAGGAATGAAACATTATGAAAGACCCAACCAAAAAATGAGGAATGGCGGAGGATTGGACTGGATTGTATTGGATTGTCAGGTATTGTCAAATGAGTCAAATGAATCTGGCTTGCCAGCATGAGCAAAGTGTTCTCAAGTGGCCTGGAGACCTTTGAGGATCGACTCTCGATGCTGCTTCCACATCTGACAGGCGATCACATAATATCAGTTCGTCCGCATGTTCGGGAAGTGACTCTGCAATCAGAGCTTAGATTCAGATCATTTCGGATCTGCTTGTAGTTCCATGACACAAAGTGCGCTGTCATTTTGAACCCATTGGCTGTGTTGTGCAGCTCCCGCTGTGCATGAACTGCCAGAAGCCAGCGCGACTCCTAGCTTGGTGTGTTGAATTAACTAACTACCGGAAAATATGGATTCCAATTCAAGCCGAACTTTGTTCAAGAGCACCAGGGTGCCCACGTGATACCTGCACCCGAATTCGGTCTAGGGTGCTTTGCAGCCTAGAATTTTAGTACATGAAATGTCCCTGTCATGATCGATTCCAGCAGGGAGTGATGGTGGATGAGTATACTCTATTCTACTCCATAGAAACAGCGCAAATTCTCTCGAAGTTGTTTTCAAAATCTAAACTTTGTTGGGACGTGTGCCCTTTTTCGGTGGAGGCTTTGCGAATCTTGAGAGCAACACATGAAAATTGTGGAGAAGTAAGGCTCAGTAAGGTGAGGTTCGGCGACCCATAACACATTTAATAGAAAGAAGAGAAGGATTGTGAAAGCAATCTTCAAGGCGTGCTGTGTCCAAAGGTGTTCCCAGATTCTCAGATCTCAGAGATTATACTCAGGCAAAAGGTGGGGACCTGCCTTGGGCAGTGCCTCTAGATGTACAATGGATTACAAGGCTATCAAGTTGGCTATCAAGCCGTTTCTTCGAGACAGATTACTCTGACTCTCTTTTCACTTTGAAAACGTGAATGCTGGAACAACAGGCGACGCAAGGGGAACGCTGATTGAAGATTCTGCAACACCGGAATATACTTGACCCCAAATGCAACTATCATTCTATATGTTCGTTCTCTGGCAATGCCAACACTCACATCGCACAGACTAGCCAGGTCAATCATTCAATTGTCAAGCTGGTCTGCTTGCAAAGCTGGAGGTCAGAGCTCTATGTCAAACTTCAGGTTCGTTGCAGAAGCATGATAGGCCTCGGATTCAACGCTTGCAACAGTCAACACAATACCGGGTTCGAACCAAGTATCACGACTTACTTGTGGCTCCCTACTATGCAACATGCCACAGCCATCAGCATCTACCCTGCAAGCTCCAAACATCACATGGGGCAATGGGTGCTGCCCAAGTAACTGCCTTTTCCGTGGGAGACTCCACCGCCTTGGAGGCATGACAAACATGACAAACAAAAGATGTGTATGCACACTGATAACAAGAATCACACGAGAAAAGCTCAGAGAGGCTTGGAACGTCATAGAAAACCTATGTGTCATATTCTATGAATATGTACTAGCAATATGTGTATATATATATATCACATGATGTGATATATATACATTGTTGTTGATCAAAATTCTTTTATCCGGGAACGGCCATTCTTCGCGAATTAAAATGTTACACTTTTGCGAAATTTTCGCGAACTCCATGTTTATCTTTCGCGGAACCTATGTTAGGCAATCATGATATCCAACTTTTGCGAAACTTTCGCAAAAAAAAATGGTACTTTCGCGGACTCGAAAAAAAAAACTTTCGCGAGGGTTTCCAACATAACATGCACGGCTTTCGCAATTAAAACTCCTTACAAGGACCTTTAGATCGACCACCACATAGATACATAATTATATATTACATATGCGTACATTGTCTTACATGATCTTAATTTGTTCCATACGTATGTTTCACAATGTGTCATTTGTGTTCTTTCCCACTCAAATGTCACGCCCAGCTTGCCAGTTTGCTGCATTGGCCTTGAGCTGAGATCCCGACATCTCTTTGGTCTGCAGGTCTGGAGCCTTTGGGCGTGGGAAGCCATGCAGAAGGACATGGCGTGGAATCTTTCAGTGTCCAACATATTGATTCATTTATTGCCATTTATTGGCGATATATTGGGCGTTGCCAGCATCAAGTTCAAACCGCCTGTGGCCTGCCACTCACTATAACAGAATAATAGGCCTTGTCCATCAGCGCCTTTGACCTCAAAAGAATTGACGGAGTTGTTGCTGCAGCATGCAATCCACTGTAGCTGGGGCAGCTGCTTCTGGAAGTTCAGGTATTGCCTCAGAAAGGATGGATTCAATGGGTATATTAATTTGGATATCAATATCATCAGTAATTATCCATGGAGTCAGAGAATGGTCATGTTGGCTTGGTGAGATTTGGTGAGGAAATTCCGCGAAATTTTGTACCTTTCACCTTAGATTCATGATCCGTTCACTCCATTCCAGTCCATTCCTACACAAACATCCGAAAAAGAAAGGCTTCGACTCGAGATTTACTGCCAGGTCGTCGCATGGACCTTAGATGGCAGGGCTTTCTCAAGCACTCGCAGGTGCATTTCTGTGTACTTTGGGCAAGTGCGGCATTCAACATGAGCTGTGCAAAAGATCAAAGATTGAGCCTGCAACACAAATCTAGGAACGGGCATCATTACATTTGCCTGGCAGTTCCAATCAACACCAGAGTCTTGTCTAAAGTATTCCAAAGGGTTGAAGTATTGTTTAAGCTGGCTTCTCCATTCCGATGCCTTCAGGTACTACAATTTCTATCAACACCCTCAATAACAGACGTTTGAAGAAAATTGAAGCCCGTGTATCTCCCAGAGAAGTCTCGCTGCACTGCTACGGTTGCAACAAAGTGCAACTGGCAGTGCAACTCATTGCAACTCTAAGTTGACTGAGATGTGCAGCCGTAGCCATCGTTGCCATAGCTCAAAATATCTCAAAATGGTTCAAAATGGGTGACTATCCGAAGACAGAAGAGCTATGGCAAGCACCATGCGCTTCTAGCACTGAGTTTCCGGCCATCACCTTCGCTTCTTTCACATCAGGGACGAGTGACTTGTGACCTAAGGAGCTTCTGACTCTACTGGGACTGTTTCTGGCACCAACGAAATGCAAAGATTATCTTAATATATATATATATATTATATATATATAATATATATATCTTAATATCTTCCTATACCTTCGTCCCCACAGACTGCTGGCCTGATTGAACGGTGATCAAAGCAGTCTACCACTTCCCTGCATTGCTCTACAGATTTCATTCAGTGGTCCCAAAGTTTTTTCTGTCCAAATCACCAAACTCGAGGTCATACTTGACTCCCAGCAATGAGAACGTCCAAACAGTTTGTCCCGAGATGGCTGGGGCGGCAGCTTGAAGTCTTGGACAGGAAGGACGTTAGGGTCGACGAACCAAGTACGACACCTGACTCAGCCAGCATCATGGCAGCCATGGTGTTCCAACATTGATTCAGCTCCACACCACAATCCAAGCAGTCTAAGCCCATTATGACCCGGATTCGCTCCTCATCTGGAAGCTGAAGCTTTGTGATAGCCGATTTCATGATGATCTGTGGCAATTCTTTGACAAATGATGCTCAAATGTACAGTATTAGTAAGTTCCATGGAAGCTGCACCCGGCGTCGAATGCCTCGCAAGTTGCTCCTCAAACTCGTGCTGCGCGAAGGGCGGCTGATGGTCTGCGGTCTTCGAACAGATCGCTGCATCGACAACCTATGCCATGGAGCTGTTGCCGAATTTGCTGAACTGCCATTTAATGGGGAAGATGATGATAATCCATCACAATCCTTTGGATTTAGGGGTATAGTATCTGGGAATCATGTTTTCAGACACCCTCAAATGAAGCTAGGCCAAACAGGGCCAAACCATCTGTTTCGGCCTTGCTGCATCGTCTGTATTAATATCAGTCTAAGTTGTCAGTCCAACAAGCCACCACAAGACTCATCAAGACTATATTGGTTTTCCAAAGAGTTCCTCACTGCCATCCTGATATGGAAATTTCTGTATCTCTAAATCCTCTGACGGTGCATTTCTGGGAGTAGCACGGCTCCTTCATGACTGCCTCAGCCCCCGGGGAACATGCTGGGATCATCTGGGATGGGGATTCTGATCTTAGGGACTTCTCAGCAAATCCAAGCTCTAGGGAGTCTACGCAAAGTATCTCAGAGAGAGGACCAGGCGCCTTGCGACCTAGGGGGAAAAAGACAAAGCTGTAAAAGTAGATGTAGAAGTTCAGCATAGTTCACCATAGTTCACTAACGACACTGTGCACAGCTCTCTGTCGTGAGGATTGTGAGGTCAGAAGAAAGGCACGGCCTTCATTCGGCATTTTGGCAGACCTGGGTGGAAGATGCTTCAGCTGCTGGAGATAAGAAAAAAGGTCACGATGTCACGAGCTTCCCACTCGCCATGGATGACTGGTAGCATGCTTCTGGACTTCTGCCTCGGCAAAGGTGCCCAGGTTCCTTCAGAGCACGGCAGTCACTTGACAAGATTGCATGTTGAGACAGCGACAAGCTTGATGATCTTGATGTCGGCTCCTTGATTAGGCCTCAGTGGAGTTTGGAAGTGTTTAGATGTTTAGATCATGAAGTCTGCCTCTAAAGTCTTCTTCGTATACTGATGGATACTGTATACAATGTATGCTGATTGGTGGCATTGCATCTCGTTTGACACAGACTGGCTAAGTTGTTGACCCGGCTGAATGGAGGCCGACCTGCATGAACAGCATGAACTATTCTGCTCAACATGCAAAGCCTACTCTTTGTGTACCAAGAATCAAACTAGAGAAAAACAAAGCAACAGGTTTATGGCCTGCGAAAGTCTGTACAAAGCTGCTCCTTCAGTTCGCATTTTACAGCTACTGTAACGCGGTTGGCTGATTTGTGTAGATTGGTATTGTCAGCCAAAGGGTGAAATTGGATGTCCTCCACGACAGCAGGATTGCGGAAGCACTCCAGCCTCACAGGGGAACGATGCCGGACTTTCTGAAACATCTGGAAGAAAAACGTGATATATCATGTACTATGATGCACTGTTGTAATCATATATATAATATATATATATATATTATATATATATCATATATTCTTATACATATTATGTATAATATAATTCTAGTATACATATTATATACTATCATATTACATTATTTCATATTACTGTATTAAGATGAGGATGCACTATATAATTGTGAGGAGACTGTGATGCGCAGGCTGGGCTCACAACATCCTCTGTAGTGACGCGTCATCACCGAACTCTTCAATGAGGTTCGTCCACCTTTGGCACGCCGCTCTCCAGCTTGAGTATCCAAGTCACAAGTAATCAAATGACCAGATCTGAACTGAATATGCAGAACTGCCTGTCTGCCCTTGTGACATCAATTCCAGCAATCCTATATTCTATTCGAACAGATCACTCAAATATCACCTGAGACTCTGGCAACAGTTTCTCCAAATCTGCAGCCTGAAGATCTGGAAGCGCCTGCCAGTCAAGGACACAAGGGGTACCAGGGTACCATCTGTCGGTCCATCTCTTCTTCCCGTCCCTGACAACGCTGATGAAATATGAGGCCTTCAGCAAGCGCCGACAATGCTTGTCTTGAAGCAAAGAGTTGGGAAGACCTCAACAAACACTAGAAACAAGGGCCAGAGGCAGGAGCCTCCGGTACAATTCCACCGTGGCTAGAACTAGAATGATCTTAGAATGCGGCGCTTCGACAAGCATCTGGGCTGGTCGCCTGGGGCTCAGCCGTGAAAAGTGTGGCTGTTCACATCCACTGAATTCATATCCAAGCACGAGATTGATAATTTCAAATCATTGTGAGCCATTGTGGACAATCAGTGATTCAACAAAGCAGCATGTTTCCACGCAATGGCCGACAATTAAGTGCACAACCGGAGAAGCGCCGCTGGGCAAGCAATCTCTCATCAGTGTCTTGTACCTGGCAAGGACAAGAGGAGACCGTGGCATCTGCAACTCACAACAGGTAGACCCCTTTTGTCAGTGCTTCTCCCGCAGCCTCCGAGTTGGAAGTCTCCGGCCAGGCCAACTGTTCCAAGAAGTGCAGACTCTCGCGACCTGAGCGAAGCTGCGAAGCGTCTCCCGAAACTTAGCCAAAAGCATCCAGAAACCGTGCGACACAAAAATTTGCGTGTAATATTTGCATCTTTCGACCAAGCACTAGCAAACCTTTCTGACCTCAAAGAAATTCAAGTGCTACATAGAGCTACCGTGAACACCTTCAAGCAGTTCTCAGTTCTCTTTGAAATATCTCTCAGTCACTGAGCAAAATACAAACTGCTGTCATGTCCCCAAGCAGCCGTTTTCTGAAACTGCCTGCAAGGGTACATCCCGTATCATTGTGTGACCTTTGTGATCAGGTGCTCCTGGGTACCAACCAGGTGGTCCGAAGGTAAAATGACCAAAACTCGTTCATCCTTTTTTCAAAGAAAATCCATGAACCATTGAACATCAACATGTGCCTCCACTATGCTCCGGCCCCAGCCTACTACTATTCAAGTAAACAAGTCCTCAGTGCATCCTATGATTGCGTCCCAACTGTGGAAAATTTCCCATGAGGCTTCCAATATCTTCCAATACATTTTTCAATCATCTACTATATGTCTAATAAACGTTAATAAACTGTCAGTATTCGTCCACGGTTTTACATTTCTCTTGGAGTCTGCAGCCTGACGAGTTTCAAGCCTCTGGAGGTGTGGAGGAGCGGTTGCTCAAACTTGCAAGCTTCGCAAAGACCTCAGGTAATTGTTCACGTCACCGGTTCTGCGTGCTTTATGTGTAGGAGCAGGTGGCAGTGGGTTAAGCCCAATGCTTTGGGAAGAGTCCGCTGGAACTTTGACAGTCGCGCGTACGAAGCACTTTGTACCTCCCAGAGCAACAAAGACTCGGCAACAGCTCTAAGCGATTTGAATGGATTTGCTTCATAAAGTGGATCCTGGATCCGCATATCCACAACTGTTGATATTGTTTGATGTTTGAGGCACCAGTCGAGCCCATCCAGCAGGTGCAAGACTCTCACAAGTAGCCTGGCAGGATCCAGTCCAGACTCCAGGATTCTCATGGATGCGGAAGGTGCGGGATCTTCCGAGCTCCTGCCTCCAAGCGGATCAGGTATTCCATTAAGAGTAGGCCTCAAGTCCAGCTGCAAAGAATCCGTCAATCTGACTAGACATGATACATGTACAAGAGCCACTGCGCAATAGTGACATTCCATGACATTCCAAAGGCCGGGACAAGAGCCACTTGCTGGAAACTCCCCTGAGATCGCTGGAAACATATCTGTAAACGTCCAGTGCTCTCCACAAAAGAGATTTGCTCAGGTTTTTTCATGAAGCATGGAAGTCTATGGAAGTCTCACACACCAAAATGACAAATGGAAGACTAAGTCACTGGTCGAAGGCACTGGGATCATGCAGCACAACGCAGCACAACAGAATCACTGAGGCGTCGTCTTTCTCTTGAGGAGTCTTCCTGCTGTGGTGTCAGCAACTTGCATAGCCATCCCACTTGTTAAGTGGACAGGAACTATGGCTGGTAAGTCCCCCAGCTTGCGCATACTGGAGTTTCCAAGTAGGACACTAAGTACAAGCCAATGACACACTGAAAAAGGATGGAAAAGCTATATAGGTCCCCGGCCTCCTCATCATCTTCACACTTCTGCTCCTGCGGAGTCCAAGATCACACAATACATGTGTAGAACCGGCCATCGTTGATGCGATGGTTCCTTTTCTGGCATCCAAATGATACCATGCTTGGCTGGATGATTTTGTGAAGTCAGTCAGTACTTTGAATACCGGCCCGCAATCAAACGCCGTCACAACGGAATTTCCTAAATAAAAAATGAACACATATCATATATCAGAAGTGTTTGACAAATTGAATGTGTACAACATAATTCTTTTGATGAAATAATTCTTATAATAAGAACAGAAATGCCTCGCGAAAAAAGACACACCACAGAGATGCCTGGGGCGAACTTCTCGAGGTGCCTCTCCCAATGCACTGCCGAGATGATCAGCTACCACACGCCAAACTACACAATCATCAGCTACCTATCCGACACATTCCAAAAAACATTTCTATACATTACTATATAATATATACATCCGATACATCATGGTACTCTTTGTATCTCTATGTATCAATTTGTAGGGAAAGAACCTGCCAAGTGCCTGATAGTGCGCCAAGCGCCCGCCGAGCGGAGGCTAAGGCAGTCTGACAGAGACAGGTCAAGCGAACATGAAGTGAACTATACGGCAGCTTTGCTTCCCTGGCCCTTCAGAAGCAAAATTACAAGTGTTCCGCAGATGCATGCATTGCATTGCATGCATCTCAATGTGACTCAAGGAAACAGATTTGGGATGGTTCAAGTTCATTGTGAAGAATGGTGAACCATGGTGAATCCCCATGCCAAATCTGCCAAGCAATGACTCGTCTCGCCTCTCGAAGCTCCGACTCCACTGTGGGGTTCACGGCCGCAGGAAGAGGCTTCGTGAAGAAGGCGGGTCGGAGATCCTGCACCGTCTCATGATTTGTTTTATATGGGGATAAACCATGATAAACCTACCATTTGGGGTTGATGTTTACCATTGTTTACCACACATTTATGGTAGCGGGGATGGTTTATTATTGGGTTTACCACATTACATAAGTTGGTTTTTCGCAAAGCCGGTGAACATGCATCAAGTATTGACCATCTAAGGGAATTGCAATGCGATGCAACGGGAAAACTGCATATCACCAGAGCCACTTTGGGACCATGGGTGTTCTGACATGTGCTGACAAGAATCTGGCGAAAGCAGTCAAAGCCTTCTTGGGAAACCACCCTATCATACCCTATCCGCAACTGGAAAATGCCCAGCCCTGCCCTGTATAAGGTGCAGAATCGCTCCTTCCAGGATATTGGACTTGATGCTTGCAAGATGCTTTCCAAGTCAGCCAGCACAGGATTGGGTCCAGTTGGCTCTTCCGGTGGCCAGTCCTCCACATCCGCCACAAAAAGGTCGTTGTAGAAGCTTTCGGAGGGGCCAATTGCCCGTTTCAGTTCAGTGGCGGATCTGGAAGGAAAAGGGCCATACAGCAGAGAGGCCAACATCTGCGACTGAGACAAACATCGGTTCACTTTCGACAGAAGACTCGCACCACGAGGGGCTAATTGCTGGGCTCGCGCCTCGGTGATCATGCCGTATCTCTTCACGGCAGCTCGCGTTGGGTAGAGCACCACAAAATTGTGACATCGAGAGCGTTCCCCAATGGATTTGGCTAACATCTTCAAGTTGCCATCAGAGAGTGCATTCAGCACCAGGGGGGCATGGCTATCATCGACGTTTGGGACGTCATCTTTTCGATTCTCCTTGGCTCCTTGTCCATTTTGTTTCCAAGGTTGACAATAGGTCGCTCTCATCCGATCCAGCTTTGGGGTTCTTTCATTCGAATGGATGCCCACCAGATTGAACGTGTCCGCCAAGAGAGAGCTTTTGATTTGCCAGTCCAAAGGTGATTCAGCTTGCATGCTTGGACTTAAGTTCACTTCCAAAAGCCACGGCTTCAAGTCACTATCCACCAGAACATCAAAGCCGTAGAGTTCAAAACAATTCTCTCGGTTTCCTGTGAGCTGCTTGGTTCTGCTACTGATGGCTGGCTCAACCGACAACAAGGTCTTGACGATGAGATCCATAATTCGAACCCACATGAGATTCACATCAACTCCCACGCAGCGCAAATGTTTGTTTAGGGCTGAAAGGCTCCACTTGTGGCCCACATTGTCAGCTCGCATGTCACTGTTTTCAACGAAGGTATTTGAGTTCTTGTTCACAGAGTAGTTCGTCAAGTGCCGGAAGGCATCTTGCATATGTTCTTCCTGAGTGCTGTATGGTGCCGAAGCAAAACGTGTCAAACCCTCGCGATAGATGTAGGCCTTCAAAGGATCATAAGAGGTCACCAGAACGTAGACTCGCAAATCAAATTTATATCCTTGAATCAAGAGGGGATCTTGGACGTAACGCGAGACCACCACTGTCTCATCCAGGGGCAGCTCAGACAAGTCTTGCAAAATGAAAATTCCCCTTCCACGCGATGAAGCATTGGGCTTCACAATCCAATGACATCTAGACCTTTGATAACACTTCAAGAAAGCATCAAAGTTGTCCGGTAGAACATACGTCTCGGGAACGAAATCAAAGCAACCCTTGCCGTAGTTCTTAGCCATCTGCGCAAAATGCAACCACAAACGATCTTTCCTTGTCAATTCCGTGGAGTTCGGGAAGTGATTTATCCTTTGCCAGTCCATCATGCACTGATAGACGTTGTCCCGAATGTTTGGACCTGACCACTGTATAGCATAATCGTTACACATAGTAGGGATCATCCCATTCAGCTGAAAGGTGTCACGCAAGATCGGAGCATCCGAGTTCAGTAAGAAAGCAGGAGGGCATGTGCAGCATGTAGATGATCGGCTCTTGGACCTGAATACGAAAAAATGGACACAACATGACCACAACATTGTAACATGACACAACTCTGTCGGATCTGTCATATGTCGCAATATGTCGCAATATGAATGGCTCCTGCGGTCTTTCCTTTCACTTCTCTTTACCGGTCTATGATTGCTGGTTTGCACCGAGTAGCGTTTGAGCTTTGCTGCCTGGTAAAGGAGCTGCTCGGAACCTCGGTTGATCTGCGGTGTGAACCAAATCGGTGGCAATGTGTCTTTGCGCTATGTCCGTGCTGTGGGGCAAGAGGTATTTAAACGATATCAGTACCTTATGTGACTTATGTGTATGAATGTGTGTGTGTGTTGCGTATATTTATCCTATGTGCCATGGTCAAAAGATGGTAGAATTATATGTAGTATGGGCGTCCATCCCATATTGGAAATCCTCACAATGTATAATATGATATAAAATGATATAAATCCTTATGAATGGATTATAGTCGATTGATGAGCATCCCCTCTTATATCTCTTATGGGTAAATATGCAATCCATCTTTTGACCATCGCATATATGTATACCATAGAGTGCACGACTTTGGTCAGCTGGGCTTCCGGCTGAATGGTCGGCCGATCAGAATACCGACTGCCCAGAGATGCTAGCACCTGCGGAAAAGATTGGAAAAGTAACAAAGATATGGGTTTGTCTGAAAATAGTGTACCCCTACACCCAATGGTTAATGATCAGTGTCCCTACTAAATGGCTATAATTGGGGGTATACCCCATTTTCAGACATACCCATATGATGGCTCGGATAAGTTTTCCTATCTCACTCTGCTCGTTTTCAATGCGTAGTGGCGTGCCATAGTGGCGTACCTCTGTTAGTCTGCTCTCAAGTTGCTGTGTCGTAGGCTCAGGAAATCCGGACCTTGCGTCCTGGCGACATCTTCAACTTCACTGCACAGTGGTATGTAAGTTGAAAGAATTCAAGCTGAGAGGACATTGATTAAAAAAAAAAACGTTGTAAATCATTATAATATATTATAATATATTATAATTATAATAGGACATGTGTTCACGAGGATATGCCCGGTCTGCAACTGCCACCCGCTTTTCAGCGTGTCAGCGTGTCTGTCGGGACCTCGTCATCAGAGGAGTAGCCTGGAACTTTCTGCCAAAGGTCTGCTGAAGGCTGCATGCTGCACCTCATGCAATAGCAGGCATCAAAAGGCATCAATAGGCAAGATGTAATTAAGATTAATTAAGTCTAAATCCTTATTGAATTGGGAGTAGCATGGAGTAGCTTGAAAGAATCCAAGGCTTCGAGATGGGGCAAACTTCCCCTTGCCATGTGGGGAGTAGCCATGTCCTGAATCTGGAGATTCCATATCGTTCCAGCCAGGACCTTTCAGATAAACGTCCAATAGTCCACTTGAATCGTTTGACTAACCATCTACATCAACTCCTCTTGTGATTTGCATGGAATGGAATGTGTGCTGAATGATGTTGAATGAAAGTGCAAGGTTGCTTCTGAGACGGCCACTTCAACACTCCAACACATGCTGAAAGCAAACGGCATCAGCTGTGCGCATTTATATATATATATATGTGTGTATATATATAAGCGTCCTTTTGTTTCCTCTTGTACTTTTCATGCAGTGGCTGTGCGGTGCTGGCTTATGCGGATGTTTCGGGAAAATTGAAGTCGGTCTGCGCTGCTGAAATGGATGTGCACTGATGAGGATGGCTTGCTTGTTATGCCGCTGAATTTTGATTTGTTGTATCTTGGATTTTGCCATGGCTCACCATGTTATCCTTGAGTGTCAAGAAACTGCCAAACATCGCAAGACAACAGTAAAGCAAAAAGAGACCAGTACAAACATATTGTGATAGGGGGTGACACTATCTGCTGAAGCGGCCAATAAGAACGTGTACATACAATGCACCCCTTTCATCATCATCTGCATGTGTAAAGCGGCACCTGCATTGTTGCCAGATCACCAGGTTCCGGCTGCTTTAGCGCCTGGCGCAGAAATACACGTTGTTTTTGTATGTGTTTGTTGTTTTAAGAAGACGTTGACGTGGGCCGGCAATAAACTGGAGAACTGACACATCCATCTGATCCTGCCCTTCCGGCAAATAGCAAGCACGTTGGGAATACCCTGATAGTGTAATACTCGTTGTCCTGCTCTTCAAACCTGAGTACAACAGAATTTTCAAGGCATGGACTCGACTGCTAGCTTCAATTTGGCGACGCCAAAAGCGTTAAGGAAAAGGAGGGAAAAGGAGGAAACCGAAGGAAATTATTGGCATGGCAGTTTTGGAGAGTAGTACTATCAAGCTGCTTGTCTGAGCAAACAGCCGCTTCTTAAGGAATAAATCACAAGGTAAGCAATCTCTCCAAAGAATGAAAAAGTGATCTCAGCATCATGCTTGACTCTTTTCGATGTTTTGCACTGAAACACCTGGCACTGCTGGCACTGCAAACTGCAAACATTTTGGAAACGGTCCAAGGCCTCTCTTCTTTTGTATTCTTTTGTCAAATATCAAGCAGCACAATACCGTACAAATCCATAATGTACAATACGGATGTGCGAAACCATGCAAGGGATTACCATGCAGACCTGATAGAGCCCTCTTGAACCACCCTCTGGGTTGTCCACGCCTGAAGAGCGAACAGCAACAGACTGCTCAAATGCATGCGCTCATGTGGCAAAAACGCAAGAGGTCATTTCTCATGAACCCTTCCAATCCCATGATGTTCGTTCCTTGTGTCCATCGGCCTCTGCCAAGAGGATTTAGGCTCTCATACTCTGCCTTTGAGTACCTGTCGTGCTTGGTTTTGAGCTGGCCAGTTCGATTCAAGTTGTTCCACTATTTGGGAGCCTTGGCCCTGCTGCCATGTTGATGAGACACCAAGACTACAAAGAGCACCGCAGTGCATTGAATCATGGTTGAACTCGGTTGAACCATGTTCTTTGGCCACCTTGCAGACATGCTTCTTGTTGTCCGCTACCAAAGTGTAAGGAGTACTTCGCTGCCTTAGAGCCGTGAGCCGAAGAACAATACCCTGAGATGCTCCAGTCACTTTGCAGTGAGGCCACGGCGTAGCGGGCAACGACGGCCACGGGGACACGTGTGGTCCTTCGAGGTGTCTGCAACAGGACATCCGAAAGGAGAAAAGTTTCAGATAACATCAAATGACTGCAAAAATCTGCAAAACTTGCAGGAAAAGCAGATCAATCGTGACTTGCACATGGATTTGATGCAGATTCATGTTGTGCTTCGGAACGTATGCAGCTACGATACAAGTTTTAACATGCTTTAACCATATTTGTTCAAGTCAGTGTTGGCTGATGGTTCACTCCTCTTTGCGCCAGAGGTCTCCCGTGGCCGAAGTGAATAGGAAGAGAATTCTTGGTTCTTAAGCCAAATGCAGTTTCAGACTGGTGTGAGCGCCTAGTTAAAGTAAGCTCATGTGAAAGACCTTAAAAATCACATGAAATCACCTCATTCACCATGAGCATAGAATCTCACGTATCGTATGATCAAAGATATAAGCGCTGGTGTCTGAAGCTGCGCGCTCGTCTCTTTCATCTTCGCAAGGGGTTGCACACAGCAAGCAGTTCCCTGGGGCTCCAAGAGGTGTCTCAAATGGACCCCTCGATGTCGATACTGAACGGCCATGCTGCTTCAGCAACAGCCCAACATGGCCCAACTATGTCATCTCACAGGACCTCAGCGCAATGGGATCATCTGCGCCAGCTTCCCGAAATTTCCCAAATAGAGCACACGGTTCTTGCCGAGTCTATTTCCCCGCCTGAGGGGAGTTTGAAATATTTTAACATTTCAGCTAAAATACAGAACCCACAGCATCTGACTTCCATGGAAGCCGTCTTCGGAAACAAGGCTTGGGGTCACCCCTCTGGCCAGTTTCGCCGCATAGAAAAAGCAAAGCACCGCAAATCTCACCAGTTTCATCTGGTTTCTCTGTGACTCAAAGGCTTTGTCCAGTTTTAAGTCCCGGAACTGAATTGCATCCAAGAAGCAGCGCAAGCGGTAGAGCGTGGTGGCTCCTGTCGCCGACTCACAAAAATGGTTTCCCGGTTCTTCTTACATGGCTGGCACAAGCTTAAACATTGTGGTTGTTTATTGTCTTCCATTGGTTTTCCATCCTCGTCCTCCGAAACTGCGTAGGAACAGCATCAATGAAAAAACCTCTATCTCTCGCCTGAATTGGAGGCATAGCTGCCACTGGCGCATGACCCCCTGCAGGTTGCCTCAAGAAACAAAACGTGTAGCATGCCATGTCGAGGTAATATGGATGAAAGCAAGGTAGAGGTAACATGTCTAGATGGCCCCCAACCAACGGACAACCAATATATGCCCAAGGATTTGCAATTTGGGGAATCAGTATATAGCTTAAGCACCGACAAAGTGCATAAGTGAGAAGATTGACAATCAAACAAGGAATCTTGAAACCAAGAATTCCATGGAATGCATACAAAAGCAGCCTCCATGAGTCTTCGTCCATTTTCCACCAACACCCTACACCCTACATGCCACAATCTGGGATGAAATGGACGGCGACAATAAACTAGAGAGGGAGAAAACCAAGGTTGCTGTATTTGTTTTAACTCTATTGCGCTGTGACACAGGCCGGCTCCACCCCAAGAGGGTCAGAGGAAGGAAGTATATTACACATCACATAGATGTATAACTACGTAGAATATATATATATACATACGTATATTATATATAGTAAATCTTTTATATATCCATTAGAAGCTCCACTTTTGTTCAAACAAAGCCTACAAAATAACCATCACCTTGTCTTGAACATGCGTGTCCCAACAGAACCTGTTTCCTTTACATTCTTGTCAAAGTCTCTTTGCCTGTGAAGTCTCAATATGGCATTCCGCAAGACCTCTATGCATCAAAACTGGAAAAGTTGTAGTGGGCACCTTTCAGAAGCACTCTCTTCTGAGGCTATCTTTATGAAACCTCCAGACCCAAGCTTGTGATTTGACCACAAGAAACCATGGATGCTGCTGGCACTGATTGGTCCAAGCATTTGGCCCGCCCAGAAAGCTGATTGTGCCGCTGCGCATTTGTAGCCTAGTCCAGTAAGACACCGTGAAACTTGGTTTGCTTCATTGGGTTCAAGCTGGGTTCAAGCTCAAGCAGCTGATAGACGCTCACAGAGCTACAGGGCTCACAGGGTTCACAGGGTTCACAGCTCCGAAACCTCCAAGGTTTTGACTGTTTGGCACTCTTTCTTGCCAGCGACACGATTGCCGGCACCTTGGTGACAGCAATGTGACTTGCAGATCTTCGGCGTCCGAGACATGTTGTCCGAGACATGAATAGAATTGAATAGAATTGAATAGACTATATAGACTATATAGACTATATAGACTGCCTGATGAGACGTTCGATTACGTTCAAGGCACGGAGTCCTTCCACGTTTGGCCCTGGCAAAAGCTGCCAAGGGCCTCACGCAATAGTCATATGAGTCATATACATTGAACATCATTCAACATCATTGAACTGCATCTTCAGTTTGCTGTTGATGTTCTTTCCAAATCTGCAAAGGATTAGCCTGGAAACTCCACCGTGCAGCGTCACCAGAAAACCTGAGGTGACAGAAACATCAGTGAACTTAAGGGCAATGATAGGCAATGCACAAATCAGTCAACATCCCTAATGTGACAAACCATAAGGCGAATGTCTCGCATGCGAAACTGCCACAAACTTGTTGAGCAGAGGCACTCTAGAAAGAATCTTCCCATGACAAGTCCCTTCTCTCCTCGGCCATCACGCAATGCCTCAGATATGCCAAACATTTACAACTTATGTGTGGCCTCAGAAGTACACTGTATACCGTATACCTCTTCGTCAACTCAAATCGAGAGCAGCGCGTATCTTGCCATTTCCTCTCCAGATGAATCGAAAATTCTACCTGGAAGTCACAATGAATGAATTTCTTTTGCATTGCGCAATGTGCAGTTGGGAGGATATGCATCTAGTGGACATGATCAACTGCATTTTGAGGAGGAGACAGTATGCGCTCTCGACATTCTCAAAGGTGACGCCGCGGGTATATATCTGAAGAATGAAAAATAAAAAACTCATAAAAGTACCCTAGATGGTGTGGGCCAGTGTGGACATGACAAAATATGTCAAAGTGATGCGTTGCTTTGATATGCGCATGAGTATCCAGCATTCACGACGAAGAAAATCTGGGACACCTCGGCCTGGCACATCAAGGGGCCGAGCACGTCATGTGGCACACAACACCATCCAAGCGTATTGAAATGTAACGAAGATTGTTGGATTCAATTCATAATTTCCACAGGAAGTGTGAGAAGTGTGAAGACTGGACAGTTTCACGGGAATGGCTGGAAGATCAAGTTCAATGACCTTGGCGACTGCAATGAGTTTCCCTGAGGAAAGTTTGTCACCAGCTGAGTTTATAGCTTCGTCATCACCTTCACCCTGGCAAACCGATTCCATATGGCAACTGTGGTGTCATGCGAATTCCGTCTGAGACATCTTAGATATTTCAGCAATACAAAAGGCACCTCTCCAGTGAGATTGTCGCCGCTATGCTTGAGAGCCCATCCCTGTTCATTTCCGACGAAATGTAAACAAAGCCAATCAGGGATTCGTGTCCCATCAAATTATATGACTTTTCCAGGACTCAAAAACTCATGACCGCCATGCAAAGCCCCAAGCTTCAAGTTGCCCAAAGAAGACGGCGCCAAGGACCTTTCCGCTCCGGAATAATGATAGCAGCCAGCAAAAAATGGTTTTCCATGGTTGGCGTGGATGTGTTCCTGGCAGAAGGCATGAGTGAACAATCCCAAAGATGAGAGAATACCATGCCTCGCAGTCTTTGGTCATGACTACGGCAGAAACCTTGGGTACTGCCCATGAGCGACAATGGGGACTATGAAGGGGGCACAAGAGGAGAGACTACACACAAGCAGCATCAAGAAACAAGGGTTGCCTCTTCAGCAATTAAGCAGCTTCCATACAAAGACTACGCACAGCTGCTTCGTTCTGCTCGCGATGCTCTGAGACACAAACGTCCAGGTCAATGTCCATCACTGCTGAAGCATCCCAGCCTGTCATATGCCAAGAGAAAGCCTGTGGTTGCGTGTACATATGTATATTATACTTTTATACCAGTAGGCCCGCACAAGGCGGTGGTGGAAATTTCAAAGATCGGAAACCTATAGGAGAGGTGAATGGTTGTGACTCATGGATGGCAGAGCGAACAGATGGACCGAAAGGTGGTTGAGGCTCTGAGTTATCTACCTATCTATCTATCTATCTATCTATCCATCTATCTATCGATCTATCTATCTCATCTCATCTCATCTCATCTCATCCAATCCAATCTCATCCAATCCAATCCAATCCAATCCAATCTAATCTAATCTATCTATCTTTCTCTTTGTCCGTCTGTCTATCTATCCGTTTCACTATCTATCTCTCGCTAATGCTATTTAATTCTATCTAATTCTATCTACCTCTATCTAATTCGATCTAAGTCTATCTACTTCTAGCTAGCTCTATCTAAACCTATCTAATCTATCTAGTTCGATCTAATTCTATCTAATTCTATCTAGCTCTATCTAACTCTATCTAACTCTATCTAACTCTCTATCTATCTATCTATCTATCTATCAGTCAAATCTAATCTAATCCGATCTAATCTAACCTACTCTACTCTACTCTACTCTAATCTAATCTAATCTATCTAATCTGTCTATCTGTCTATCTGTCTATCTGTCTATCTGTCTATCTAGCTATCTGTCTATCTGTCTATCTAGCTATCTATCTATCGATCTATCTACGTCTATCTCTCTATGTCGATCTGTCTATGTCTATCTATCTATGTCTATCTATCTATGTCTATCTATCTATGTTTATCTATCTATATGTCTATCTATACATATATATGTATATATCATCTATATATATATATATATATCTATCTATCTATCTATGTATCTATCTATCTATCTATCTATCTTTCTATCTATCTATCTATCTATCTATCGTTCTATCTATCTTTCTATCTATCTATCTATCTATCGTACTTTTCTATCTATCTATCTATCTTTCTATCTATCTACCTATCCATCTATCTACTCTATCTACTCTATCTACTCTATCTACTCTATCTACTCTATCTACTCTATCTATCTATCTATCTATCTATCTATCTATCTATCTATCTATCTATCTATCTATCTATCGACAACCGTCCGTAACTCGGAAGTTTCTAACGAAACTTCCTTTGATGAATGGTTATAATGTAGCGATGTATGAATGTAAGAATGTCTGAATGCATAGCTATAGGAATGCATGAATGCGAGAGTCTATGAAAGATTATGAATCATGAATGTAGAAATAGAAATGTATGAACATATTTATTTGACAACTGACTGACTGACTGAATGAATCAATGAATGAATGAATAAGTGAATGGTTCCACGACTGACTGAGTGATTCCATGACTGACGGAATGAATAGATATATGCATTGTCTGTCTATCGTGTAATAATGTGCAACATAACTATGTGGATGTGCAAGTGTATGAACATGCGCAAAAACATATCTTTGAGATTCTTTGAGTGTGTTACAATGCTTCCCTGATTGCCTTGTTGTTTTACACATGTCCAGCTATTCTTCGAACAAAACATACAAAAGTTAAAACGATGTAAAACAGCTGTCTGTCTTTGTTCAGAACACGTTGATCAAAGAAACGTGTTTGGATGGCCAAGACCAGCATAGACTTTCCCAATGGAGTGAGCTTGAGGCCTGGGTACAAAACGCGCTCAGTCGTATCGCACAGTGTACTTTCAAAATTTCGAGCTCATCGAAACTCTGGTGGATGCATGTAATTTCATTCTTTGGATGCAACCGATCGTAGGGCACCCAACAAGTCCATCACTGCTGCTTTTTCCATCGCAAACGCGACCTGAACATGACACATGGTGATGGAAGGGCAATCAAACTTTGAAACTGAAGCTCCATGCACTACTGTGGCGCTTGACAGTTGATGATTTTGATGGCTTGTGGACCACTTATGGATGCTTATGATTGCTTATGGATGTTTAAAGACTGGCCTTCTGGCGCTTGGGAGCACCTGGAATGGCAGCACGTATGATGTTCCTGAGCTCCGCAAAGCTACAGTAGGATGTCTTTGGTGTTTCTTCTGCGATACATGTCTTAAATGCAAAAACAGTCTCCCCAACACAGGCTCGAGGATGTCAATGAAATGTCGGCCTCAGCCGATGATCCGCCCCGCTTTTCCCGGTATCCGCCATAGCCCAATGAAGGCCCCGCTTAACCTTCGCTACTTTGGCTCGCCTTCTCGAGCAGGCTCCTGGATGACTTGCAAGATCCAGGACTCCTTGGCCAAAGTTCCACCAGAGGATTTGCCACACGACGCGATGCGATACAGTATGATACAGTACAGTATGATCTTATAATATCTAATACGGATAATATATGAATATATATGATAATGTGGTATGCTTAAATCATCTTGAATCACTTGAATCAACCACAACTGCATCCTTCTGAAGTTTCTGGATTATGTTTATCCATTGCCACAAGGTCCTTTCAATCCCAATCCCGGGTTGAGATGGGGACTGAACGCTGCATCACTGCGACAGCATCAACTTGATAGGTGCTCTGCTCCAGCTGGTATCTGCCCACCTTTCCACGGATCAGGTCTCAAGATCCGAATGTTGCCGCGTTTTGTGTTTTGTGTTTCCCTAAATGGGTATGGATCAATACCTATTAATACCATTTTAATGGGATGAACATCCATTTACCAGCTATTTTGATGTTCACCAGGGGTACAAGGTTTTGACACACTGCCAAATGTTGTTTTTGTGTTTCCATGTTGTTTCCGCAATTCGTTGTTTTTGCCGCTGAAGTCATCTTACGCTCCGGAAAAAAAGAAACGCGGCCATCACATGTAGCCTGTAGCCAGAAAAGGACCTTTTTAGACCTCCCCTGCAAATGGCGCAAGCCAAAGATCTGCTGCTATAATGCTGCGCAAGACTGTCCAAACACAGGTGGCACACTTAGATGGCTTTGCACCCGGGCAAGTCCGACACACTGGGAGACTGCTTTCACTGTTCTTGAGGTAGGATATATTAGAATTCTACAATGTTCTAATAGATTTTCTTTTATTTCGATTCACCAGAGAATATAGAGGCGTTAGGTCGCATTTCGTCGGTCTAAGTTTGTATAAAATCAGGATTTGGCAGGATTGTTTTTTTTTATCAGCACAGGAATGCTGCTGCCACATTATCGATTCCATTCTTTCATGTATTGGCAGTGTAGGCCTTGCAAGCCATCAAACGGGTGTATCTCTGTCGCACATTGTCGCAGTGGGGCATGTCTTCATGGGCGAGCTGTATTTCCGTGTCTGTGCGTGTCTTTCGTCAACCTCAAACAAACCAAGTGTATTGTACAAGCACCTCTTGAAGTTTGCTGGTTCTAGTGTTGTTCAAAACAAGCAAGGTCTTGGAAATCAAGAATGTGAAACCATTTGCAGTGGTTCTACAAACAATTACTAACTATTGCATCATATTGCATCAAACGTATAGTATTCAATAGTCAATAGTATTCAAACATGTCCAAACAATCTTGAATCTTGACCCCTAACACATCATTGATGAATCATATACAGTCAGCCAGACCTACGTATTTGTTACTTGCCAACGGGCAATGGATCATGCACGTGTGGTCGATCCACCTCTCGCTGGAGATCTTCTTCGAGAACGTGGAGCGTTCCATTTTGTGCCTTGCGGAGCTGCTATCATGTGGCGATGGGGGCAAAATATCAAAATACTGAGGCCCTGAATACAGTAGTACTTAGCTAGTTATATAGTATATGTCATAATATGGTCATCATTCATAATATTTCTTTATTGTGTAGTTCACATGAAAATGGCTGGTAGATGATGATAGATGAATGTGGATCCCAACATGCATGGTATTGAGTAATCCTGATCTACATTCCTCTTCGTTGACTGGTGCAAATCGTTGGAAAGCTAAGCGCTGCACATCACGCAAGCTGCCACCGCTAAAGGCTGCCACCACAAAAATGACCAGCCTGCCACAGTCACTGTGTCAATTCCTGTCTACACAAGTGCAGGTGCTTCATATGGTTGAATAGTCTTGCTATATGACTCCACATGTGTAAGCTGCAAAGCTCTAAACTCTAAACATCTCTAAAATATTTGCCACCTTATGTTCACCGGGAGTCTGGGTAGATTCACCCAGATCAACTCGTCTAGCCCAGCCTCCAATGGACAGAAACAACAAAAAGATGGTCACAGCAAAGAAAGGCAGCTTCACGCTATTTATGTTTCAACTTCGGCACAGCAAGGCATAGACCCAAAGCCCCAAAGCCTTTTTGCCGGTTTGCTCATCGCCGGAGTGTGTGATGGTACCCTGGAGAGCCTCGTGAGCAGGTGACTTAGTGCGGATGGAAGCAGTCTCGAGACTGCGGCAACTGATTCCTTCACGCTGTTAGATTGTGTTAGGTGCACACACTACTATTATGATCTCTCAAATGCACTGGAGAGGGTTGCAATTGGTTGCAGCTTGCGAAATTAAAAAAGTGTTCAATGTGCGAAATCATCACGAATCGCTCTGCAAGTGGAATGTAAGTGGAATGTGGTTGTCAAAGCTTCGCCTTCATGTTGTTGTAGTACACAGCATCAACGATGCATCCTTTGTCGTTGACCACTACTGCCTAGCAGCAGCCATTTTAGCCGGTGAGATTCTTGGCTGTCAGGCGGGCCTGCAAGTCCAAATCCACAGCCTGTCTTCCGAGATCCCAGGACCTCAAAATCACCAAGCATCATTAAGATCATTAAGCATTATCAATGCATTATCAGATTATCAACTGAACTGCAAGTACATTGGGTTGACAAGAATCCGCAAATCTGTGGCGCGGGCACAGCAACTCCATACCTCAGAACTTGTGGGACTTCACATCCCAGCACATCCCTAAAATCCCTAGCCAGCCATAGCCCTTACATGCCCCTACTTTGTATGCGCTTGGTTCCCTGCTTCACAGCTCGCAGAGGTATGTCTTCGTGACTGCCTAACAGCAAATCAATAAATCATAATAAGTCAATGCGCGATTCTGGCGGCCACTTGCAGTGTCAGCTGCACAGCTCTTCGCCGCCGAGCAGCTCATGAATGCCTCCTGAAGTCTACCAGGTCCAAACATGTCCAAACCAGGAAAAAGCAGCACCGAAAACAAAAGCTCATGGGAAGTGAGCAGAAGGACCAAAAGATGCAAAAGATCCAAAAGAAACAAAAGGAGCCAAAGTCCAAGGATTCAAAAAGATTCAAAAAGGAGGATGGATGTTCATGCTGTTCATGGGTCCCTTGCAAACAAACCCGAATGACACACAGAAAACCTGGAGGATGTGAAGGGATGTGTTCAGTCTCGTCCTGTAATCCTTAACGTCACAGCATGTCAGTCCTTCGCACATGTTCTCTTAAATCAAGTAGAACTCCGTGAAAAGCATCCAGCTGCATTGTCGCTGCATTGCGTAGTGCCAAAGTTGCGCAAACTGAATTTATATGGTTTGAGTTTGAATATTGTGTTTCAATTGTTGAACAGCTAGATCGTGCATGACTGCTAGTCTGGAGCCTGGGACGACGGAAGAAGAGCTTGAATAAAATGTGAGATCACTGTTCCAATCTAAACAAGGAATCAATGCCCAGAAATCATCGTACGGTCCTGTCATACATAGTACCTTGTACAGTAACTCTCAGCAGGCTTCTAGCAGCAAATTTTCGCTGATCCGCAGGTAATAAAGGTACAGGAGAGGCTGTTTGACCTTCTGCAAACTTAAACGTTAGCCATGCTTTGTCTTGTTGCATTGATGGCACTCATGCAAGTCTGATTTTTGAATTCAGCCTACCCACACCTCCCCGCAGCATCATTCCGAGTTGGGGAAGTGACGCGTCGCGATCTTTCTGTGGCAGGGAGGGATTTCTCCAATCTTGGAGTCATTAACTTTGAGTTGGAGCTATCTTGCAGCGCCTCTCTTGGGCTGATCACTGCTTGAGATGTTTGGCCCGTTTGGCCCGTTTGGCCCGTTTGGCCACCAGGCTTGAGGTTTGAAAGGTTTGGAAGGTTTGAGACATCTGCTCGCTGCAAAGGTCGCATCTGCCAAGCTTTGAGAATCTGCGGCTGGATTGAGAGCTGAGTGAGCTGCGGGCCACTTTGAGCATTTTGAGCAACTCTTGGGGATCTTTGTGGTGAAGGAACAAATCTGGGTGAAACCATGGGCGAAGTTGTTTGCGTCAGCCTGGGAGTTGACATTGTCCAATTCACTGGTTGAGATACCGGCATCCGTGGAGACACCATCTGGGGTACATCACCTGCGCGTTCCGTGCCAAGGTCATTGCGTGGGAAAACATTCGCTGAAATGATCGGAGGCTTCTCAGATTTGTAGTTGAAGGACAGGTTCTGCAAAGGTCGCAAAGGTGCGGGTGAAGATTGTCTGGTCGAGTGAGTGAAGTTTGGCACTGCATCCTTCGGCTGGCATCGTTTTGGATCATGGATCCCCGAGGTCACTGAGGTCACCTGGGGCACATGGCTGGGCACATGGCTGGGCACCTGGCTGACTTGGCTGGGCGCATGACTGGGCACGTGGCTGGGCACGTGGCTGGGCCCGTGGCTGTGCACGTGGCTGTTGATGCTGTTGCTCTGGGTTTCACCCGTTTCAACTCGCGGCAAAACAATGGTCTGATCCGAAGGAGTTGGTCCGGCATCGCTGTCCGACTCGGGAGGTAGAGCCGGTGCTGACATCTTTGGCTCCAGCGAGGCCACATGGGCCACATCTTCAACAATCCCACGAAGTGTGTCATTGAGCTGGCCGATGCACATCTTGGTCTCTGAGGACAATTTGTTGAGTTTGTTTTCAAGCTGCTGCTGTTCTGCTTTGACATGGGAAATCTGCTCCGCAGCGGCACTTTGGATCTCTTCCAGCCGCTTTAACTGGAGGATCTGCGCACGTTCAGATTCCCTCGTGTCTGAAATCGTTTCATTGATAGCATGCACGTGCTGCATGACATAGCCCTGCTGCTGCTGACTTTTCATCTGGGTTAGCGCCAGTTCCTTTGTTGCTGGATGTTCGGATTGCAAAATGTAAGAAACGTTAGAATATAGTGAGATATGAGATACTGTATGTCGATTAACAGGTCCCACTGGCACTACCACACTACAGTAAGTCGCCACTGACCGCCCTCAATGTTGTTTTCGTTTTAATGTGTCATTCATTCGTGTGCATTCTTGACCATAAATAAACACTAAGGAACAAAAACCTTTCTTGGTCGGCCAATCATGTGGGCCGATAAAGTAGGGAATGAACAATGAAGGTAGCAGAAAGGAGTGCAGTAAACTTTGGCTGGGGCTGGGGCGTGGACGTCAGTCTTTTGGCCAAAAAATCCAATAACAAAACCATTCAGCACCACTGTGCTGCAATGTCGTTGGTAACATTGATAGAGTGCCACTGATGCAAAACCAAGATTCTTCCATGCGGTTTGACACCGTCTTGATGGCATCTGTCATGAAATTTGTCAACTGCTCAATGGCTTCTTCTCGCTTCTTTCCTTCCAAGTTGATGCGTTGCTGTAGCAACCTTTGCCCAAGACTGCCGCGCACAAAAGCTATTGTGTTCTGCACTCAGGAAACGTCAAAGCCACTGAACTATGCAAAGTCATCCATGTTTTTCCAAGAGGCCGTCAGGAGTTGTGGCTTTATATAGAGAAACACATGATTTTTGCGGATGGCAAGTGTTGGTAGTTCTAATTTAGCAGGCGCTGATGGATAATGCAACCATGGCACATGATTGGCTCTGCACCTAGGGCATTCCGATCAGCTGCTTCAGCCTTGGCAGAGGCTCTTGTTGTTCTTCGTTTAAACATATGATTATGATCCATGATTCAACGAAGATCAAACTATGGTCATGGCAAACTTCAGAACCAGCAATTAAAAGCAACAGTAGCAACAAACATCAACAGTAGCTGCTTCCGCTGTTTGCCACTGAACCTCCAAAAGTGCGGCTCTCTCGGCTCTCTTTGACGATGGCGTTGATCGAGGATTCCAAAGATCCAACTTCAGCGTCTTGGCCTTGATCAGCTCCTGGAGGAGCTGGAGGAGCGATCAAGGCTGGGGGTATGTGACCGTCATCATGGTGACACCAAGATGTTTCAGAGACAAATATCAATACTGTACCGAATCAATATCAAATATGATCAAAGTTCAAATCAATATCAAAATATGGCAGTAGATAAAATATTGATAAAATTAAAGGAACTTGATGGAACTTGTATATCAGAATATGGAGAAAAATAAGGAAAAAACAGTTGCAAAATGCAAATCCATGACCACGCTATAGCTCTTGCTGGAATTGGTGGAATTTCCCAGGCTCCTCGGACATCTGTAGCGGATTCCAGCTGCCATTGATAGCACGGATCTCCACTCCAGGAGTGATTGATCTGCCTTTCGAGGAATGTACAGCATTCCACTGGTCGACCAGGCCCCCCTCGTCGACCTAGCATCGTTTTGCCATCCCAAAACCTTCGACAAATCTGAACCAAACATGTACAAAAGGAAAAAAAAAAGTTGGATCGAAAATGATGAAAATTAAGATTTCAAGGTCACCTGAACTCAGCACCTCAAAGATTCTGAGAGCATCTAAGAACTGGACCAAGGCAACAGTCACCCCATCCTGCATTCTTCATGTTTGTGCTTCAGCTGCTTTCGAATCTGGAAACACGCTTAAAAAAAAACTCATCATCTGTAGCCACTGGGACATTGATACCATGATACACCTTTCTATATCCACACCTTCACAAATATCAGATACGATCCCCGCCTCACCGAGTTTGAGGCCAAGCAATCCTTGAGAAACCTTGCATTTGAGAGCCAATGTCTCAAGCCCAAGGTCCAAACCAATTCAGTCAACTGCTGGGACTTTTAAGCACGCATTGACACATTGCAGAAAAGGTGCATCAATTTCAGCTGTAAAAAAACCAGACTCCTGTTGCCGCAATCACACATTCACATAGTACTTGGCTGTACTCTTCGAACAACTTTGCATCGTTTTGCATCGTTAGCATCAAATTCACTTGGGATATCATGGGACATCCATAGTTCACGGCGTGGTTCACGGTTTCTAGCGCTTTGAAACCAACATATCGATCTTCACTCCTTGGACCGAAGTATCGATACAGCTCTGGTGGCTGCATCCATCTGGTCACTGAGAGGGATCTTGTGCGCACTAAATCTTCTCGCAGTTGCAGCTGTCCTTTCATGATCATCAATTTCTCTTACTTGCATGTACTTACCGTATCTTACCGTGTTTTTGTTTAGTTTTGTGGAGATCAAAATGGACCGGTCACATCAATCCGCCTCTGACGCTGGCTACGCTGGCTATTCAGTGCTTTGAATTTCATGAGTCTCTTGATCCAAGTCTTCTGGAACCGACCTGTGACCTGATCTTAATAAACATATTCAACATATTCTCGCCAAAACCCTCCTGTGGGTCATGAGTCAACAGGAGTCATCCCAAAATACTTCAGCGATATGTCGATATGATGCGATATGAAGCGATGTGTATATTGTGTGATTGTGTGAGTATTATATGTTTATATATTTTTGATGTTTATAATATATGATAAAATGTCTATATTATGTAGATATATATATATATAGATATATGATATATTTCTTCTTGTGTGAAAGCCACAAGGGTAAGGATGCCATAATAACATGAAACTGAAGCACGACTAGGTTCACCGAATGCTCACAAAGTGCCCTCAACATCCTGAACACCGCAAATGTTCGAAAGTTTTGTGATCAACCACTAGTCGTCAAAGGTTCCGTTCTATAAAGTCTACTGTATTCGGTTTGAATAGTCAGTGCAGTGTCTAGGCCCGAGTCTGGGCGATTGGCAGAAGCTTTGTGAACCTCATTTTGCCACCGCTCTTTGTCCCCCTGCGACAATTGGTACGTCGCGTACGTGAGCAAATTTGCATCTCTCCCCATATCTACAGTTTCCACGAAGGAAATCTCGGCACGTCCTGCGTATCCTTGGTGTCATGGATGTCGTGGGGGTCCCACGGCGATCTTCATCAGCCAACATTGGAGGTGAATCTGCCTCTTCAATAACTTTTGATGCATGGCCCCATAGGATAATCGAAATTCGTCCCTTGCCGTCTTGATGCACTCGTGGTAAGGCATTGATGCCATGCTGCCAGCGAATGTTTACATCTCGGCCGAAAAAAAACAACATGCCATTTGTTTGTGGGAAATAAACTAAATCTCCATTGTTTGCATGTCTGAATGCAAGTTCGCGTGAGGCCCCAAATGAGATTCCAACCGTGCAATTCTGATTTCGGGCTCTCTTGGCATTGAAGGCGGCAGAATCATGATGAAACGGCTTCCAGTCACTGCCATCTCTGTACCAATTGAAGCGTGTTCCTCTTGTCCCAGGTGCAATTGAGAAATATTCGCACATACGTGCAATGATTTTCTGATATGTCTTGGAGCCCTCAGGATTGGGGCTCAACAAATGGGCTCCTTCATGCCAAGATTTCCACTGGGAGTCCTGGATCTTCTTTTCCTGCAATTTGCGCATCTCCCTGATCAAGTCGTAATAAACTTGCCAATCATCTTCCGCGCAATAAAAGTCTGGAACGATTACAACATCGTCATGCCTCAATTCATTCTTGTACTCAGCAAGCTGTGAAGAGCCGACTAAGACTCTCATTGCAGGACGCACCAGAGTAGATTTCGGATCAAAAGAGGCACTGTTGCGGCCAGACAAACCACGTTCTCCTAAGGCCGCTCTTTGGGCCTTGCCAAGCGGAGAATCCTTGGAGCGGGGGTCATCGTCCAGTTGAGCTAAGCGGGGATCCGGATCTGTAAATCTGTCTTGGCCGTTCTGAGTCGGAGATGATTGTCTCCTGGAAATCAGAGTTGCTGAAGACACCCTTGACTTTGACCCGCTTCTCCGTAACCTTTCCCACATCATCTCTGCGGCAGCCAGAACTGCCAGGGTTTGCCAAAAATGCAATTGAGAGCTAAAGCCCTTCCCAGTTTGATGCCTCGATTTTGGGACTGGTCAAGACGTAAGCTGAGGTTTCTCCTACCAGTACATACCATGAAAGTGCAGCCTTTCTCTGAGATTGAAAGTGATCATGCTGGTCGTGATGACTGTTTGTGATGATCACTACAGCCGGTATTCGTCGGCAATGGACAGACAAAGTGCAGTGCTGATCAATGCTGCAATATGCTGGCAATGCTGATCAAAACTCCAAACTCAAATCGCCAAGCGACGTCCATGCGTTGAAAGCGCTTCGCTTGCGAGTCCATGCAGTCCATGCAGGTTGCTTCGAGCGGACGACAAGTCCTTGAGGCGAAGCGGCAGTCAGCTCCATCCACGAGCCTGTGCTATATCAACTTAGTGCAACTTAGGTTGTGAGTTGTTCCTGTAAGCTGTATAGAATCTAACACTACAGAGTCTCATGTTGTTTTGAAATGTTTTGAAACTCGTTTATCATATCTATATTTATCGTTCAAGTTTTGAGGTGTCCTCCTTTCTCTCTGGCCATTATGAACTCTGAAGGTTGAGTCCAGATTCCCAATCCTAATGACTGCTGATGCCATGCATTCCTTTAACGAATGTGCGCCGTTTAACGCGCCTGAAGGAAGGGCGGGTTTTGTTTCCCTGCACTGCATTTCCATCATTTTAAATGTGCGTGCATGGATCATCATATCATGTGAGCCTGCTATAAGGCTTGCAAAGGACCAGCATGAAACGAAGAATCGACAAGTCAAGTAGAGCCAAGTGCCCAAGTCCTTGTCAAAGTTCTGATATTATCTGCTTTGTTTGGGTCACTTTTTTACCCAGATTCACGGCGGCCTCTTTCTGCTCTGTGCTTTTGCATTCAAAGCAATGAAGCCAAAGGTGAAACGAAATGATTCATTTTTTGCCAGCTTTTCCAGCCATGCTGCAGCGCAGTGTACAGCCAGGTCATTTGCCAAACAGGCATCGCGGGCAGCAAATGCGCCACGCTCAACGCAGCTTCAAACCATGCATCAAATTCTGGCTGATGCAGCCAGAAAACATTCTCAGGACCTGGCAAAGGTCAAAACACGGGCTTCATGGGTTATGATCATCCAGAATCATCATCCATCCCATAATGGGAATCCAAATGTATGGGTATACCATCCCACAAAATGGACAATTTACCCAACTTTCAACCATGGCACGCAAATGCACGCGACGCAATAATGCTGATGCCGAAACGGCATCGCAGAAATACTGTAGTAATGTATAGGACTGGTATTAGCTAGAACATCCGAGTGTGTACAATCGTGATTCTCAGTCAATGGTCCATTGACCAGAAAAAGGACTAGAACTGGGCCTGCAGCTCAAGCGCTGTTGACGCGGATCTCTCTGGACAGAGACCTTAAGTGTTTCATGGAAGCATGGTTGGATTCAGGCCCAGCAACACTGCCTGTTGTTTGAACGGTTCAAAGGTGGGTATTAGTTGGCAAGCTATGTTCGAAACTTAAACCTCCTTCACATTCTTAAACTGCATTTTTAAGACTCCAAGGACTTTGCGAATCGTCGTTGTTATAGTCGCGCAGGACCTAAAAGCTCCATGGCGCCCAAGTGCACAAGTCTTTCCGATGCAGCTGGTGCAACATGAGTGCAATGTCCTTTACATTGCATCTATGGAAATTGCACAATGTTAGTTGTACTGACTCAGTCCAATCAGCCGCCTCCAGCACGACCGGCACTGCACCATCGTCTGTGACTTGCTCCTGCTTCACACTCGAACGAGCATTCACGATTCACAAATGCACCGATGGCACAGAAACTTGAAAACGCTTGAACAATCTTGAACATGTATACTACCTGAATCTCGTTCCAGTCATTCTATGTTTCCTCCCAGTCGGTGAGGTACATATCAACTGAAAGGTTGTCCCCTGGAGTGCGCCTTGGCTGGTTTCGAGGCAGTCTCAACACGTCACTTTGAATTCTGCGGGAGAAATGCCCACTGAGCTTCGAGCTCTCGAGGACCCTCCGAACTTTTTCCAACCCAGCACTGGTAACGTATATGAGCCTCCGGGGAGAACAGAATGAACAGACTCAACTTTGAACAGTTCAAAATGATCCAAGATATTCCAAGATATTCCAAGAATTTCCAAGATGTCTCTGAAGCCTGTCCACTGTGAAGCTTCAGACTGGCCTGTGGTGGAAGGAATAGGCGCACGCATGCCTTGCAATGGCCATCACTGGCACTGTTCTGCCACTTCGGCCCCCAAAATGATCCAACTGCAAGACCACAACTACCCAGCCAGCCTTGCCCTCCGGCGACATGTTGTGGCCATCAGGGAAGAACTCCAAGTGACCCTCACGGATGCCTTGCACTGCACAGATCTGCAGAGATCTGCACAGATCATCACAGATCTGCAGCGGAACACTCATCTGACTGGTGCCTCTGATGCCGAAGGTTGGCGATTTCACGGCCAGAGGCTTTCTTAGTTCCTGGCAGAAACACGCTCATCCAATATTTAAACTTAAAATAATTTAAATCTAAATCATTCATTCACAAAACTGTAGAAACAAAAGCATTCCTGGCTCAGTACAAGAACATTAGGATGCGGGACTGGCAAGATTTGGTTAGCATTTTGGTTAGCATTTTCCACAACCAGGCCAGGGCCTAAGTCCAAAACTTGGCCAAGTTCACCTTTGCTTTCTGTACCGCTTTTTCAATGCGCCATTCGACCTTTCACAGGCACACAATCTCATGTATAATTGGAAGATTTTGGAGACATTTGAAAGAAAAAAGTACTGGCAATACATGGCAATACTGTGAATTGCTGGTATTTACATGTATTTACATTCTCAGTACTGGAGTAGCGTACAAGTGCAAAATATGGTCCCGATCCAAGCCAACCTGGGTGGGCTCCATTGCACGGAAGAGACGCTCTACCTGCGGCATCAGTCTACATGTCAAACATTGTCTAACATCGAAGCGTCTAACCTCAACCTTCCAGTCGGATTCCCTGCAGATTGATGAACAGTATGCAGTTTCTGCCAGTTGCTGCCAGTCGGCCCGTCAATGCCTTCACCCGCACATCATCGGCCCAATCATCCATGTCGGTGGTATAGGCCTGCATGTCTACTTGTGGTTCACTGGATTTTTTGACCCAGATGACTCTCAAAACTTGGAACCCTGCACATCCTGAACGTCCTGAACATCCTGAACATCCTGAACTTGCATGGACTCACAAGGTTCCATTGGTTTCCTTTGTTTCGGTTCACGATGTCGATGCCTTGTGGTCGGCAACCAGAGCATCAAGCTCTGCACGCATTCGAGTTCGGTTGATCTCCAACTCAGAACAGCGATTCATTCACAAACTCTTGGCGACATCGCATAGCGGCATTTCAAACAAGGAAAGACAAATAGAGATGCAAGCCACTGCTACGGAAGAAAAGGAAAGCTTGGCCCCCTGCCGAATTGATGGCCTCACCTTGCTGGTCAGACCTCACTAAAGTATCCCCAACGTGGCATGTTCAGAGGTGTGACGGGTGTGTGGTCGGTCTTGGATGGTCTTCGATGGTCTTGGACGGTGTTGCATCATCTTGCATGTTCTTGCATGTTCTTGAATGGTTTTGGTAATAATGGTAATATGGGAGCATAATAGCAGTATGTCGTTTTACAAACTCCTCACAGCTGCCCTCGCCATTTTCATGCAGCTGGGTTCCAAGCGAGTGCTGCAAGATGCTAATGTACTTTGCCATTTTCTCACGGAAGCTGACCTTAGCAGCAAACCAGTGGCCTTGCCAATCTTTGGTGCTGTGCAGGACCAATGGTTGGGGCGTTGAGACTATGACTGCATCATCCCGTAATGCATGAAGCATCTTGGTCGTAGCAGCTAAACCTTCCTGAACAGGACGAGACCAGAAGAAATGGAGCTGCAAGGCGTGGTTTCCCCTTGCATCTAAATGCATTCATATATTTCATATAAGATATTATAAGATATAGAATATAGAAATATAGAATCTACCTGAGTCTACCTGAGTCTACCTGAGTCTACCTGCGATTCTTTGCAACAGTTCTCTCGCTCACACTCTTTCGGAACAAGAACCATCACCGAATTCGAAGCACCTGAGAGTCCAATGCAGCTGCACGCGTCGCGGTGCTACTCTCTGCCAGGCAACGCTCTGTCCATTCTCGCTGGTCCTGAGATTGGGCAGGGTAGAAGATGATAGAAGCTGAAGCTCGCAGAAATTCCATTTGATCACGTCAATGTATCAAAATCAAATAATAACATGCATGTATCATTCATCATTTTAGAATTCATGTAATTACTGTCATCGCAGTTCATGTCAAAACATGTCAAAACCCTGGCAAGCCCTTGCATTGAAATGACAGTCTGGGCGCCTTCAGCTTGGATTGGAAGAAATTGATTTCCTGCTTGGTGACATCGTACTTCATGTGAAGATCAGCAAGATCCTCAGGGTTAGAAAAAAGGACAACTTGCGAATTGCGAGATGCGAACAGAAAATAGCAGGATTTCCAAAGGAAAGTCTAAGTCACAACAACAAACACAATCACGCACAAACTCACTAGCTCGGGCATTCAGCTCGCCGCTAAATTACATGGTGACTTACTTACTAACTCACTCATTGACCAACTCACTCATTCAACTCAGTAAGTATCAGCAAAATGCTGTGCATTCACTCTGGAAAAGGAAGGGAGCGGGCAAAATGTTTTTCAGGTCGAATTTGTGTGTGTGTGCGATGTTATGCAGGGAATGAATGCACTGCACAGCTCGAGATGCTGAAGATATATTGCTTTGCGGGGCAGGCAGCCAGGGCTCACTTGCAGGACCAAGGGGACAGGCACAGATAAAGGTTTAGTTTGATTGTGCTTTGGACTCTTGGACAATGGTTCAACCACGCTACCCCCCCCCGTCTGCAGTGCCTTGCATTGGAATGGCTGAGCCAAAGTTCTGCCAGGTAGGGCATTATTCTGATTCACATACTTGGATCGTTCCAGTACTTTGGCGTTTGGTGCAGTTGAATGAAGTGGATTCTTGTCGTTCTGCGGTAGGTGATTGAGGGATGTACTTGGTATATCTTGGTATTATGTAGATTGCTTCAGTACAAACTCAGTGTGTACAGTAGTTTGCTTGTGGTACACCCAATATTCAAATGTGGCAAGGATTCACCTCCTCAGTCGAATACCCAAGTCACCCCATTCCCGTTTATACTCCATCAGTCAATCGCTCAATGACTCCTTCCCAAGTACCCTTACACACTCACTCTTGCATTCGATAATTCACTGCATGAGATAGCAATCAATTTAGTTATGTCCAGTATCTATCTAGCAAGCAGGCAAGCATTCACTGACAACAAATCAATTGCACGCTTAATCAATTGCACCAATCAATCACCGCTGTGACCATGGAATCACACCAAGAAACAAATGTGTCAAGTTGAATTTCAAACAAACTCCTCTTTCTGGAAGACTCCCTTTTCAGGTTTCCAACACTTTGATAATTCAGCCCTGCTAAACTCTGCCATGGTCAGTCTGTCGAACGCTCATGAATAATTCATTTCTACTTCTCTACTTCCTGCTCCAGAACAAAAAGATACCAGAATGATCAGAATGCACTGAGAACGGATCGGAATCCAACCGTGCTGCATCTTGCTCATAGTCGCTTCTGACCTTAGAGTCTGTGACAGTCTGTTTTACGTATCTGCAATAATTCTGCAATGCTAGACTTGCATAGCCTTGCCATGCCTTGGGCCATGCCTGGTTGAGTGAAGACTTGTCCTCAACTCCGAGGCATCCCAAGCCGCACACGCGCTCGACATTCGCATACAAATCTGCACGAGCTTTAATGAGGTTCTCTGTAAGGTCTTGGTTCAGCTGGCCGAGCCTGTCACAGTGGAGCTTGACTGTGCCTAGAGGACTTTGCAATGCTGAGACTAGAGAAGGATATACAGACGGTGCGACGATGTGTTGGAAGATATTGTTTATTTTGTTTTACATGTAAAGGATCAAGAAGCAACATATATATATAATACATTATATATCTGTCAACTTCTGTTTCAGGTCATTTCCAATCTTTGTGTTGATGGTCGGCCTATCTCGCTCTTCTTGCACCATGGCCTCAAGCCTTTCCGCGATGCCTCACATTGATTCACATTGCGGGTGTGGATGTGCAAAGATGTGCAAGTTACAGTACATTCGATTTACAAGACACAAGATGTGCTCTGCAAACATCTTCTTTGCTCGGGCATAGAATCGCTGGGCTGCTCACTTTGGAATGTAGCTTCGCATTTGCCAGTCAACTCATCCACCCTCTTGTGAACCTTCTCATCCTGTGGCAAAGAAGCTGCAGCTCTGAAATGTCCCGTACATTACTGTGGCATCTACTGAATTCTATTAATGATGCTTGCATGATCTTGCTGGATCTTGCTGGACTGCTCGAAACTGAGGTTCGATCCTTGTGATCGACGGTATGCTCCAATTGGTCGAAGTGCTTCTCAGTCTGACCAGCAAGTTCGGAGACCTGGGTGAGCAAAACGAAAATATCAAGATTCAATTCTTACCACTTCCAATTGCGGTATCAAGTGTCCATCAAATCATCTTCAGCATTTTCAGCATGTGGTTTGCACAAAACTCTTTCCAACTTGAGTCAATAGGCCTGTGTGTCAATGGACTCCTGCAACTTCTTATTGGTCTCCTGCAAGCATGACAACATATTTTTTCCTCTTCAACCCTGCCATAGCTTGTCTTTGTGTCGGCAAGTCATCACGTCTTGTCAAATCGTGTAGCCCTTGACCTGCAAAGCATCCTTGGCAGCTTGGAAGCTGGCCTGACATCATTTGACGCGTTTTACCTGGTCATACCTGGTCTATTGATTCCTTCATTGCTGTGCTACTCTGCTACTCTGCTAGCCTGCACTGAACCCACTGAACCTGTTCATCCCTGATACTTTGACAGAGGCAGAGGTCTGCCTGGGTGTCTTTGTCCATCTTGGCGAGTTGCGTATCAAGACGTTGGGTGGTCTCAGACATTATCCTGGCCCACCAATGCTCGCTGCGCAGTTTTCCACTCGCAGGAAATGATGCCTTCCATACAAATGGGCCTTCCCAAAAATGTCTTCAAAACGATTCAATAGTCAATAGTCAATAGTCATTCAACAATGGCCCCTTGCACTTGCGAAGTACCCACGCGACCCAATTGCACTCACACATGGAAATAGAAAGACCTAGTGCTACGAACTCGTCATGGCGAAGTACGGTAGAATGGCCTGCCGAGATCCTTGTCGCCAGCTTCACGTTCAGACATCTCCTGCGAATCAAAGTTTCTGTGCGTATCTTTGCATACTTTATATTATCATTTTCGAGTAAGAACAAACACAACAAGCATAACTACGTACATATAACTACTAGAATCAAATCCAAATGTAGATAGTCGTGATGGGCCAGCATGTTGGGCGCTGGAATAGTCAGACTGATTCAATGATATTCGATGACTGTGAGACTGATTAAGTTACTTCCCAGGCTGCACAGAATCCTTCTGAAACCTCTGCACAGTGGAGTCGCACTCCTTGGCGTCTAGGATGTACACTGTTTAAGTCTGTTAAAGATTGTTTAAGTGTCTGTGATCAAGAAACTTCCACTCAAGCAGTTGCATAGCAGTTGTAACCCCAAGAAGCAAATGAACATCCCATGGTCACAGAAGCTCTTGGCAACTGGCGGTCTTAAATTTCCCATTGATATCTGCAATCTCCTGGGTCGATAGATGCATAGATTGAGATGGAATCAACATACGCAACGTGTGAATGTGTACTTATAGCCTATAGATGCCTATAGCATCTTATAGCTATCTTTCAGTGTCTTCCACTCATATTTGCTGATTTGCTGAACAATTTGACTTAATTCAAGTGAGCCATTCTTCTCATCTTTTCAGAATACTAGCATGAAACGGCCTTGGTGAGATCTTCTTTCAGCAACTCCACATCCTGCGGCGACGCTGTGTAGGTTTGATGCCAGTAACGTTTCGGGTGTTCAGTACTTGTCAGGAGCCATGTTGAGCCATGTTGCACAAATCGTACAAATGTGCACCATCATCTGGGATGGCATCAACGCACCTTCGTGATGCGACCGACCATGGCATCACCTTCGGACTGCCAAACAGAGATATTCACCTGGCACCAAGACCGCACAAAAAGTCGTTGAAGCATTCCGCTGTTCTATTAATCTATGAACACATGGAGGTAGCTGAGTCATTCCCCCAACACCTCCCAAAGTCTCTGTGCGACTCCAACATCACAGCAACCCAACGCATTCGCCACATTTCGCCACATTTCGCCACAACTCGCCACCATGCTGTGGCACGCCTTCTCTTCTTCGAGGCGTCGCAGCTCTTCCAGCTGCGCCTCCAACTGCCCACTGTGATCCGACTTGATCTCTTGAGCCTGGCGCATCGGCATCGGCCATGGCGTGGATACCGGTGGGGACCGGTGGGTTGTGGTTCCTTGTCATAGCCTTGTCATTGTAATGATTGTCACATATTGATACATATGTTACCTATTGTTATCATATTGTCAGATATCTTAATGGAACAGGATGAATATGACTAGAATATGACTATCATGACAGAACAGGCTACATAATGTGACATACACGTTGACGTTGACACAATACAAGTAATTACCCAGGTGCCAACTTGCCCAACACTTTGACAGCCTCTGCATCAATTCGGGCATCCTCTTCCTTAAGCTGATCGAGGCACCGATTTGCCTCGTCAAACCTGAGTCGGTTCAAACCGGCGGTCATGTGGCAGTTACCAGTGCCACAGACTTACATACACTGTCGATCTGCACACTTCGCAAGAGATGGATTTGATATCAGTTCCTATCATTTGATATAATTTGTTGATGCCTGATTTGGCTTGAATTGGGAAGTTGGGATGTCATCCAAGTAATCTTCTCTAAGTGAATCTGCACCAGAGAGTCTCTGTGCTTGTATGTAGCAAGCGTGCAATTTTCAGGCATTCTGCGAGGATCTTGCAAGGAGGCATGCAGGTTTGATTCCAAGCAGGAATGCACATTGATCAGCAACGCTTGAGGAAAGGGATGGCTAAGGTTCTCGGGTCTTGGCTGCTCGTCCACTCGTCGCGCAAAGGCATCGAGCTGCTCTAATATCTCCTGAAAACCAAAATGAATCAGAATGATGAGTAAGTTTCAGCATGTTTGAGCATTGATCTGTGATGATCTGTGTATGATCCAGGAGTCCAGTCTGAGCTCTTCCCAACATCACCGATGTCCTTGTGGTGCTTCAGATCCTTCTGCTCGACGGAGACACTATGCTGCCTGCACCCCAGATGATGTTTCAGAGGCTCAGCAACACTGCACCATGGCTACAAATCTGTGATCAATGTCGAAATGTAACACAAGCGACCAAAAATAAGAGAGCTTGCTGTGCAGCAATGCTGCCTCACCACGTCTAATTCCTTGAGGATGGCAGCATCGTCCTCCTTCAATGCCTGAAGCATGTCACGTCTCCATTGCTTTCGATTCATGGATAAAGTTGGCCGAACTGAAATCATGTGATTCTCTGAGCTGGTCACGGCAACCTTTTGATTCGTTTCGTTGACGGACTGTTCCTCGATGCAACATGATGCAACCACCCGTCCGTCTTTCCAAGAGATTACTAGAAAATACTGGAATTAGAAATCCGATAAATCAGGACAGCGTGGGACAGCGTGGGACAGCGTGGGACAGCGTGGGACAGCGTGGGACAGCGTGGGACAGCGTGGGACAGCACACGTCAGAATCGATTCATCCGTCTCCCTGAGGTCACACACGAGGAAAGTCATCATCTCTCGCCGAGCGATGCCCACAGACTAGGACGCGGTGGCATGAACACTGGGATTTGGATGCAGATTGGTTCAGATTGGCCTATATTATCCTGTTCTATAGTTATGTAGAATTATAGAATGTATTTATTAGATCAGCCAGGAAGACGCTGGCACGGCTCATGGAGTTTCTTCGATATTCGTCTGATCGTGTCGCTTTGGGAGTCCGAACTGCTTCAGGATTCCTCTTGCTGGGCATCTGACTCTTTCAGTCCTTTCATCTGTGGTTGCAATCTGGCGCTCCTGCGCAGTGGTGTAGTTCCAAGCCAGTCGCACAAGTGCTAGATCGAAAACTCGCACACTCACACCACTGAGTCTGTCAAGCTCTTGGAATGTTAAAACAGCATGTGGCAGATTGTTGCGCCGAGTTCTACATGTGGAAGCTCTGGAAAGTCAGCCAGTTGCAAGTAAACTGAGCAGCGAGAGGTCTCCAGTTCAGCTAGTCTCCGCTCGACGCGGTCAGTTGCCTTGGCACAAGGTGAATTGCGGCTGCAGATCTTTCATAATCTTTTATTTATACATTTCATTCATGTCACATACCAAAAGTATCCAAAAGATTCCAAAGTCTTTCAAGAACTCTTCAAAGATCTTAGCAAAGATCTTCGCAGTTGGGAATCCCCGGCCCGAGACAACTTGTCATTGGCGTCTTCAAGTTCCTCGATCTGATCTCGAGGGTCTCGACCCCGGTGCCTGAGCTCACGGAGCCACCGGAGCAAAACTCGGCAACCTATGGACCAATGGACAAATATGTGGATCATTGTGGATCAAAAATATGGAGCTTCATCCATGTTCCTCTATGGGATTCATATATTTCATATTGATGAATAAATAAATGTTAAATGTGAATGATTCATGTTTGATACTGCTGTATACTCTATAATATGAGCCTTTATAAACTGTTGATCAAACCCATGTGCAATTACAATCACGAATAGATGCATAAGTATAAGTGTATACCTACTGCGTAGCCGTTTAAACAGTCGGGCTTTACAACAACACAATAGGTACTTCTAAAGAGATCAAAATGCTGTACAACCCAGATTGAAGCTATCAACAAACCGACCGTGTATGGGAAGGTGTGGAAAAGACAATAGGCATCACGGTATGTTTTTATTACCTTCGTGAAGGTTTGCCCAGGGCCGCCTTGCGTTTTATTCAATATTGGAAAGAAACAGCTGGAAGTCTAATTCATTTGTTTCCCTAGTTCTAACCCATACCATCCCATACCATCCCATACCCGGAATCTGGGCTTCCAGCCTTCTACTGGGAGCGCTCGCTTGCAACTCTGATGCTATCGCCATGGTGTTGTCATTTGGCAGTTGAGCCTTGGATTGTGTGAATGATTCAGCTGAGTTTCACTGACCAGTTTTATTCGAAGATATCAGACCTAGAGTCCTAGAGTCCTAGAGAATTTGCGGAGCCAAGCAACCTCAATGACTGGAATCTTGCTGGTTTGCAAGCCATGCAGGAAAGTTTCCTTGGCACCCACAAACATCTCCCAGAGCAAAGATCTTTCATCATCTGTGCATTCCTGAAGTAGTGAAGCATTGCATAGCATTCCCAGCTTTGTGATTTGTTCATCCAGTTCCTGGTGCCGTTCCTGGTCTCCTGAGACGAACTTGAGTCAAAGACTATGTCTTGGTCGGTGTGGAGTGGACTTCTTCGATTGCCGTCCAGGCCTTAGTCGAAATGGCTCCCAAACTCCCAGCTGGTTTCATCACTGGACCACTTCATGCAACGAATTGCAGACGGTACCCATGAAAGCAGGCCCCATTTGCTTGTGCAAAGCGGCAAAACTGAAAGTTTATTCTGGGAAGAGTACCTTGTAAGCGAAGGTCGACATCGACTGCCTTGACCCCGCGTTGGTCACAAAGGTCCTGCAGCAATTCGAGAAGCTCTCTGCATTGTGCATCTTTGAGCAAGATCAGATGCCACCGATGCCACCGATGCCACCGATGCCACCGATGCCACCTGGAATTTGAAGATGGGGTTGCTCTCCAGCGTTGCTGCCACCTGCAAAGAGACAGCTGGTCTGGCTTCCATGGCATTTGCATGTCTAGCACTGTCCATAAGCCGTGTTTGATCTTGTTCGTTTAAGGAGCCTTCGCCAGAGTCAATGGCTTGGGAAGGTCCATCATTTGCATGATGGAGCCGCCACCTCAGGATGGGATCTCCATGTTTTTCTTATTGGTTGATAATTAATAATATAAATATATATATATATAAATTATATCATAGATTTTACGTGAGTTTACCCATAAAGCATGCCATTCCACAGAACTGACTGGGTTTCGGACTGATTGAAGCATCCGCAAAGATCAGCCGGAACTGTGCAGAGGAATTGTTCGATGTTGGTATGGATTGTGAATGCTGGTTTTCACAAGCAAATGGGGATGGGTCAAAACCCTGGTACCTAGTGAACCCCAAAATAGCTGGTAAATGGATGTTCATCCTACTAAAAATGTATCTATAGGTATTGACCCATACTCAAATGGCTTTGACAAACACCGTTTCCGTAGCTTTGCTGCATTGCCGACTAGCAAACGCAACAAATGAATCGCTGCTACTGGCCTTGCCCGGCAGCGGTGCGTAGCCCCCCATTCTTCCAGCCATACCTCGTACTGAAAGCACCACCAAACGTTGTGAAACAGTCTTAGACATCAATCTCATTCTCATCATGTTCCCAAAAAGAATCCTGCCATATCCTGCCTTTCCCTTTGCGCTTAGTGCCCACAGCACTTGGCGACACCCTTCTTGCTTGGGCAAAGAAACAGTTTCAGTGAAATTCAATGAATATCCGTCATCTGTGTGGGTGTATGGAATCCTGCGAAGAGCCATGTCTGATTGCATGACACATCGCCTTCAGAGTTTACACCAAGCATGAATACATTATAATACAATTCCATACAACACATATTGCATTGCCTCAAAATTGGTCAAACATTGGTTACGTTCACCCTTTTGGACCAGCAAGCAGGCACTGTTAAATCGTCTTGCATCGCGGCTCAACTAGGAAGACGTTCTCTGCGTCCTAGTGAATTAAGTGCAAACGGGGGAGCCTGTGTCCCAAAGGCCAGGCATTCGAATTCCGAAAAGTGACAGAGCCGATACACTTGAACACTTCTTGCACTGGCACTTTGTATGATGCCAAAGAAAATCAACGAGTTGTCAAAGCGTCAATTGGCGTGGGAAAAAATGTCTTCTTGCAACTATTCAGTGCCAGGTGCTCAAGAATAAATACCTAAGCGACTTACAGACTGCTTCTTTCCAGCCCACATCATCTTAGAATTGAGTGAATTTGTGTCAAATAGTGGAGCCTCTTCCTTGCTACTGTTAGTAGCTGGACTAGCCTGAAAGAAGCAGCCAGGCTACATCATTGGCAGTTCTGCGTTTCACACGTGCTTCAGAACCTGATGCTTTGGCAACATGTTCCAATGTTCCAGCGATGTTCCAATCATCCAATCCTTCCTCCTGCATCTCTCATTGCCTGCACCGTATCGTCTTGCTTTCCATGCATTCCGCTAGACTGTAGGACGTGAACGAGTACACACTGGGCATTCAACTTTGCCAACGAAGAGGTTGAAGATCTCACACCTCCAAGTAAAACAGACCAAAATCGTACTGGAAATCGCCTCTGTTTCCTTTTCACGGTGACGCCCTCAAGAATTCTGCAAGGAGGCAGTTGAGACTCGGCGTTCCAAAAAAAAATGCCAAAACTCACTGCTGTCTACAGCGCCTTATGAGCATGTTCCAGCGGGTGTAACCTTGGATGATACTCCCTGAGAATGCTCCTCTGAATCCAAACCTGCAACATCCTGCAACGCATCATTTCGAGAACTACTTAGCTCCTTAAGACTTAAGACGCAACTCACCATGGCATCCAAACTGCTCCCAGAATGCGGGCAGATTGCATCGGTCGGGGCATTCCACCATAGCCACCATAGGCACTGTAGTAGTTCGGTGCCATGGCTTCGCCGCTGTGTGCCTCGGATGCGCATGAATGATTGATGCTTGATATTGTTGTTGATATACGTTGATTAAAAAAAAACTTATATACCGGATACAGTACATCTACCCACGATATCCCACAATATGGATGAGTGATTAGATGTAATTAGTTATCTCCCCATTTGTTCATCGTGATCTTTTCACTTGGCCGCAAACACTCGTGAAGCTGTTAAAGCTTGGCCTCAGAAATTGCAACACAAATCCACCTTCAAGAAGAGCCACGATATAATCAGCACTAACATTTCTTGGCCACTTCCCTATCATTCATCATAGCAACTGAAACAGCTGAAACATGAATCATGTTGGATTATCATGGTTTATAGCATATAGATGCGTATAGAGCATGCCTCATTCTATTGAGCATTTCTTTGCAAGTTCTTCCTTCACACTGAGGCACTCAGGCGCCAACGCACTGCTGCCATTGTTCCGCAGCCAAGGATGGCTCAGCGCCTGGTCTGCCGTCAGGCGGTCGCCTGGCCGCACCTGACAGAGTGTCCGACCCTGCGGTCCGACCGTTGGGGTCCTCTGCTGAATCATATCCCAGGGGGGTTCAATATGTCATAATAATTCATAATATATCCATATCATTCCATATGATGTTTTAAGTTAATCTTACTTGCCCAAAGATGCCCAAAGATATCCAAAGATGTCCAAAGATGTCCAAAGTTGCGTCTGCCAGAGCTCTGATGCAGAGTGGACGCCAATTATTGCAAAATCTTTGCAAAGTTGTTGATGAAAGTTTGTGAGAAGGCCGCGTATCAATGAAAGACACGTGCCTTTTTGCTGGTGTCTAAAAGACTGGCGAGTTGGGCCTGCAGCAACCGGAGGATGAAATCCAGGGCGCCCTTGGACACATTTTTCCAAGCCTGCGTGACAAAAATGTGAGCAGGATCCATGTGGTCTTCAGATTGAGAAACCGTCCAGCCTGATCTGGAAAACTCAGATCCCTCTCCACGATTTGACGATACCTGTAAAAAGAAAGCTACAAAGCATGAAAAAGAATTCAGAAAGCACCGAATAGGGCCCAGTATGGCCCGGCTGCTGGCGGCTGCTGGCGGCTGGATAGCGCACAGTTTATGAAGGACATGGTGAAAGAAAGGCAAGGCCCCACTGAGGAGGACGTAGGTGATCACCTGCACAGCACGAAGCGCAGCTAGAAGCTGAGGTAGAGCTGGGTCGCTAGGCAGGTCCACATGGTGCAGCATGAAGCAGTTATGTCAATTTCCTATGTGAGCTATGTCAGCTATGAATGTGTTCATTCTCTGAGGAGTCTGCGCCCAGTGCCCAAATGTCAATTTCTCTGCCATACTCCTGACGCAAGGATCAGTTGTCCAATGGCGTGCTGTAGACCTTTGAATCCTTGAAGCTCTGATTCCACGGCAGTCCTCCTGCTTGATCACTTCAGGTGCCAAATAGAAGTCTGAACCACAAATGGAGTGAGAGCGAGGTAGTCGTCGAGGGTAGTCCTGGAAACAAAGGGGCTGATTCGCATGGATTCATCTTGTGACTTTGCTTCAGCTCTTCATTTCAGCATGGATTCAACATCTGCATGGATGAAGTGGTTCATTTAAATCTGCAAAGCATACACTATAGACTATAGTCGTCTATAGTCACTGCACACTGCATGCAACTAGTCAAGAAAATATCAGAAAAGAAACAAAAGAAACCACAGGGCAGTCCTTTGATATTTTCGCTAAGCCAAAGTCAGAGATCTTTAGCTCTGTGTTGCTGACTCGGCTGGCCTCAGATCGATGCTCTTGATGCTCTTGCAGTGAGTCTACCATGAGTCTACCAGTCCTTACCAAGGACTCAGACCATTGAGGCCTGTACCAATAAAATGTTTTCGGGCTTCAGATCCCTGACAGCGCAGAACATGGTGGAACAAGCGTACTTTCACTCACAGGCAATTTAGAATCTTTTGAACATAGATTTCTTCAAGCGCCTGAAGACTTTGGGATATGCACATCCGACGCACTACAAGCAGTTCTCTGATGCAGTAAACTGTTGGCCTGTGCATGATCCCATGACCATGGATGTAAGCTACAGCTTCCAAGAGGCAGCGCACGGCTGCTTTCGCCTGTGGCCCATGGAATTCCATGTCGTCCAGTGTGGAAGTGCACAGGGGGTGCAATGGTGCCTCGACTTCGGGATAGTACTGTTTCTGCTGAATGCGGTCGTAAAGTTCACCACCTGAAATCTCCGGGCAAAAGCAAAAAGATGCAAAAAGCATCGCACACTACCAGGGTGGGGTGTCAATACATTGAGGATCAGACCTTCACACAACTCCAGCACTAGTCCTTGGACCCAGGGCACACCAGAAGTCCTGAAGTAACCCTTTTTTGCGCAAACACCTACTACCAATCAAAACGAGAACAACTTCTTGTCTCCGCACAAACGCACGGAAAGCATTCATACACGTCCACAATCTCTCCAACGCGCAACCATGGCTGAACCCCTGTACAGTACTTGGCATGGCTACGCCTGAAGAAGTGAACCGGTTGGGTTTCTTGTTACCAGATGGTCTTTGTGCGTCAATTCTTCCACAAGCGCTGCTTTTGACTCTAAGGCGTAGAAGCTTGACCACGAGTATACCACAAGTCTTGACGTGCATTCACATCCATCAAGCCATCAAGTCATCAAGATTGAATCAAAGAGGGGGTATATCACAGGATATCATAGACATCAACGGACAACAAATGTTATTCATCAAAACCCTACGTAATAAGAAGCATCCCTGGTCGCAAACTCGGCCAATAGGGTCGTAAAAAACGTTCGAAAGCAGCCATTCCACACCTTCCATCCTGCTACTTTCAACTCACCATGCGAGCAGGTGACGGATGGAACCAGGCATCGCCTCGTCCACATCAATCAGAGAGACAAGACCTGCACGGGAATCTCTGCAAAAACACATGTGATCTCAGCGGGTTCGATTGGTCCATGATGGTGGGAAGGGGCCTGGGTGGCTGCCAAGAACCTGGAGAATGTTGATCTCCTCATGGATGCGGTTCAAGCCTTGGCAGGGAGCCAGCTCGTTCTCTGACCACATTATTGTAATTATTTCACAATATTTCACATCAGATCATATCTTGAAATATCTTAAAGTCTTAGAAGGGCGTATCTTTAGTGAAGCTGACGCCTCTTCTGGCAGCCTCAGGAAGCAACTGGCCATGTCACCCACTCTGGTGTTGATCACCTGAGGTCTCCAGCTGCAAAAAAAAACATAAATTGTAGTAGACCCAAAAAAAGATAGAAAAGTTAAAAGAAATGAAATCGTGATAAATGCCTTTGTCTATCTTTTTGGGGCTACTAGAATGATACATTATATATATATATAATATAAACAATTAAGACCCTCAAAGCTGTCACCATGTCTTTGATGACTTCCACTGACTTAGTTTCTGACTTTTAAGGCATATTTTGTTTCAGGTTGACTTCTTCGGTTGCACATGTGAACGACGGCGAACTTGCCAGTGCCAATTGTCTGACTTTCATCCACCTTCGGGGCTGAAGGCCAATGGATAAAATGTAGAAATTGGTTTGGCACTTTGCAGCGACTGGATGTCATGGCCATCCATGGCCAGGGTCCCTAAGGCTACCAACTGCCTACCAAGCTTGTCAAATACCAAAATCGTATCAGGTCGCTTGGGTGCACCTCGTAAATGCTCTCAAACTCCTCTCCTTCGTATAGCTCATTGAGAGGACAATGAGCTGAAATCTTATTCCCCATCTTTGCCTCAGCACGTCACCTCAGCCACGAAAACTCAGCGGCAAAATGTGCTATGCTCTCAGCACAGGAATCTCTAGACAACGCTAAGCAATCATGCAGATCTCTGTCTAAGAGTTTGCTGTGGTACATGTTCCGTTCAAGATGGGGGGCCACGCCGCCAGGTTTCATTTCTACCACAACTAGGCTAGGAACAGGTGTCACGTATCCTCACATTTCCATACATTTCCAAGCAATTACAGCGACTCAGGATGCAACTAGTGCTGCGAACAGATAGGGAGCAGGCGGATTGCTACAATCTTTAACTCGCAAAAACTTCAGGGAACCAAACAGCTGCAGCGGCTTCCACTGAGAGGGAGGTTGACCGGACTCAAACAAGCAGGCTGTCTGATTGTTGACTAACGATGACGCACCTGTGTTTTACTTTGAGAACCTTGCCCCATATAGTTGAAAGATGTTGAAAGATGTTGAAAGATGTTGAAAGATGTTGAAAGCTATCCTTATGATGCCAGGCTGTCGGATTCTTCGAGTTGGCCGAATGACTTGGCAGTTCGCCAGCACACGTCAACGCTGCGTTTTCCTGCGTGGCCCTGCATGCCTCGCACCTTTGGCTAGACATGAGACGTTTACGTCGATTCGAGGCCTCCACATTTGCGGAGCCACATCAGCAGTTTTGAAAAAGAGCTCCGGTCGCGGAGAGTCATCAACAAAGGAATTGAATGAAAGAGATGGCTCTAAGATGACGTTAAAGGCCTCGCCCACACTAATCACAGCTAATCAATGCTAATCATTAATGGATCTAGACTTAGATTCTTTGATCTTGGTGGCAAGTCCTGGCTACAACCATCTTGAACACGTCCCACACGTCCAACATGTCCGCTTGTGGCGGAGCTCGGATTGGTGGCATGCCATTGGCAGTTCACCTAGCGCCAGAGCGCAAAGGCTGTGTCCAGCAGGGTATTATCGGACGCAAAGTGCATCAGGCAAGGTGTAGATCCACAGTATCTTCCGCGCTGCGGATGATAGCCTGGCAAGATATGCAAGATCCAATGCATTCGGTCATTGATGATTAGTGATTATTATGAATGTATCTCTATTTCATGCTATCTCTCTATACTATACATAATCTATATACATTCTGATACATTATTACATTGTGATATATCATATATCTGTTAAAGTTTAGAGTCTAGATCTAAAATGATTTGAAAGCATCTGCAGCAGTGGACTTTGGTCCACGATCCGGACTTGATTCGCCAGCTAAGTCTTCGACCACGATTTCGAGTGCGGCAGCTTCGCCAATGCCAGTCAAAGCATTTGCAGCTTCTTTTCGGACCTGTAGCACTGTAGCATCTCGGCTTCGTCAAGTCCTACTCTCCAGATCTCTCCAGACTGAGTGAATATCACTTCCGTCACTTCCACACTCTGTGTCAATATTGTCAATATATTGTCAATATGCTTCAAAAGTGCAGCCTCCAAGTCTGAGTCGCCCAGTGCCAGCACCAACTCATGGAGGCAGCTACTGGCATGCCTTAGTGGGCTGTTACTATGACCATAGCCACGGCCTGGCTGCAGTTGGATTCGGATATGTGTGAAGGATGTGAAACGTGTAATCCAAAAACAGCCTGGGACGCACTGAAGCAGCCACGGGCCAAGGCGTCCAAGGGTTCGAGCACATGCTCGCCGCAAACATGCCTAGTGCACTGAGAGCATTCGAGGATATTCGAGGACACTTGGAGCAGATTGAGCATCGAGTTGTGTGTTTCTCTCGCCAGAAGCATACAATGTTGGGAGCTGTTTTGGACAAGTGTATGGGGGCAAGTCTCGAATCCGTCTGATCCCTGCCTCATCCATGATCATATGGGAGGCTAGGCAGTTGGCATGCCTTGGCATTCGAGTTGACGGACACACATGTGGCCCTTGACAGGGTGAGAATCTGCAGCCAAAGACATCACCAAGAGTTTTAGCCCAGTTGCACTTTGGCAATCTGCCCGGCAGCTTGCCTTGGATCAATTGAACGATGAATGAAGGATGAATGAAGCACAGGACTTCAAACTTTATATAGACAGAAGAAAAAGACACAGTTGAGTTGAACCTCTCGCCTTTCCCTCTGCAACTGAAGAAGTTGAAGATTTCTTACCCGTCCAAGATTGCAGAAGAGCTGCACACTGGCGCTGCCAATTTCCCCCAAAGCCTCAGATGTGTCAGATGCCACCATTCTTCTTCATCTCTCAAGCAAACCCTTCACATACACCCTCGCATATAGCTAGGGTAGGACCCTTCCTGCATTGATTCTGCTTTCACCCTCATCCAACAGTGAGTTGTAGAACGAATAAAATGAACCATGATCTCCAAGGAAAGTCGGCGACAGGAGGCCTCAACAGCAAACAGTTTCACCTCGACATTGGAATCCTCTTCCAGCCGCAGAACCAGCAGCGATGCCTCAGCAGATTCTGTCTTGCACCCTCGTGCAGTTGTCACTGTTGCTGTGTCTGAAGCTCAGCTCACTTCTGTCCTGACCTTCACAGTCACATATGTATCATATGTATCTTACTGATTTCCAAGGCCACAGTTGTTACTTTTGTATACTTGTGCAGCATCCCCTTTGCAGACATGTTGCGGAAGGCATTGCTGGCTCACCTATTCCTCCAAGTGCTCTCACTGCGCTGGCTCTAACTTTGACTTCTGGCACCTGCTCTCAGGAATCCAGCTCAATGATCCAAAAGTATCCAAAAGTGAGGTGCAGCATGGTGCGGAAGATTCTACAGGGATCTACAGGGTATGCGCTGGCATCACCGATGACTGCAGTTTCCGCCTGGAAACTGGTGATTTCATGTTGGGAAAACGATGGAAAACGTGGGGAGCAGCTGTTGATGTAACAAGTTCGACCAGCATTTCACAGAGCCTCCAGGCGCGCTTTCAATAGCGCGATGTAAGGTGCTGCCGCTTTTCCCATGGCACCCAGTGTGTCCATCACAGGACAGTACACGCGAATGTCATGCTCCTGCGCTGCACTGGGCATTTCGAGCTGTTTCCAGGTTGGCCAATCTCCAACCAATCGCCAACCGTCCACGCTGGATGAACACATTTGAACGCCTGTCCTGCAGTCGGTTGGCTAGAGCCTCTGAATGGGCTTCTGCCAAAGGCCCACCAATGCGACGAAAGGCCTCAAGCCAAAGTTCCACGAAAGTCTTTCCTCTTCTGACTCTTCTGACTCTTCTGACTCTTGTGTCTTGTGATCAATTTTAACCCTTGCCCACCAGCTGAATATTAAGTCCGTAGATGTCAGTAGTATACGCGAGAGGAGATTACCCTCATGAGGGACACCAGAATTCCTCTGTAACAAGCAAACGAAAACATGTGCCTTTGGACACAAAAATACAAAAGGTGTAAGTGAGAAGCTTGTGATTGCAAAACCACAATCATTTGTCGAGCATCAAGTTACACTGATGTTGCTTGGTGTGGGCTGTGAATTTTGCAAAAAACATTGCCAACCATTGCTCAACAAACAAATTGATACAAATTGGCCAGATTATATATGATTATATATGATTATATAACATTTACCATCTTGTTATTTAACATAGCCATGGAAAATCACCATTTTTAATAGGTACACCATCTATAAATGGGCCATTTTCCATGGCTATGTTAAATAACCAGAGGGTATATAACCTTGAGTTGGCGTTTTCCATCGTTTCACCCTGACCATTTTCGCCACTGGTCACTGGCCGTGGCCTCAGCAGCTTGCACTCGTACAGCGATGCTCGGATCTGTGAGCTGCTGGGCCAAGGTTTCTGTCGCCTTGTGATCAGGGCATATATGTCATATATATATATGTCATATATGTCATGTGCAGCTCATACAAAGACCTTCACAATCCTTTACATATCTGTGTTACATGATCAACCTTTACATATCTGTGCCCTTTCAAATCAATGTGACCATATGTGAACCCCCTTGCCTCCTTCTCCATGAACGTAGGGTCACCAGATTGTTCTCTGCCAGAGAGCAAGAATGCAATGGCCTGCAAAAGCTGACCAGTTTTGACTAGTGAAATTCAGAGCATGTCAAGCTCAGTCAATCTCCATATCTACAGCTCTTCCAGCCTCCGCAACCCCTTTGCGAACCACGATGTGGGAATCCTGGGCTCCCTTCACCAAGGACTGAAAACCTTTGTCACTCACCTGACAAGGGCTGCAGTGGCGGATCAGGAGTTCGTGGCATGCGTACACACTAGGATTGCACACCAGTGCCCAATTAGAGCCTCAAAAATCAAGCGATTGGTGACACTCAAACGTCTCAGTGAAACATTTGCTTTCTGAGATTCCCAACCTTAGAAAGGCAGGACCAAGCGGCAAGCCGAATTTCAGGCTGATTTGCGGCCAAAAAGACCTGCAGCACCAAAATTGAAGATCACTGGATTGCAATTCTTACGGGAAACAAACGTCGGCTTCAGGGCCTTGAGTGACCGATAAAAAACACCAGGTGTTTACACAGTTTACACAGCATCGAAACAGCTTTGCTGCCAGGATTCCACCAGCACGTGAAGGTAGGGCTCAATAAATTCAGCATCAACTGCCTGGGCAGAAGTGGAATGTATAGTCGGTATAGTGTCTGTATAGTGTCTGTATAGTGTCTGTATAGTGTCTGTATAGTGTCTGTATAGTGTCTGTACAGTCTCTCAGACAAGAATACGGGAAATGGTTAGCCCGCAACTCTGTGAAGTTGAGCCGTGAATCCCATATATGCTGGTACGGGTCTCCCCTTCAATGCTGCTCGCATGGAGTTGGATATTGCTTAAAGATGTTTAAAGCTCCTGTCATTTACATATCGGAACAATGCAGCAGTCAGGTTGGCGTTCGGTCCTGCATGGCATCCAGCATGATTCTCTGCAAAACACTCGATTCAACATCAAGTTGATCATCCTCATCTTCGTCCAACAACCTGGCACGTCACCAGCAGAAGTCACAGATCTGTGCTATCAAGTGCTCCGAAGCAACGTTTCACTGGCGCCTGTCCATCAATGTCTTGGCACCCTCAGCGCCGAAAGCCACCAGGGCTCGTGCGGCTGTGGCACAAACGTAGCTGTTGCTGTCGAACAATAGCTTCAGGACATCCCCTGGCAAACATTCGCCAAACTTTTGCCAGGAAAGGAAAGCTTCCAGAAAACCTCGACTTTCGCCGTGAAGATCAAAGATTCCAAGGTAAAGTAAAGCTGTTCACTGCCTGCGCAGTCAGCAGCATCTTGCCCAAGCTCCTGCAGTGGTTCTCACGGGGACCATCGGGGTCCAAGAGGTCTCCACTTGCTCATTCCTCCCCCAAACAAAGACTGTGCCCCAAATGATTGTTGGGTTTTAATTCCGTTCAACTATACAATGACGTAACACAATGCTTCGCCCGCACTCTCTGCGCCAGCTTCCACAAAGCTTCCACCATGCGGATTCCAGCTTCAATGAGAATGGACATGAACATGATTCCATGACATGCTTCATTCCAGCTTCCATTTGGGTCGACAAGAAAATGACACTTTAATGGACATGAACATATCATACCATTTCACTAGGGTAGAAATATTGCCAAGACTGGGCTTGTTCCGCATACAAAAAATAAGATACCCTTCTCACAACACGGTAAATTCATGCTAGATCTTGATATGTGCATATATGTGCGATGAAGATGTCAATTTTCCCTTGCCCGAAGCCCGTCCCCGAGGGTTGCTGCTGCAGCACGGCGGACGAAAGGTTTAGGATCGTGCAACTTCATCAGGAGCTTCTCCAATCCCTGGCAGTGCCACTTCCAGGTGAACATGGATCACAGAGAGATGGTGTCTGGATTCTTCCTGAAGTGTTTCTGTACAAGTCCAGACACCAAAAGTCAATCACCCACCTTAATCCTATTGGATACAGTTGATACTGTATTAGTTTGATGAATTTTTGGTACCTCACTGTGCAATCTCATTGGCTGATGCGCTCTAAAGAATGGAAGCCGCCAAAGGGTTGAAGCATGTTAAAGCCCGTCGGAGACCCAGTGCCTCACCATCACAGTGAGAAGCCAGGGCAAGACAAGCTTGCTCTCGCCTGTGCAAGGACATGCTACAATGCATCGAAATTCCCGACCTTCGTTGCAGTTTGCTAGTCATCTCCAAGCAAACAGCCAAGACACGTGTTTGTGTCAGGATCCATGAGCAGCGGAAGGAATTTGTCTTCCAAGTTGACACCCTGGACCAAATTCCAGATTCTTGTCTGCACGTGTGGACATAATTCCAAATTGCAGAATCAAAGATTGTGTGGTAACTCGAAAAATGTATAAAAGACATGTACCAAAAAATGTAGCGGTAGCAGTACTGTGCACAAATGTCCCATTTTGCCAAGTGTGTTCTGCAAGTAAAACTAGTAAAACCATTCTTCCCCACCTTTGCAACCTGCATCAGCGTCTGTGTCCCTACACATCTAAGGGATGCATCTTCGGATTGCAGCAAATTGACCTGGCAAAGCACTGCTGCAAAAGGACATCCAACCATAGATCTGATTGTGCTTCGATGAAAATCACTTAAGACGTGCAACAACTACAAGGTTCAGAAACCTTCTCAAACTGCCTGGTGTTTTTTCCGTGAATTTCTGCGATCCTTCTCTCTTGGAGCCCGCTGAGCTTGCAACCAAGGCATCCACGTGATCCTTCCAAAGGGTGAACACTTAGAGAACAACCCTGGCCGCCCTACCCAAAAACCCAAAATCATCCAAAGTCATTGTCCATCATTATCCTAAAACAGTAGTCCCAAGCAACGAGCTGCGTTGTTTCTCCCAAGATCTCCCAAGTGTCCTTTGCCATCTCGCCCAGTTTCCCCAGAGAAGAGGCAGCACTCCATCTGACCTGGAGATTGGAGAACTCTCGGTGACTCAGAAGTTCCTCTAATGTGATGGCACCGCACAATATCTTGATCCTGACGTCACGCTCATCTTTATGCCTTCGTGAAATGTCAGCCGAAGGTCAGCCTGTAGTTGTCTTTTGCACTTTGCACTTTGTATTGCAAAAAATCTTGGTGAATGATCCTGAAAAGATCTGAAAAGGAAGATAAGATACTCACACTCCCCAAGACTTTTAATGAAAATTCCTGAACTGTAAGGCTTACTGTAAGGCACTTTTGGGGGCAGCCCCAAGGCCAGGGCGGAGCGGGAGTCATGTGTCAGATTGCCAGCCAGGATATCAGCATGCTCTGGAGTTGCAGCACCTTTGACTTCTCTGTGTAGCTCTGAAACAATGCCACTCCAAGATGTGATCACCAATTGTCAATAGAATTCTTCTCAATAGAATTTGTCAATGATATTATTGAATATTATTGATCTACCAGTACAGAACAAAAAGAACATGGCAGCAGGATCTCATTAAAGTCAATGACAAGGCGCCAAGTCTGGATAGTGCTTCAGCCACAGGTACCCAATTCCAGCTGTCGATACCTACGGTGGCAGACCGGATTGAACAGCAAGTTGAACACCAAGACCTTGAGCTGGTTGAAGTCAGATCGCTGCCAATCTTGGATCTCTGTGGCCTTCCAAAATGTGGACCATGTCTTCCACGAAGGGCTTTGCCGAGTTGCCTTGTGGCACACAGCAGCATGGTCAATGATACACTGAGTTTTCGGAACTGATGTTCAATATTGTTGAATGAGAATCACTGCAAACTGCAATGAGTCTGAGCTCACAACCCAATTTGCCGAGGCATTCCTGAAAGCCATGCGGCTACACTGGCTACACCATGCTCTTCACCGCTGGCACGTCAGCATCAGCCAAGATTCGATGCATCTCCGTCGTGTCAGAGCATCACCATCGCGAAGGCACGCAGCAATTTCCTTCACGAAGTCTGCGACCGCAGCCTGGCGTCAGAGTCTCTAGGGACCTTTCAAGACGCTTCCGAATGTATCGTTCCAATACTTTCCAACAAGTCACAGCTCAAACTGGGCAAAGCTACGCTGTGCTCTTCAGCCAACTCTCCAAGGGCCTAATGTCAATCTGTGCAATGAAATGCCAGAGGCTGCCAGAGGGTCTGTGCATGGTCTAGCTTCCAAGCATCTCCAAGCTGTATCAAATCATAGGTCCAGACCACCGCGGCGACCCGCCGCACCTCTGCTGCAGCGTCCTGCACCATGGACCATGTCACCCAGGGCAAGGACATCCCATGACATCCCGATCAACACAGAGTTTCCATCGGCCCGGCCTCCAGGCACTTGGCCAACTGCGGAATCCACGGCAGGGCGAACAGGCCCAGCTTTCCAAGAGCTTCGATGGCCAAAACCTGAGAAACAGGAGCGACCCTGAGCCAACTGCAGGGTTCGCAAATGTTTTTTTCTAAATATTTCGTTAATGCTAGCTGCTAAGAGTGTCAGGCTAGGTCAGGCTATGTAGGGCTTTGCGTTGCATGTCGCAGCGTGTCACAACGGTCTGCTTCTGAGCCAGGCTGCTCGGGCTTCAAGCTTTGTTCCGACCGCAGGGTCCGTGTAAGCACCTCAGTTGAATGTTACAGTCAGTGCGTTTTGGAATCACCTGAGAATATCGTTGTTCCGATGCAGCCACACTGCCAAGGCCTTTACCAAATGTAGCTGCACCAGACTCACCGAGGATCTTCAGCGTCTCCACTGCCTCGTGAAATAGCCACTCGGACCAGATGCACAAAAAAATATCACACAGTAGTAGCAAAGCATAACAAAGCGATGGGCTATCAGATTCCAATAAAATGGCCTATGAGCTGCTTATAGCTACTTATAGCTATATACTTACAGCTACTTGCAATTCAGTGCCTCGTTTCGAATCTGCGAGTCCGGGTCAAGGAGACAGCTTCCCACTAGCTGAGCTTGGCCAGCACTGATCTCCTAAGATGTTTGAAACGAAGATCTTTGAAGTCTCGCCGGAGGGATGGGAATTGAAGGAATGGAAGTCTCGCTCCTCGCCAAAGGTTCTCAAGGCGGATGCTGCAGATAGACGCCGTTGCTTCTGGGCATCCTGTGACGGTTTCTTCTTGAAGAATCTGTGTAAGGTTCCGAAAGGACGACATCAAAGAGGGGAGAGACTCTGGTTTTTTTTACTCAATTTGGCATAGATGCAGCTGCTTCATGCTGCTTCTGGAATTTCCGGACTCCACGGGCAAGCACAAGTGTCGCCTGCATCTCTTCATCATCCATGTTGTCGGGGTCATGCACAGGTGGCGTGCGGTGCACCAGAATTGGCGTAACCGCTACAGCTGCTGGGAGACCTGGCCCAAGTGACAGAAAAATGATGGGAACGAATCAAACTGATCAAACGGATCAAACTTATCAAACTCTGGTGCATTGGAAAAAAAAAAATGTACCTGGTGAAAAAGTCTTCACATACAGCAAATTCAATGTAAATTCATACAAAATACAGTACCAAGAAAAAGAACCCAGGTAATTCATCCATCCCCAAATGCAGCCAGCGATGCCCATGCATTTCAACGCGCTGACCTCAGCAGGAAGGGGCTCCAATCAGGATCGGTCAATCGGGCAATCACGTGCAATCAGCAGTTCATGGATGCGGGAAACTGCTTTAGAAATCTTTAGAAAGCGTGCCAATCTTTATCGATCATGATCATGTTCCTTTCAAATGCTTTCAGAGTTTTTATATGTTTTTATATGTGTTTAATCATATCATATATGGTCGTATGAGTCATTTGGTCTCATAGCTACTTGTCTGCGATAGGCTATTGAGGGATCGTTGTCATCTTGCCCCTTTTCAGTTGAAGTTGACCCCAGAAAGTGGAGCCGAGGTGTGTGAGCAACTGTGGAGGTCTTTGCCGAGCAGCTGCAGTTTCCTCCAAATTCTTCACACCACAGCCGAGCAATCCAGCAATGACTGGTGCGTAGGCTGATGCAGCCTGGAGTAAGACGGAACTGTTTGAACTCGTTGATATTTTGATTATTTTGTCAACCTTTCAGATAGGTATATATATATATATAGCTAGGTGTTGATGTGTTCGCAGAAAGTGATGGCAATCAACAAACAAGTGCATTGCCCCAGCCTTGCCAAACTCGCCCAAAGCTTGTACTGCTCGCAATTGCACCTCTTCTGGGCAGTGAGAGGAGGCTGGGCCCAGCTCTGCTCTTTCGATTCACCAGATCATTGCAGCGGATGATTGAGCAATCAAATTGAAACCTTTTGCGCTTCTGTCCAATCTGGAGTCAAAAAAACTCATCCATTACATAGCCACTTGCTATATCTTGTTATCAAAGTTTATCAAGGGGGCTAGCCAAGTGGAAACGCGGCCAGAACAAACTCCATGGGTGGTTCGGCCATCATGCCACTTTTGCCAGTCGGCTACAGGCAGTGTCCAACATCCCCCAGGCGCCTGAGGTTTGGTGGTACCTTGTTGGGGGCATGCGACAGCCAGAGCTGGTAGCGAAGACTCCACGTACTGCTGATTACTAAGGAGATATGTGCGATTACATGATTACAGGATATTACAGGTCATTAGTCATTACAAATCATATTCAATGATTAATCTGGGTTGTCTCAACCTTTTGTCCAGTCAAGCTGTGATGCAGAATCCAGGTGAACCTAAGGACTGAACTTTGGATGCAGGTTGCAAGTTCTTCTGGACCAGCAGTTCCAATCTGGAGTGCGTGAGTCCCCGCACCAGATGTGATCTAACATGGGGAGACTAATTCATGCATGGACGGACAGGTGAATAAACTAAACAATCTGTAAAAAAAGATGCAAAGAAGGCGCCTTCTTCACGGTCTGGAAGGTTTGGGCCAGGACAATCTCCTCTTGGTCCGCCAAGCAACTTACAATCTTTGCCGCCGAAGAACTGGCAAAGGATGGGACATGGATGGGATGTGCTGTTGAATCCTCTAAACCATTCTAAACCAAAGTAGCAATGCAGCGGTCTGAACAAACTGCATCCCACCTCGCCATCTCACCCAAGTGACCTAGACCTTCTAGGCAAGCGGCTCGCATCTCTGCGTTCTCATCCTGAAGCCAAAGGGTAAGAGATGATCTCATTTATTGTGTCGTATTCACCCCGCTTCGCGTGGGGTGGCCGCCCACACCGCAGGTTTATTTCGGTCCGTGAGAGGGGCTAAGGGTGGTTTTCCCCCGTGGGGGCTCTTCAAGCTAAGAAGTTTCAATAAGAAATCCTTCCAAAACATTGTTTTTGACAGTGTTTTTCCAATGTTTCCAGTCAAACAGACGGTAATTTACACGTTTTTTGCCATAAAGGCAGTAAATCCTTCCAAAACATTGCTTTTGACAGTGTTTTTGTAATGTTTCCAGTCAAGCATACGGTAATTTACACGTTTTTTGCTATAACGTCAGTCCAAAACACTTGTTTTTGCAGTGTTTTCAATGCTCTGGCATCCAAAAACCCTGCAAAATCTTGCTATGTACAATGTTTTTTTCATTTTTGGCCGTTTTTCCATTGCCGGAAAGCTACCAAAATGACCCAAAATTCCATTTCAATACCCTCTTGCGCTCAGACACCCAAAAATCCTCGAAAAATGTCGAAAACACCACCGTATTCTGGTCTCGGTGCGAAACCGTTTTTGGGGTCTGGTCTCGGTGCGAAACCGTTTTTGGGCCCCCCCCCCAGCTAAAGCTGATATAGCGACTGCTATATTAACTTAACAAATGTCATTGAGCATTTAGTGTTGCTGTTGCCCCCCAATAAGCACGCCTTCACCGCCAAAGCGGTGTGGGCGGATTTCAATATGTCCAATCCAATTTCCTGAACTTCGATGCATTCCCACAGGGTCACCTCTTGCCGTGGCTGTGCTTTTTTGGTCCTCCAAGCTGGAGGTCAGGACTGGTACCGCTGGAGGCCCAATGAGGTGTAGCGTTCTCGCAGCACAGGCCCTGACTGACCAGCACCTGCGGAAGCAGTTTCGGCACAACATCGTGCGAGTGCTCCTGACATCCTGACATCGTGACAGTCAGGGCACTGGTCACGAAGGCGCAAAGCCACTGATGCAGCTTGGTCTTGTGCTAGATCCTCCAAAAGCCCCAGAGCCTGAGGGCATGAAATCACTAGTGCATTTCTGACAGATAACGCCACCTCACTGGAAAATCAAATGTTTTGAAGTTGGAATCCAAATGCACAAGAAGTGAAGCTGCCGCTGCTTCCTTTCAATCTTCATTTACAAGTTCACGCTGAGTTGTAGACTTGCAGGTGCAGGTGCCTGTCACATGAAAGCTTCCCAGCTTAAAGTCACTGAAATGACTTGCTGCAACTAGATACATAATATGATACATTGCTATTCTTGGTCTCCAAGCACTGGCTGAACTGAGACATCTCAAAACCTGTGGCTTTGTATATTTGTTTATTCCAGCCATTTCCAAAACCTTTGGCCTTCCCAAACATTCAAAAAGATGGGGATAAGAAGACAGTTCACTGGTGGGCTCCAGTGGGCTCCAACCCGGCTCGGCCAGCCTAACGTACGCATCTTCGTCTGCCAGACCAGGAACCAAGATCTCGCTGACTTTGCCGATCTGTGAAGGTTTTGCGATAGGATGAAAGAACACTGAAGTCGGACTCTTCAAGTCTTAGAGTGAAATGCTGAGCGATTAGCATAAGAATCATAAGAGGTACAGGTAAAGAAATGGAAAGAATATTTTTATGTTTGGATTTTTGTTTCGGTTCGTTGATCGGAGGAAAAGCCACCTCCAACATCTTCACAATTTTGTCTTATTGAAGGACTTGAACTTCTGAACGGCTTCTTCGCGGCGTGCTAAAAACAAACAAGGCGATCTTGGAGATTGGAGAAGATGGAGAAGTATATAAAGCATTTATTAATTTATAAGCATTTCATCACACTTGAAAGCGAGCGCCTCAGCCAAATGGAAGACAAACTCAACCACGGCTTGTCGCACCATCTTGTACCCATCCTCCAGCTTGTTGATCATTGATGAGTGCACCTCAAAAACACCAGGCAGCTAGTTGAATCTTTTGATGATAAAAACGCCCTCAGAATAATGTGGCTTCTCGGCAATTATATAAGTCGTAATTAATGCGACATGATATGCATCTTTGCTTCCCTGCCTCTGGCACAGTCCTCAATTCATTCAGCATAGCAGCCTGCATGTCTGGATCCTGCCAACGATACAGGGGCTGCATCGATCTGAGGACAATGTGACAATGCGGGGCGTCACTTGCACTTTCGATGCTTTCATCATGTTTCATCCTGGGTTCCCAGGTGGTTTCATCATGTTTCATCATGTTTCATCTGCAGCTCCCATCAGTCCGGATAGTGAAAACACTCCGTGAGGATCTGAGCACCTCTCCGGGGTGAACTCCGTCGCACAGACGTTTCAACCGATTCAGGAAACGCCAGGCTCTGTGCCTGCTAAACCCATGCTCCCCAGCGCTCGAATACAAGCTCTCCTGGCATGTCATAAAAGGCTGAAAGGCTGAATAGTCATTTCCACCCGCAAGACATCTATATCGCTTTCACTACATTTCTTGGGCATTCCAAAATTACTCCAGGTTGGACGAAAAATCCAAGAGTTGAGCCAGGCTTGCTGAACTTCCACAGCTTGCTGCGCTGCAGGCGCAACCTCCTGAGGCCAAGCAAAGGAATCGGGAAGGACAACCAGAGTGTGACACCAAACCTTTGGTCTTTGCAGAGTTTGCCGTTTTTTCGTGGCCTCAGAGTCTCTTTGATTCTCTGCTGTTTCCCCTTGTTGACTGTTCGTTTCTTTGCCACAAGCTGGTTTTACATATCCCACTGGCTCAAGGTGATGCACAAAAATGATCGAGAAAGGCGTGCGCTTCTCGTTACGTAATTGGGATCACACCCTTTATCATCCCTCCCACAGCCTCATGCGCTTCCGCATCTGGAAAGCCTGCCAAAGATGTCACGGAAAGCACAAAATTCAACAGCCGGGGATCCAAATGTGTGGATGATTGCTGAAGCACGTATCTATCTCAAATGCACCCAAATGGGATGTGCAGACCTGCATCCAGCTCGTCCTCGTGAAAAGGCTGTAGCCTGATGCAGGTAGATTGGTCACTTGACAAGAGATCGGGGATCATTTTGGAATGACTGAAAATATGTTGGAGAATTTGAGAGATGCGTCTTGACGCGTCAATACCAACAGCTGATTTCAATACTCTGAGCTGCAGACTGCCATGCTTCCCAATCCAATGCGCTATTGCGCGGACCAGGCCGTCTTGCCATGGAGGCCGGCTCTGCCTCGGTCTCCCAGTATCTCCCAGTGCTCCTCACAGGCCTTGCCCCTTGAGGATTCAGCCGGACTCAAGGTCGATGCAATGGTGCCAGGTGCCATTTGCCTCTCCAGTGGCCAAATGGTTCATCTTTGGAGGTCTTTGGAGGTGGGAAATTGACAAGTGAGGTTGATGTGGGTGCAACATGGTGCAACCAAGGCACTTCTTCTTGGAAATCTCCTGCTTTGCATACCATCAAGGCAAACTCATAAGCCATAAGCTATGATGCATGGCCAACATCAACCATGCACTTGTCCTCTGGATCGCTGGCATCATCAGACTGTACGCCTGTCGTTCAGCGACTGCTACATCAGTCTGCAGGACATCCCTCAAAGACCACTGCTGAGCTGCACATCTCAGAAGCTCAGGTCCCCGCCCAACAAGCGCTTGGCCAGGAAGGGAGCTGCTTCCACTCCCAGCCTGAGGAATCTGTGTGACCAACATCTGAACATATCGGAACCATGTAACGAGAGGTTCAGAGCAATGCAAGAATTTGACTGATTTTCGGACATTCACGTATTGGTCCTCTAGACTCTAGACTTATGGCCCAAAGTTTGAAAGTGATACAGCATTTCAATATCCTTTGTGGCCTTTGCTCTTGCTGCTTAGCTTACATTTCCAGCTGACTCTCTGTATTTTTCTGGTCGGCGTGGGCCGATGTTGAGCTGGACTGAGATCCCCAACATGCCCATGGTGGTAAATGCTTGCGCCACGGCGAGCTGCACTTCCAAGTCCACCTGCAGTGAGGACATGGCAATAGGTAAGTTACAGCAATTCCTCCCCCTAATGTTGAACACCCCCAGCGTAAATGATCTTGAATATATGATAAGTGTAAATCCCAGGTTGCTAGACCATGGTTTCTAGGGGGGGTGTTGTATTAGGGGGAAGGGACTACTCACTGAGGAAGGAATTGTTTGATGCATCAGTTTAAGCATGATTGTGTCAGGAGAAAGGGCTTCAGTGGCGGCTCCGGCAATGGATGAGAACTTCAGACTGCCCCGAACCTCCTGACCATGGCCTTCAACTCCAAGGTGCGAAACCATCAATTCCACCTTGTTCCAAAGCAGCTCCGTCAGAACCGACCCTACGGGGAAAGCGAGAGTCAAGAAGTCAACTGAGACGCCGGCGAATGGGACTGCATGCTCTGCAAAATCTCCCAGCGTGAGGAAAACCTGGGATATCACAAATAGCATGAAACTCGTGAATCAACTTGGTCACTTGGTCACATCCCTCCCAACCTTTTTTCCAAGCAGCTGTTTTCCTGAGGCTCGCAGAGCTCGAACTTGCCATGCCCGCAATCACCTGACAGGAAACAAAAAAGTGAAGAATCCGAATCGTATCGAATCATGAAACAAGAAAGTGCCAGGCGAGCGTGGCCTCTGCATAGGGCGCCGTGAAGTTACCACCAAGTTTCCACAAGCCATGAAGAGCACCGCCCTGCACCTGCAGCGCATCAAAAAGCAAAGCAGCTACGAGCGAAGGTTTGCAAGGCATTGATTGGGATACAACATGACACAACTATGTATATCAAATATAAAATGTGGCAAGCAAAAAAACATTTACCAACATAATTTACTTTACCCGGCAGCTGTAAGCCCTAATCAAATCAACACAAAAAGCAGCCTCCAGACTACTGCTTTCACTTAAGAGCTGGGACAGCTTCTGGGCCACTACGGAAGCCTGAACATTTGGTGCTGTAAAGCAGAAACACTGTCACAGAATCATATATAGATAATTATAGATATAGATGAAGATATAGATATAGATATAGAGTAATATAGAGAGCTTAAATGAAACCTGGACTCCGAGCAGGCAGGATTTGAAGGCCGTAGCATCTGCTTTACACTCTCGAGGTGTCGACTTGCCACATCCTTGCCTGATCTTTGCCTCTTCTTCTAGCGAGGCCACTTTCAACTTTGAGCTGATAGAGCTTATCTTCCTGCCCAACAATCCAAGAAGGGTGTTGGATGGGCACAGAAGCCTGAGAGCCTTAGTGGCCCTAATAAATACAGCCAGACTGCAACAGCTGCAGCGGAATGGCATGTCACAAGCGTGGGAAGCATTCAGCACCTGCTCTTCCACCTCTGCTTGCGGGATCTCTGATTCCTGATTCACGTTGCAATGTGTTGCAATGATGTGTGAAATTTACAAATACTATAAGTGTATCTATCTATCTATATTTAATTATATATATACGTATAATATATATACTGTATATGTGTGAAATATGCGTGTGTGTGTGTGTGTGTGATATGCGTGAAATATGTATAACGTGTGGTGCTTAGTACCCAATCTTACGATGGTTTTATTACACACTGCAAAACATCCGCCAATGGCAGGGTCACAGGCCTGCTTCACCTGCTCAATGGCCAACATTGCAGCTGTGACGCAAGCAGCCCCCTGTACTTCCGGAGCTGTATCCTGGCACAAGGGTGAATGTCACATGTGTCGCACGCGTCAAGAGAATGGACATGACCTGAATCAAATACTCATTTGCAATCAGTTTGGACTTGAAGAACATCAGCAAAAGGTATCCATGATACCGTGATCTGCCCAAATTTTCAGCTTGAAAGCACTTCCACCAGCTACATAATACATCATAATACATCATAAATCATAATACCATGAATCATCATCTTCAATCATTAATCATTAATCATTGATCATATAACAAGGCTACCACCACCCCAAATATTAGGGTGGTAAAATAATGTAAAATAGCTAGATCAGCTAGATCAAGAGGTAAATGTCGAATTTCCGAATGTCGCCCCTTGTGATCCCTTGTGGCTGGCCTGCAAAGCTCGCATGACTGCGGACACCGCTTCTTGCGTGGATGGTAGCTCTGCCAGGAGCTGCAAGGCCTAGCCGGGAAGTGTAGCTTTCCAATAGCAAGCTGGACATGAAGCTGGACAGAAAACATACAAAAACCATGAAAAAATATTCAAAAACCATGATAGAACATGATTTTGACATATTTCAAACATGACAAGATCAATGATAAACCGGGATAGATGTGATAGATATGATGGATATAAGTGGCCTCCAAGGCAAAGACTCTGATGCTTGCATTCGGGTCCTTGCGTTGCCAAGGTGCATCACAAGGGGGAGCATTGTGTGTAAAGAGATGCAAAGAGTCTGCACAAATCTGGACGAAGTGTCCTCCAAGCGCGCTGAGAGTGCAAAGGCCGCAGCTTCCCCCATGCATCCCAATGCCTCAGATTCCATCCAGCGAGCAAGAACAACCTTTCAAATCCACAAGACAAACAACGTCAAACGACACAAAGCTCCAGGAGGTTTCAAGGTCTGAGTGTTTTTTAAATATATATATATACATATATGTTAAATCTAACCAGTTGCATGGTCCCACTATGTCCCGCTCATCCGACAAGAAATATGCCCCTGCCTGGATGACTTGCGGCAGACTCTCCTTTTCAGCCAGCGCGAAAGCGACCATGGCTGGAGCCATCTCCCCCTGGCACAGTGTTGCTTCCAGCCAGAGGCTCCAGAGGACCAGAAGATGACAGAAAATAAATGATGAAATGTTAATGATAGAAATGATAGAAATGGTAATCTGACTGCTATGAAATATCTTCCTCAAATCTCCTAAACACGCGCCACTTGACTGAGTCCAGAACGGCTGCTGTTCCAATGTTCCCAAAGGCTTCAAGGAGCGCCTGCCGCACTGGAGGCGACGCCTCCTGTCTTCGCCATATGGAGGAAGCAAAAAAGTGTTGGAAATGTTCAAGTCCCTTTGAGTCTGGGAGGTGCAGATATTCACTTTGATTCAAACCTATCTGTGACGAACATAGCATGATGGTTGCCAGACATACCTCTACATCATCACAATGGAGAGCTCCTTGAACTCAGGGCCCAAAGAAGACACAAAGGATCCAGCCCCAGGTCCTGGCATGAAAACATTGAATGCAAACGATTAAAGTGTAAAGTAGCGTAAGCTGCTACTAAATCATCTCAGATGGGGAACTTTGATGGACTTTGCTCCAATGGCTTGAATGGCAGGTCCTTGTGCTCCAATGGCTTGAATTAAAAGACTCCGTATATCATCGTTCTTCTCGTTCCTGAGCTGCGTGATGATGACCTTCATCGTGCTGCTGGGCAGTTCGCCCAGCTGTCCCAGTGTCCAACTGGCCGCACGACGCTGATCCGTCTCGGCACTCTTCAGCTGTTTGGAGACCAAAGCTGCAAGGGATGAAGCTGATTTGCCCATTTTACCAATGATGGAAATGGCCAAGTTGGCCACTCCTCGGTCAATATCTTCCATCAGATTTGGGAGCAATCGAAGTGGCACCGTGGGATCTTTCAACAACAACAAGGCCTGAACTGCTCTTTGTCTCACCTTCGCGTCTCTATCGGACGCGCAGGCGGTGATTTCCTTTACTACACCCGACCCATCTCCAAGTGATTCTAGGATATCGAAGGCCGCACACTTGATGATGGGATGCTGGTGACCCAAGAGGCCAGGCAAAACTTCAATGGCCGCCTCCTTCAGGGAGATCAATGCCTGCTTCGCAGCTGTTTTCGCTTCCTCCTCCCCTGCTTTGCTCAAAAATTCCGCAAGAGCAACTGCCGCCGCATGTCCAGTCTGCGGGCCACACTTCGAAAGAGCCTCTGCTGCTGCAATTTGAACCTTTGAGGAACCTTCAGTTTTGGGATCCAGCAGTGCAACCAACATGTTGGTATATGGCAGTGCATTCGGAGATCCCACGCAGCCCAGAGCAACAACCAACAGCTCTCGCTCTTCGGGGTCTTCAGCTTTCAACTTTTCAGCGATCAAGTCAGCGCAAAGAGGTCCCAAACTTCTTAACGTGGCCTCTGCAGCCAGCTGCACACGTTTCGATGGATCATCCAAGCGGCGCAGGATGAGATCAACCGCTGGACAACACAACTCGTCCGAGCAGTACCGCAGGCCATGCAGTGCCGCTGCTGTCTCCAGGGCACGCAGACTTCCTTCGTCATCTTTGGAGGGCATCGCATGCTCCAGAACTTCAACAAAGGCTTCCACACCAGCTTTCCCCAGGTGAGCCAATGCGGTGGATGCCGCTGCACGCACTGGCGCCTGACAGGGAAGGATTCGCATGGATTCCCACGAAACATCAATGAACATCAATGAACATCAATGAATCAATGGACTGGATAAGTTGTGTTGCTTGGCTACATGTTCCGAAGCAAGTTGTTTCAAAACGATGCAAACACAGTTGAGCACTCCCTGCAAGACCTTTTCGGCAGTAAGGGCCCATTGACTTGAGCTTGACAACGCATGTCACTTCCGCGAATCAATGGGTCTTTGGGGTTTGGTCCCAAGCGGTTGCCCTGAAAGCAAGGTAACCCTCAGGAGTACATTAACAGAAAACTCTAGCTCCAAACATGCCGTTTTGACATGAGGCTTCCAATTGACACTCAGGGGCAGCATTGGAACTTTGAGAGGACCCTGTTGGTCTTTTCTCTCGCCATCCTCAAGGTCGGCCAATGATCAGAGCAGTCAGTCCCCCCAGGCCCTAGGTCCCAAAATGTCAAGTTTGCTGATCAATTCTACAATCGACATGTTCCAGCAGCGCACCGTGTGGCAATCTCGCTGGCTTTGGCTGAGATCGCCCTCTCAACCTCAAAGTTTAAAACGATGTTCACAAGACAAGTCTGATCACAACCGCCGCAACAGATGCTGCTTTTCTCTTGAGAGTCATAAACCAAGAATTTTATTCTCTTTATTACTAGCCTGCTATATTGAAATGTTACTTTAAGACTTAAATATCTTAAATTTGTTTGTTTATCTGCAGCAAAAGGCTGTTCCAAGTGCCAGGGAACAAAGTCTCGGATGACCTTGACCTTGAGCACTTTTTCTGCCACAACGACATCTGTGTGGAAGTCTTTGATCTTAACCTCAAGATATCTCAAGACACAGCCGAGCCACAAAGCTGCTATTTGACGTGGCAATACATGGTAAATGAATATAAATACTGAAATTTTGCGGCAAGTCACAGCGACCTCTTCAACGTCCAGCCTTGGCACGTTCACCCAAGATTCCATCCACGTTGTACTAGTGACATCTAGTGACAAGGTGCTTCCAGGGGGTTAACCGATTAATGTTTGGGAAAACATGGCGAGATACTCCTTGACCAAGTCCACGGTCACGTCGACTTTGATTGTCCGCTCTGTGGCACTCTTCATGCTGATGGCATCCTGCAAACCAAGGACAAGATTCAAGACCTCGCGGGGAGGTGCAGCAAATCAGACATCGTTTTGAACAGCAAAGCCATGCAGCTTGCAAATGACTCCTCTGCCATTTCCGCAGCTGCCACCGCTTTGCCAGCCAGCCAAACTGCTTTACTGCCAGCATCCTTTCAGTGGTGCGAACCCCAAACGCCAAGTCTGCAACAAACTTCGAACTTTGAAGACAAAAAGAGCCAACAATATCAACAAGCTTTGTCCCAAAAGGTCTTACAACTTCAGATCTCTTCGTGAGGTATCTGAGATCTATAATTTGGCTAACTGCTTACCAAAAATTACCAATGTACAGCGTGTTTTGTATTTTTGATTATTTGGTTTGAGAGTGCTCTTTCATGTGATACTTTTCCACCTGTAGATACTATGTTGGTATTTCATAGTATTTCCATGTATTATGGTTCCCATATTTTATGGTGCACCAGTTTTGAATCGGTTGGTTGGCAGTGTGCAGCTTTTGCCAAGCAGCCACTCCGACTTTCTTGGCACCGGCATGCACACCCTTCACTGCGGCTGCACCCATCAGTTGGGCCTGTCCCAGGAGGAATCATTCGAAATCCATCGAAATCCATCGAAATCCAACCCGTTGGTGCCTTTGTGCCCTCAATCAAGCAGGAAGTTCGGAAAACCAGATCACACCTAAGGAAGCTGTTCAAAGGACTAAAAACACTTAAAACAAACTCGGGACCATCAGAAAGACGGGCAGGCTGAAATTCGAGTCGTGATGCATGACAGAGGTGATGGTCATGGTAGAGGATAATGCCAAGTGTTGCGACTTGCGACGCTTGCACAACCAAGAAAACGATCGTCAGCAACAAAGCGAATGACAAGGGCAGAAAACGTGATCGCAAATCAACGGCACATCACAGAAATTCAGACTGTCTAGTTCTCAGTTGAAGGAAAGATAGGAAAGGTCCCTAAGAAGTTAAATGTGGAAGAAGATAGGAGTCAAAAAAATATGTTGTGTGCTTCTCAAGCCAGCTAAGTTGGCGCTGCAGTATGGCGACTGTCAAAGGTTGAAATTGTTGCACCACATCGTCTCAAAGAATTACAAAATGCTCATGCTGCTGTATGCATCTATTTGGATCTTCAATTTTTTTTTGACCTGCCTCGAATGCAGCTATGGTGCTTTGCTCGCTAAATGCCGTTTTTCTACCGAGAAACAGAGTAAATTTCAATGGGCTGAATCGCACGGATCCGCCATCCTTCTTGTTCACCTGAGTTGTTCGAGAGTTTCAACTGAGAATCACATGGCTTACCCAAGTCGCCTCACACATCCGGATTCATTCAAGTGGCTTCAAGGAAAGTGACATGAATCTTGGGATCAATCCTGCGGTCACAGCACATCTTGCCACAGACCTATTGTGTGGACAAATGATCTACAACATGTGATGCATGTGAGTGCCATGTCAGATAAAAGCACCAGCACTGCCATCTGGGCCTCGGGTCCGGTTGCACCACTTTGGTTTGACCCTCAAGCCTGGGGCCAGGAGCAAATCATGACCAAGTCAGTCAGCCAAGTCAGTCAGTATCAAAAGGTCAAGACCTGGGAAGAAAGAAGCGCCTAAGAACGTCTCTGATAATATCTTATTATTATGTATGTGTATATATATATATTATAATTATATATACACATATTATGTTTAATACATGTTTCGTATCGATCCGATTCCATCCCAAGGCACCTCCTCCTGAGCTCTAAAAGGGCAAAGTCAGTTGCGTTTGCTTCGCATTCACAGCACAGGACGCTGCCCATTCTATCGCTAAAGGAAATGAAATTGAGATCATTTGTCTGAGCCGTAAAAGGCAGCACAGATCAATCCAGAAATTACAAGCATGCTTTGCTATCTGATCCACTTGAGCAGGACAAAATAAATCCATGAAGCGGTTTAGAAAGTCGTACATGGCTTTCATTTTCACCTGTTTCAAGAAAATCTTACCAAAGTCAACCATACACGTTGGCCATAGCCTCGGGATCACGTAAAGCCCAGACTAGCTGGTGCGGAAGGTCTGGGCAAAGGTCCAATGCCTCCAAACAACTCAAGTGCTGAAGTGGAGTTGTTTTAAAACCAACAATTGATGATGTGAGTGGTGGGAAAAATTACCTTCTACCCAAAAAGGACATGGCTAAAAGAGGGTGACCCACTCAAGCTAACAAACAAAAAGCACTCCAATCCCCGAATCCCCCAAGTCCAGCAGAGATTACACCACCCCAAGAACCCAACTAATTTGGTCGTGGCTCGCTGAAATACTACAGTATTATATATTGCATATAATTTGATATATATATATATATTATATATATACATACATATGATATATGATATATAAGAGCAGGGTATCGGTAAGTGGTTGGTTCCCTGTGGGTTGTGCAAGTGTCAACGCCATTTTGATTATCCCAAGTCCACTTCTTACTACTTTGGTCTTCCTGCTTACAGAGTAGGATCCCACACGATTAGATCTGCGAAGGCTTGGTGAAAATGTCACGCCACTGTGTGGGGTTGGCTTGTCTAGCCATCTAGCCTAAGATGCCTACACAAGGCTCAAACGCACCAGCCTCCTCTGCAGCTAAGGAGGTCAAGCGGCAAATGGCTTCAGCTGCTGCTCTTCGTGTGTTTCCTTGATCCTGCAAACCAAGAATCTGTAGAAACTTCTGGAGAGCACCCTGAGAAGTACTGAGAACAGTTCATGCCATGGCATGAGTTCACCCACGTTCATGTCCTGCAGCCGTCTGGTCAGGGATTTCAGATGCTTCACCGCTGCTTGGAAATTTGGCATTCGACCCAGCGCTTCACAAGCTACCTGGAAGCAGCAAGGCCAAGGCATCAGGGAAGGGTCTGTGAATCAACAAAGTGCTTCAACATGCTTCAATGGTTTCAACCTTTTTCATCCTTTTTCTCTTTTTTGCTCTGCAGTTGAATCAGCGATTTCTCGACCTCTTCATCAGCTGTTGAAAGTACTGAGCGTAAACCCAACTGCTTTCCCTGCCTGCTGCTCAATATCGGGTTGTCCATTGCCCAGCTGGGAGGCTAGCGCAGCAGCCTTTGTCTATTGCAATACTGCTGGTACTGGGAGGGATCTCAATCACAAGCGAACGGTAGTCTAGTTTTGTAATCATCTCAAGGTGGAAAGTCAAATACAGGGACCCGACAAAGTCATGCCTAAGTCACTCCTTTCGCTTTCCCTGCTTGTGAACGCAACATCAAGAAGTCATGCCTAAGTCATGCCTTTTGGTTTTCCCCCATTGCGAACGCAAGCGTCAAAATAGCCCTTTCGAAATCGGAACCTTTCACTTTCGCTTCTTTTTTTCCTCCCTGCCCTTGCGATTCAATATTTCTTATTTGCCCACTTTCTTATTTGCCCACTATAGTCATTTCTTAAAAAAAGGAACGACTTTGTCTCTTGGCTGTACAATGTGAATGAAATGAATGAAATGCACAGGGAAATGGTGGAAATGCTCTGAGTGGTCCACTCCAGGTTTACCCATGCGCGCCAGTGCGACAGCCGTGACTGCAAAAATTGCTGGGTCTGAATCCTGGACAAAAGCGACGCAAAAGTTCTGAATTGATGAGTCAAATCACTGTCTCGGACGTCTCGATCGTGCTTTCATTGTCACCACTTTGATCAAGCCACAGGCAGCCACAGGTCTTTTCGGTCCCTCAAAACAGGCCTGAAATCGATCTGCCACAACGGCAGCATGGGAAGGATGTGCCTTCTCACCGAGATGACCTCTGAGCGTGACATCGAAACAGGTGATTGAAGACGACAACTGCAACCAGGCCAGAAAGCAACGGCCTTTGAAGTCTCGAGTCGGACTAAGTCCCAGGCCCAAGAATGTCACCGTTTTTTGCCGAACTTTGGCCTCTGAGTTCCTGAACCAAGGCAACATGCTACATATGGTATCCAACACTAAGTAGAGGAGCAATGACTAGCATATCTAGCATGGTAAACCGTAGAAGGGCACAGTTCAGAAATTCACAGGTCTGAGTCCGCTGATGTGGTTGTCATTTCGCTTCCAAGTTTCTGGAGGTGAAGCTCCAAAGCTTCGCTGTACTTGCAGGCCTCACCATCCTCAGCACACGCATTCAGATTCAAAGACATCAGGAGATTATAGATGATTCAAGCACCCAGACCAACCAAAAAAACAAAACATAAGAGATCTACAGATCTGAATAGCTGAAGATTGAACCCCAGCCTCGCTTGGCTCTGATGCTGTCATTGAGCTTGGCTCATCAGCATCTTTGGCGAAGGCACTACGCTCTGAAATGTGCAAGAAATTGAGTGAAATTGCTGGGAAAAAACATACAAGCACTACTGCATTGGATTACCTATTTCGAGTGCATTGCAGGTCATTGGATGTCCAATGATGATGTTGAAGGAAAGGTATGGCTGCCAAGGCAAATTTGCCAATTGTTTCCATCCCTGTGAGCACTACCCCCAAGCTTGAACAGTGGCAAACAGGCGCAAGCTTGAACGACTTTGCTTCGCAACATGCTGGTTGCAAGAGTCCATCACTCTGTCCTTCGCCAAGTGATTCTGAACACTTGACTTTGCAAAACTGATCTAATTCTGCTTGATCTAGGCTTGCGTTTCATTGTTTCTCGATATTTCTGGATGTTTCTGTTTTGTATTCCTCACTTGAGCGCTTAATATCGTTTAACTTGGGATCGTTTTCAGCTCTCGAACACAGCGAGCTGCTGGGGTCGTTGAGGCACTGCAGATGGCTGCACCAGACCTCGCCAATCAGGGCTGCAAAGTGGTACTTTGTTGGGGGAAGATGGGGGAAGTATAGAATTCAATAAAGTTTACGGTGTATCATAGTTTATCGCGTTTTCACACACGGAATGCTGTGTCTGCCTTTTCAACACAGAACTCCATGCCATGCCTCTTCGAGGTGGCGTTCCATGTGCGTGGCGTTCATTAGTTCTCCGGGGCTTTGCCGGCTTTGGTTCTGGACCTCAAGAATTGCAAACTCCATAGGATATGAGATTTTTACTTTGAAGATTGCCCACCCATGGTTTTGATCTTCGATGCTGGAATGAACTTCCAAGGCATGTGCGGGCATGACCAGGCAGAGCCTCATGATACATTGATTGCAGCTGGCCAAGGAAGGTCAAAGCTAAAGGAAAGCGAGAATCAGAAAGCAGTTGCAATGCAGCACAAAGTATGATCATGCCATAAGTCATCAGCGTCAACAAATATCTAGAAGAGGTACTCTGGAAACTCTCAGCTCCTAGCATGTTCCAGTGGCCCAGCGTCCCGCAAGGATTCCAGGCGAACAAATGAGTCCGCGCCTTCAAAGGGCGCACACCTCAGGGGACGACATTATGCTCCCACCGTCTCCCACATGGGACAATGCAAGCCAACGAAGTCCCACAAAGTCCCACAAAGTCCCACAAAGTCTCGCAAAGAGCCAAGAAATATAAAGAAATAGATTCAGAATGATTCAGCATCCAGAGTATTTCAGAGTGACTTTTCAAACAATGGCTGGGACTTTTCAGATGATTCTAGCCCCTGCGTCCGAATGCATCACTTTGCTCAGGATTTCACTGCTGCGTAGCCGCAAGTTCTGCTGGTAGAGCAACTGCAGCTGGCTCAAGTCCCTAACAGTGAATCCGGCTGAGAAGGATGAAAGTATATAATGGTGGAAGGCACTGCACATTCAGAGCGATGGTGGAAGAATTCCAAAAAGATCCAAAATGTCTTTGATGCTTTGATGATTCCATCATGTTGTCCGAGTTTGGCATGCGCCCGCTCGGAACGGAGCTGCCTGTACCGATTTGGGCTGCTTGTCCAGGTTGCGTGGTACATCGGGATTCATGCCTTCTAGCAGCTCGTCCAAAGCACATCCCCAGTGCTCTTCCACCTCAAGGGCACGAGACGGCAAGAGACTCTTAGGGCCAATGGTGTCAGACTGGTCGAAAACTGGGTTCCTTCGATGTCTCGTTGTAGATATCTATCAACGATTATAAACCTCACGTTATAAACACATCTATAAACACCACCTTTCTGGGGAGATCCAAAGTAATGCTTTTGACCCCTCAACATGGGAAAAGTCAGGAAGCAAAAACAGCCAAAGTGAAAAAGGTCGCGCCAAGGCCTGCTTGAATCTCACCAGAAGTTTCAGTCTGGCTGCCATGGTGATGCGAGCGCGATCTTTCCAGCTCAGGCTGGCACCGCCTTCACAGGGCTGATCCAGTGCTGAATTTCTGGATGACTGGATGACTCTAGAAATTTCAAGATGTACAAAGTTGTACAAAGTGTGGGAAAGGATTCGGAACCTGCAATGGACAGCACATCATCATGGTCCTCAGCAAGTCGCAAGTGGGCCTTGGCAAGGAAGGCCAGCTCAAGATTCCGGGCAAGGCAAAGGTTTTGGATCGTTTGCTCATCCCCTGTGTTTCAATAGTTGGAAAATGTCTGAAAATGTTAGAAACCTATGCCAGGCTCTGGTGGCGCCTTGGAGCTGCCAGCTGCGAGGGCCAAGAGTTGCCACACGCCTACCACGCCCAGGCACTCGATCCACACCCGATCCACCAGCTCCTCACGGCTCCTGCAGTTCCTTACGGCCCTGCCTCCTTTCTCTTCCTCGCCGTGCGCCTCGAACCAGCTGTCACTTTAGCATCTTTAGCAGGGAACATATCATCCAAGCAAGTTACTTGTCGTTCAGCTCCCTTTTGAATGGCTGGCGGCTGGCGACTCATCGTTTTTCCCTGTGCGTTTTTGAACAGGTCTAAGTGCAATACGTTGAGTCCGGGGGCAAACGCAGCAACAATGACCACCTGGCATGTCTCTGCAGGCGATGGAGGCCACTCCATTTCCAGCTCTCAATGTTTCTTGGTACGGCCTGTGCTAGCAGTTGTCTCCAGTGCCGAAGAGCCATTGTCATCCGAGACTTCCTGCGAAGATTATGGACAAAACTGAGAATGCCAAGAAAGTATCGGAGGGACTCTGTTTGAATCTAGTGGCTATGATTCTATGAAGTCTCCAGTGTGCTGGCCAGAAAAGATTAGAGAATAATCGATTGCCAATATCTACCTGCTAAATCTGAAACCTAAGAATTTCTAGGGCAAAACTGAGTATATAACTAGTTATTTCTAGGGTGCCCTAAGAATATGCGTTCAAAACGTTGACCGAGTTGAAGCCCATTCAGATGCGTTCGAACCCGTTCAAACATATCCTAAAAAGGCATAAAAAGGCAACAATTTAGCGTAGCCGTTCCCGTTCAAACCCGTACCCGTTCAAATGAGTTCAAAACCTTAATTCAATTTGCACTAAGAATTTCTAGGTTTGATGTTTACCAGGCAGTTATATATCATCTAGCGTCAATAAACACTTCCGTTGCAAATCTCAACTATTTCCGCTGCAAATCCTCGCCACGTCTTCTCTAAGCTGGATGGCAGCTTGCTCGCAGATCTCCCTTGGCACGCGCAGTGTTGGTTGATTCTCTTTGATCCTGGTCAAGATTTCATGAAAACATGACAAAACATGACAAAACCGTTCAATCCACATAGACTATGCCGGCATGCCACGTTTTTTCTTTGATCTTTGCTTGCCTCCACATAAATCCAGAAGCGCCAAAGGAACTTCAGGTCATTTCGAAAACTCAACAAAGTATTCAAACAATGTCAAAATCACCAGTAGTCATCCCGTATTCATCGGTATTAATTGCCTTTGTTTTTCTCTTTGGTCATGCCATATCCGACGCTCATTGGCCAATTGGGTCAGGCGGCCTTGGTGTGGTTGCCAGGCTGTTGGCTGAGGACAAAAGGCTTAGCAGTTTTGGAAACCCAGTAGGTCAAGTAGATCAGTGGCAGTGGAAGCACCACTTTGTCAGCTACACATTGGGGCACAGGCTCAAGTTCACAGCCCTTTTCGGTCCGGAGACCTCAGACTAAAGCGCTGCGAAAGATCGTGGTCCGCAAGATATTGGTCAAACAACTCCATATGTGTACCATATATTTATATATTATATAGTATATATTATATATTATATATTATATATTATATATTATACATTATACTATATATAATATAATATAATATAATATTATATTATATTATATTATATTATACTATACTTTATATTATATTATATTATATTATATTATACTATATATTATATTATATTATATTATATTAATTATATTATATATCATACTATATTATATATTATAATATATATTATATTATATATTATAATATATATTATATTATATATTATATCATATATTATATTATATGGTATATTATATATTATCTTGTATATTATATTATATATTATATTATATATTGTATTATATATTATATCAGTAGTGACTAGGCATGATGCTAGGTTCGTTGCTTCATTTTCATCCATCCATCATATCATCCACCATATCCATTTTTCATCCATCATTTTTCTCATCATTTCATCCATCATATTTTCCATCCATCAACCATTTCATCATCATATCATTCATCTTTCCAATATTTTTCTCATTCATCTTCATTTTTCATTGTTTCCATTTTTCATTTCATTCGTCTTATCATTCATCTTCATTTTCATCTTATCCATCAAAAAAATCATCTTCATCTTCATTTTCCATCATAGGGTTATAGCAACGAACCTAGCATCATGCCACCCCCTAGAAAAATCTAGCCCAAATAACCCTCAATCCAACCGACCGCCACGGCTTGGTGGACATTGCCACCATCTCTAGATGGTGCCACTGACATGTTTTTTGCATTGAGCAATCGGTCATGTCAGACGGTTTCCTTTTTGAGATGTCAGTTTTGAATTTGCAGAGTGCAGATGACTAAACTTTTCCGTTGTAGCGCATTTTTGGATCCAAGCAAGTGCCCAGCGATTACTTCTCCATTTTGGAGATGACAGTTGTTTTCATGCAACTTGGTGGAAGGCTTGAACCTGTGTGGGTGAAAGCCGGAATGAGAGTTCCAGATCAATGTGAGGTCTTTGAGTTTGACAAATACCAGTTGTCAACCCTTCCGGTCAAGTCCTTGAAAAGCTTGATGGATGAAATGTGCGTTTACTATGACAAGAAGGATGCCAAAGAAGAACTTTTGAACAGATTGTCCAGTGGGTGGGAGCAAGGATGTGCGAACATGCGTTCATCTATGAGGTTCTACCGAACCACCAAACCAAAAGAAGTTCAAACCGACATGACCTTGGAAGGCATGGATCAAATGATCGGATTGCTTGACTACATGACCGGAAACCAGAAGGATAAAAAATCAGAAACAGATCAAAGTGAAGAAAACAAGTCTATTCAGGAAGAGTTAAATGAAGAGAATCCAGAAGAAGAAGAGCCTACCGACGACGAGATTGTTGAGTTCAAATCCTTCATCAAGATCATCGCGGACAAAGCCCCTCCTTTGGTCTTCAGTGTTGATGTGGAAACTACAGGGGTTTTTCACTTGCTTCAGTTGATGGCAGATCAGGGTGTGCCATCTGATCAGTTGTCCCTCTTCTACAATGGCAAGAAAACCGAATATTACAACAAGTTGTCCTACTACACCGGCGTCCCAGTCAATGAGCATATCGTCTTTACTTTTGAAGCCCGTGTGAAAGGTTTGAAAGGTGGAGTGGTGCAATTGCATTTGAAGAAAAATGAGATGCTGGAGAACTTGAAGAAGAAGGCAACGATCAATGTCGCCAAGAAGGAGCAGGTCAATATTCCAGACTTTGCCACTCAGCCAGCCGGTCTCAAAGCCATCAAGGATGAGATGGTCAATGCCGTCGGGAATGTGAAGTTGCTGAAGACACAAGGCTTCCAGATTGTGAAGACGGGATTGAGAAACGCTAGTGATACAGAACTTGCGGAGATCATGGAATTGTCCAAGTACCAGAATTCTTCAGGCCATGTGGGAGCTGAAGGTAGGGTTGTCCGCATCATTGGCGTTCTCTTTCCCAGTCTTGTGAATTTGATGGAGATGAAATGCAAAATGCAAGAGTTGGAAGACTACATGACTGTAGAGATGGTGAAGATGTTCTGTGATGAATATCATCAACGTCGTGGCAACTCTGCAGTCATTGACATGGGGTCATTCCGTGGGCATTTGAAGAGTGAGATTGAGAGACGTAGGGATGAAGCAAACCGTGCCCGTCTTGCAAATGCAAACTCAGAGCAATCTGATAATGGGCAAAATAATTCATGTGTTATTGTATAGTTTTATTTTTGTTTTTTGTGGTAAAACACTTGCCGGAATATCTAAAATCTTGCTAAAAATGGATGAGAAAACAATCTCCATTTTTTGCGTTGGTTCTGTGTCTCCCAGAAAAATCAAAGAGTAAAACGGGTTGTCGCCAGAAATTTTGGCGAGAGAAGGGGTGTCGCCAGAAATTTTGGCGAGAGGAGGGTCGTCGCCAAAAAAAATGGGAACACCACCTAATTTCAGGAAAAACTGGCAATTTTTGAGAGAGACACGGTGAAAATCCAGATGCATGAAGTTTTGGTGCGAGATTCTTTGCGACAGAAGCCACGCAGTGGAATTGAAAAAAATGTGCTCAAATTCTTTGAGAGTCGGAGTTTTGACAGATCACAGGGATGTATATTTTGCAAGTGTGCCACTTCTTCCCATGACAGGTGGAAGACGACCAAGTTCCCGCTGTGGGCACCCAGAGTTCAACCAAAGCATGGAGCAAGTGACCATGCCAAACAATCTTCAAAACTTAACATGTGGCAATAACTTCAACCAAAGACTGAACATATTCATTTTTTTCTGGGGGGTAGGAGTGATATAGGGGATATATTGATACTATAATGGTATATGACATGCCCACATACCCCAATACACGTATTGTATTTATATGTTCCCTACCCCTTTGTTCAACCTTTCAGGATGTCAGGACTTTTCAGGTTGCCGTGCCACTGTCTGGAACTGGGATTGGATGGGTATATATATATATAATGTATATATTATAGGTATGATATAAATAAGTAAAGGTAATAGAAATGAAAAAATTATGACATAAAAATGGCATAATCTTTTCAAACAATCAACATTGCTTCATTTACATCTTTTTTATACTTCCTGTTGTAGGTTCTTTCTGGTGGTGGTTCATCACTGTTAGGGTCTTCCAATTTTCTTTGCTCTTCTTTCTCTGCTTTCTTTTTATAGTAGTATCTCTTTTTTGCTTCTTTTCTACTTGCCTGATGCTCTGGTAAATTTCTTGTTTTGTAATAGTAAAGTCTTTGATACAGTGCCATTTGCTCCTTGATTTCCTCCAATGTTAAATCCTCCGGTTTTTTCATTGCCATAACTATTAGTATAATGTATATATTAATAATTCTTTAAATGTATATGGACTAAATATTATTAAATGTTTGTATAGGGGTTTTTAGTCCCAAAGTATTTAAAGATAAATTAATATTACTATATAATCATATGTATGAAAAAATCTATAAGAAATAATATTCAAATCTTAAAAAACTTAAGGGACAGCAAAGTAGGCAAAGTCCCGGCGTCAATCCAATCTAAAATCAACAAAGTTGCAGACCTTTATGAGGATAGAAAAATCGTTCAACTATCCACCGCACAAAATCTTATCAATGACATATCCACCAACAACACCAAGAAAAGAGAGAAGGCACTAGAAAGGTATGACAAAGCCATTGAAAAATATGACAATGCCCAACCAGCAGGTGAAAGAATGGCACAGAATGCCCAAAAAGCAAGAGAAGCAAGGACTGAAAAAGGGGTGGTAAAAAAGGTTAGGGTAAGATTGAGGGAGAAGTCCAAAGCATCAGCAATATCAAGACTAGTAAAAGTTGCAAAAGATAGAGGCATTGGTAGTAGGAAGCTATATTCAGTTGAATTCATGCTATACTCATTGGAACCCATAGGTGCCATAGTAAGAGGCAAGAAAATCAACAACTTAATCTATTATCCAATGTTTGAACGAGGAAGACCCAGACAGGCAAGTATCAGAGCAGGCGAATTCATTGAAACACTGACTAACAGAACAGTCACTAAACAACAAGAAAAACCAATGTTTAAGAAATTAATGATGTTTCTAAAAACCGATGGTGGGTTAAAAGATGCCATGCCAGATATGTTAGATTACGTAGATGCCATCCAACTAACTAAGGTTGAAAAAGTTGAGGACGACGGCAGACCTTACAATTTAGAAGATGAGGGACTGAGAGAAACAGCAAATGTAAGCATCTACAACTACTATCATGAAACCCTAATAGATGTTGAAAAGGAAACCGTAAAAGAGGCAATACAACATAACAATCTAAGAGAGAACGAGTGCTGGATAAATGAACTACTTAAGACTTACGAAGGATCTGAACTGATGAGAGAGAAGAGGGGAAAACTAGCAAAAACACTATCAAGAAACAAATTTTAGAACTTCTAAACAGGACTGAAGATGACATACATGAATATGGTATTTCAATTAATGGAATGGAAAAGGTCTTTAAGTTCTTCAACATCCCAGTTAAATTATATAACTTTCAGTGCCAGTTGATTTATAAATTTGAACCTAACGACTTCAAGAACGGAAGGAGGAAAACAATCTTCGTAGCAATCATTAAGAACAATCATGTTTATCCAATCAATGCCAATCAAGATAGGTTATGCCAGTTGAAAGGGGAGAAGGAAATATCCGCCAGAGCATCCAGTAACTTTTATATCACTGACAAGACCGAACCGCCTAAATTCAAAATGTTTAGTCATATAGATGAACTACTAAAAATGACTGAACATGATGAATATAATTTGATACATAAAGATAATAACATGAATGAAGTATTATTCCAATTTAGGAAGGTAGGATATGAACCAATGGTCAAATACCAAGGCAATAGAATAGTAGAATTGAGGGCAAGATACACTGAAAAGAAAACTAGAAAAGTAAGAACTTACATTATCAAAACTCAG